CAATAAATAAAAACCATAAAAAATTCAGGAAAATCGTAATAAAATGGACGAATCCATTCAATCTAATGAGTTGACAAGATGAAATTTAAAAACAAAGAGTTCGATCACAATGTAATGATTTAACAAAATATATGATTTTTGGAAAATAAAGTGCTCAGCCTTGACAAATCACTGTGGACTTTGCGAAATTCACATAGCAAAGTTATGCGAACAAATTCAAGCACAAAAAATTACTGAAGAATTTAAAGCACAAAGTTTTTTTGCAATTTTTCTTGAAGCTAAAAGATATTCAAAAATCTAAATTTTGAACAAAAATTTTTATAGATAATGATGCAGTTTGAAATCGAAAACTGATTGCGCAGTAACATAAATGTTACAGGCATTTGCAGTGAACTGGTGGAAAGTAAGACCAACAACATTAAAAATTTGTTTATTAATACATGTCATAATATTTCTTTTATCCATATTAATACAAAAACAAGTAAATAAGTAAACTATTAGAACCGAAAAAGGAGCAGAAATCATCAGGTCCAAGTTGTATAGGTTTGAGTTCCATAAGCAGTAGAATCCAGATCCATGAACATGTTGAGTTCATTTTTTAAAGAGCTTTTGGGTATTTGAAAGGTAAACAATCACAAAATACCCGTGTTTTAAAGAGATGAATAACATGAAAAGGCTTAAAAGCAAGGAATAATAATAAGGAAATGAACGCATGCACAGGCTCCAGAAATACGGAATGATATTGATGAAATAATCTTCAAAATAAGCATTATAAGAGCACTCACCAGTTCTGGTTTGGCTAGCTTCACTGTAATAGAGTGAGATCATTCCACCAGATGAGCAGAAGTTGCATTTCAATACTAAATTAACCACCGTGTTGTTTTATATTAAGCCGAATATTCAATTCCGACAAATTGCACAAATATCATGACATATGACATATACACCAGATTATGAGTCCCTTTAAATAAAGGTGTTCCACCAATCCTCAACCGTTACGAATCAATAAAAATTTACATATTTGCTTTTTAGAAAGGATTTCTAACATTTTCTAGCCGATATAATAATTCTGAATCCAAGCTTGTTACGGCTAGAAATCTTAAATAAAGAGTTACTTGGCGGTAGAAATGCAGATGAGTAGTCAGAATTACCTGGACTTTTTAAGTAGAAGCTATTGCAATATCGCTTTACTCATATCGTTTAACTCTCAGTAAATCCTTTTGCAAAGCTAGATAAAAAGGTCGTTTGCTCGACTTTATAATATCTCCAGTAATTGCAAGCCATCAAATCCATGTCCATCACTGATACAGCCGAGTTGCTAAATTTATAAGCTGATTCGATTTCTGCGCTCTGTGTACCTTGATTTTACCATACATCAATCATATCATATCTCAGTAAAGGAGTGACCGGGTACTGTTAGGAACTTACCTGCACTTTTATCCCTAATTGACTGTTTCACAAGATTCTCCTATCCTGCTAATAACCAGTGGAACAAATCTAACCAGAAATGTGGTGCTAGCCATTTATAAATCTAATGGACATTATGGCAAAATACAGCGCGATATAAAAAGCTCAAAGTTTTACATATCAATTTCGTTTTAATTTGACATTTTAATAAGTTATTGAAAAAAAGAATCAATATTGGAGAGCAAATCATAGCAGAATAAATATCTTTTGATCAGTTTTATTTCATGATCTAATGGTTTTTATTTTAACGAATTGCTGATAGATGTTTTTTTCCTTAGGTCTCTATCAAAGTTTCAAATTTAAATTATTTGACAACGACACGAGGTCATCTGCAATTTCATTACTAAAGTTTTCATTTTTTTAAATGCTATTTAAATGCTATTTTTATTTAAATTAGAACGAGTAGTGATTTTCATCTCACTGAAATGCCCAATTCTAATTGAAATGCTGGCATTTCTTATTTTAATTTATGTTGAAAATAAATCTGATGAATAGAAGTCGAAAAGTCAAATTAATAGACAAAGATGAAACTGTATGGAACTGGAATGGAATGAAAATTGTATATAGGAAAGGATAAGGGACGGAATAGTAAAAAATGGATGAATAGGGCAACATGGAGGAGTATGAAAGAGGATGAAATATGATTGATATATGGCAAAATTAAGGTACACAGCAGCTGAAATAAAAAGCATGTTGTCATGATAACTAAAAAATGCCTGAACAAATAAAGACATATTTATGAGGAAATTAAACAATCAATCAGTAAATTTTTACTTTAATGAACAGTCATAATAATGGGAATCGAGAAGGGAGGTAGATTCTCGTTGAAATGCCACTTTTGTTTGAAAAAATTTTTTGAAACAATTTGGCACGTTGTAGGTATATTCAAACGATGTAGAAATTTATTTTAGACATATGGGAGACTAAAGTCGGCATAAGTTATTATAACGAGATATCGAAATTTCGGGTAACTTATCGAATCAAGCTACTAGTAACTGAGAGCAATTGTAAATATGGCACTTTAATTTACTTTGCACTAACGCAAGTTTATGAAAAAAATCTACCATAAAACTAGGTCAGTACTGGTTTCATTTTGTGATAAAATTGATATTGATCGGGGGTTTTCTGATTAAATGTATCAATCTTGACAGATGAATGAGACATTTTTTAAAAAGATGCCGATATAAACTGGATCAGTTCACTAATTTTTTTTAATCACTCTCTATCAGAAAAATCCTATTTGTTTATTATATTTTTCTATCTCATTTGCTTAATTTGTCAGTACTGTAACAATTTTTTTGTTAATTATTCGCATTTTAGAACTAAAACTATCAATTAGTTGTTTTTAGTTTTTACTATTTTCACTCAACAAACGATTGTAAATCGAAGATTAAGATAATACAAATCAAATAATCAACAAATTAATTGCCTAAAATTGCATAATATTTCCTTCAAATCATTTATTAATCTTGGGTGATTTAATTCGTATCATTTGTTTTAAGCGGTACACTTTGTCTTCTGCACTTAAATGTTTCATTTTTTGCAGATGAGCGCTTTTAATTGGCTATTTAATTTTATTTCAAAAAATCTAAAATATTTTTTATGAAAAGCGGTTTTCTGATTTTCAGTAATAGAAATGAATGAAAATTAATTTAATTTGTATGATTTTTGGTCACATTTGCTGGTAAAATAATGAGAATTTATATATGCTTTTATAGTGCTTAATTTTTAAAGGAAACAAGCCAACTTTGTTGTTTTCTGTAATTTTTCGGCAAATTAAAATCTTAAATATCTTCAGACAATCCTAAACTATTGTGTGTTTAAATGTCATTTGCGTAGAACATGTGATTTCAAGGATTTTACTATGATTCTAATTTATTACAGCAAATTGCAACTCTATAACACTATAAATATTCGTATGATAGTTCTTTTAAAAGAAAATATCGTTAAAATATAAGTGGTTTTGTGAAATTAGAAAATGCGATAAGTCCACTATTTAAAACGATTCAATACATGGAAAAAAGTATTCATGGATTCGATATTATGCATGGAGTTTGCAGTATTTGAAGAGAATGGATGTTATATGAAGGATTTTTTGATTTTATTTGATTTGTTTTCCGTGCTTATCCTAATGATTTCTGTAAAAGATCCATGCGTGGATTTCTGAGCTTAATCAGTCGCTATTTAATAGATATTTCCATTCCATCGGGCATTTTCAGTGAAAAGTTTAAAGTTTAGTTTAATTTAAAGTTTAAGTTTAAAGTTTAATGTACCAACTAAGCCCATGAATCCGGGTGGTCTAGCGAGTATTTCTATCGTCAAGGGACTGGCATAATTGTCCAGTGCGACAAGTCAGCGGAGCGAGTTTAACCAGTAATGGTGAAAACTCTTAAAAAAACTGAAACCATGAATTTATTTGGGTCTGTACAAAGCCATTATTTCTATTACCTTAGCATAATAGGCCTTCAGAGTTTTTTCGACTTCAACTTACTGCGCCCTTCGATTACCATGGTGTATTGTAGATTCTGTTTCATTTGCATCTTACGCTGAAAATCGCTTTTTAATATAGCCTAATTCGACTTTGACTTTCCCGCTCACTGCTTTAATTGTTGGATTGAGTATTTGCCAATATTATTTTACATATAATATTCCCTTCCATCCTCTTCGATCCTATTTCTTAAATTACTTGAACTTCATTTGAATTTTTTTTAGACAATCATAAGCCACATAAAAAAAATATGCATCAAGTAGAAATAAACCGAGAATGATATTGTACATGATAAGAAATACCGAATGATAATGATGATTAGTTTTCTGAAATTAATTATAGTTCACCAAAAAGAAATTTTTACTCTCTATTTCCATTCACAATTTTTCTCCATTTTTCGGTCATTTTTGTAGCGGCGAATATCATTACAAGATTTTCTCGAGTTTTGCTCTATTTTTCACTCTGAAATTTTGCTTTTTTTTCCTCATTTGAACCAATTTTTCTCAGTTTTTTTCTCAATAGAATTATCAACAATAGAATTTCTCAATTTTCAATATTTCTCTTTGTTGTCGAGAAAAAACATTGGAAAAAACCGATACTCTTACTGGAAATAAGAGTAACATCATCGCCATTAGAAAAAAAATAGAATATATGATTAATTGGCGTTGACATGGTTAGACAAACGATAAAGACGCAGGCGATCAGTGATCCTAATTTCATTGCAATCTCCACCAAATCTTGCAATCGTTATGGTACAGAAAAGTAAGATTTGTTGATTCGGAATATTTCTGCCACATCAGCGTTCAGGTACTAGATAAGAGTGAAGCTATGATTTAAAAAAATAATAATCTGTCGGGAACAAAAAAAATTATTAATAAACATAGTCATAACAATTGCAAGATAGCTCGCACTTAATTACTTCTAATTCCAATTTTTCAATTTTAAATTCAGGTTAAACGACTTTTCTGCTTATTATTTGATTGAATACAGCCATTTTATAACCAAAAATATATTATTTATTTCGTTTTGTTAAATGGTAGCAAAAATGAATAGATATGGTGCAGAATTTAGTGACATGGATTATAATCGAAAAAGGTTGGTCTGAGCTTTCCTCATTTATAGTCAAAGTTCGAGAGGAAATGCCCAACTGCGATCTTTATAATGATCCTATGTTTTATTAGCCATCGTCACCATTATTTTTGAATTTTTAAAGAAATCTCGATCGACGTCGTGAATCTTCTCGTTACGCTGCACGTGATCGACGTGGAAAAGAAGCTGATATATTCATGCTTCTCAGAGAGGTCATACCGCTGGTAGATGAAGCTACTGTAACCCATGTAGATCGAATTGCTCTTCTTCGCGTAGCGTCAATTTTATGCCGTTTGAAAAAATGTATTGCTAAATGTAACGTTTTTTGCAAATAATTAAAAATAAATAGGTAGACAATAGATGCTCATTTTTCGAATTAAAGTCTATTTTGGTTTGAATACCACCTATAAAATCCAAATACTCACTGCTAACATTGCAAAAGCTATATACGGAAAATTTAATTCGAAACTTTTAGGTTTAAAACCAAGTCAAACTATTGAGGAAGGCTGTTTATGGAATGAAACAACTCTTTTGGAGTGCTTGGATGGTTTTCTTGCTATTATTGGTTCCGATGGAATTATTTTGTACATAAGTGAGAGTGTTTCCATATATTTGGGCCTCACACAAGTAATTTTTTCTTTAATTCATATTACAGATTTTTTTCAATTGATCATTATCAAGTTTTTTGGAGATTTATGTCTCTCAATAATCTCAAGAGATATTAAAAAAATAAGTGTTGCTTGAAATTTTCTCTTATTGCGAAACTTAAAAAATAGTCGTTTGTCTGCTCATTTTTTATTTACCTTTGAAGTAAATTTGTGCCATGTACAATATTCAGTTTCAACTCGTAGGGTTTCATTTAAGGTGAGGTCTAAAGCATCTGTAAAGAAACTTCTAAGTCATAAAAAAACTGGGGTACTGGAGTTCAAATTAAAATAACCGCGCAAAATTTCGTAATAATCTGTTTTAAATCTTCTGACTCTAAGTGAAACGAGATTAACCTATGTACTTAGATTTAATCGAAGAATTAGGTCTTAGACGGCACAAAAAATATTTCTGTGAACTCTGAACTGATTTATCAGGCCTAGACGAAAAACAAATTATGTTATATTTCAAATGTGGACAAACGAATGTTTGTTAATTAGAAAATTATACGACTTATTTCTAAAGGTTCTGAGCAAGAGGTTGAAAATTTCAGTGAATTTTTTTAAAAAATATTATCATGTGTTTAAGACCAAGATTTTCTTCAGTAATCTAAAATCTGAGCAACTTCCACGCTAATGAATAGAGCAGTTAACATATAATGATGCTAGATCAGGGGATTCAGCAATAAAGTTTAAAATTTTACATTTATCAATATATTACATTAATTTAATTTATTTTTCTTGAAGCCATTTTCCTAGATTATTCAAATCGTTCTGAAGATTGTTCAAAAAATAGAAAAATCTCAGCATCCTTGAAAAGAACAAAAGGATCAGTAGTTACCTAGAAGCACCAGGCTTTATTAAAATGACTATAATGTTTTGTATTACAGCCTGGCCATCTAGAAATGCCAGCTAAATTGTAAAAAGTCTTAAAATCTTGAATCATAATGATCTTTCATGTGAATAAATATCAAGAATCAATGGTTATGAACCAATAAGTCTTTAGCTAAAAGCTAAAAGCTGAGAAAGGTCAATTTTTTCTCAAGAAAACATAATGAAAATCAGATATTAGCATCAAAGTTTACTGCATATGGGTCTCTAATAGTTTAAAGCGGTCTGCCAAGATGAGTTACATCTATTTTCTTTGTAAAGAACATGGAGTTATGCATAAAAGCTTCTTAATTTTAAGAATAACACCATGATTTAGTAATATCCTTGAAATATGGTAAAGTAGGGAAAGTGTAAGCTATTTACAATGGATTTAAGGAATATTACCTGAACCGATGAACAAAGATTGTTAAATCGGATCAAAAATATATACCTACTGGTAATGAGATAAATTTTCTTATTTAGTTGAAAGAATCACAGAAGTTCAAAGGATTCATAAGAGGCATTGTTTTGCCAAAATATATTGACAGTTGTTCATGCGCACTGAACTCTGATCGCTTTGCATTAGGATTTTTTCTATATTTTATCATTTTTTTTTCAAGTCAACCATAGTGCATATTCACTAAAATCTGATCCATTTTTCATTTTTATCTCATTTTCTTTGTTTTTTTGGTACCTCATGTAGTTCTGCGAACATATTCAACATTTTCTGCAAAAATATTAGTTTCTAAACAAGATCCTTTCGCCAGAGAGTCTCTTGGGAATACAAATATAAAAAGACAGGAATCAAAACTACCATTGTTCGATCTTGGTCAAGCCAGTATACTACTAGATTATCCTATTCTTGTAGCCTTAAAAAAATTGTCGTAATTGAGACTTAAATTGGTAATTTGTACATGATTGTCGCATTTTTTTATAATAATTCTAAAGCTTTGCAATAAAAATGCTATTGAATATAACTGCTTTAAGCGCATATTAATTTCAAATTATGTATGATAATGAATGAATAACAAATGTTGTTTAGACAGATCTTACGGGACGATCTTTGAAGGATTTCGTACATGCGAATGATTATGATGAGTTCAATAGGTGTTATCTTGATGGAAATAATAATAACAATAATAACGATGCATTGATCTGCTTAAGAATGAAGTCTGTTATAAGTCCTCGAGGCAGAAATCTTAATCTCAAAAGTGCTTTATACAAGGTTTTCATTAACGAACTTATTTTCGATCAGATTTCACAGATTCGATCTATGAATGATTCTTTTTTTGAAAGTAAAAATATAGAATAAAGTAAAAATATAAAGTAATGTTTTTTTGTTATATTAAAAATAATAGAACTATAGGAAAATTACAAAATATTGGAAAACAAACTATTAAAAAATGACGAATATCAAAAGGTTTCAGCATGATAAGCCAAGATTTTTTTATGCAAATTTTTAGCATTTGTTACTAGAAAATACAAAGAAGTTTATGCGTAATATGTTAAAGCACTATCACGATTTCTTCTTCTTCTAACGGCTCTCACCTACCGGTTAGGCTGGTTCTGCGGCTTTAAGGGTAAGACGTCTCCAAGCTGTTCGATCCGACGCTATCGCTAGTAGAAATAAAAGCCATTCCAATCCTTTTTCCATCATCTAAATCTATATATTGCTGATCCACCTATAGGTAATCCTTTTCTTATCAATCCAGGTCTTGATTGTCTTTCCTCGCTTTTGGCGCCAACCATTACAGGATTCGGCAAGTAGCGAAATATATGCCAAATCTTGTGGTGAACGACGGAGAACGTGCCCTAAATAGCAAATATGACGCTCTGCGATAACATTATTTATGAAAGTGGTATTTGAACGAAGGTGGATGCGATCATATGATATTTTATCCGCTCGGCGGATTTTAAGAAACTATGAAAGATTGATAGTTTCTTAATATCTTCCACTCTCATTGGCCATGTTTCGCAGCCATATAGCAAGATCGAACGAATTGCAAGTATATGGACGCGGATTTTCGTCTTTATGGTGATTTGGCGACGGTTCCATAAGGGATCATCCAGAAAAGATAATTTTAACTGTCGTTATTCGGGTTGTAATTTCAGTCTTTATTTAGGTATTTGGGATTAGAGTGGATCCAAAATTTTTAAAGTCAGGACTTCCTTAACCAGCAATAATGAAAATAGGTATTTTATCAGTTTCTTGTATATGAGGCGAAAACACGTTTTATTTACACTGATTCTGAGTCTGATTCTCGCTGCAATTATTGGGACATTGTTTAGCATTACTTGCATTTCATTATAATTGTCAGCGAGAAGAGTTACATCATCTATATTCAAGGTCTGTCTGTGATGCTCTGAACTAATTTGCATACCTCATAAATTCCGACAAATGACGCCAATTATTCAATCCATCGCATAATACTGTAAGAAAAAGGACGCATTCTTTACGGACACTAGTTTTTATTTCGAAAGGGTCAGTCAGTTCCCCATATACACAGATCTGTGCCAAGGTATGCTGATAAAATGCCTTTATGGTCCGAATGATCTTCTCTGGGAGACCGTCATATTCCAGCACATTCCAGCATTTTCCAGAGCGCTGCTCTATCAATCGAATCGAAAACAGTTGTAAAATCGATAAAGCAAATGACGATGGGCTGTTGGTATTTGAAGCGATTATACAGCACCCTTCTTAACAAAAGTCTGGTCCACAAAACGGCGTTCGGAATCCATCTTGGTTAAAACGCACTTTTCTATCTCGTGTTGCCATATATCTATATAGCAGAAGGAAAGAAAAAATTTCTACGGATCTAGTAGGCTGATTCCTCAGCAGTGCGTCCTGTTAATCTTCTTAGGAATTGGAAGCGGAACTGCTTTGCCCCAATGTTCTGATTTTATTTCTCTTTGGCAAACGAGAGAGTACATTTGTTGAAGATGAGTTGTGAATGATGATGGACAACATTTGAAGAGTCCGACGCGAAGACCATCTTCTCCGAGAATTTTGTTGGCCTTAAGCTTATGGATTACAGAGATAATTTCCTCTTCTATTGGCGGTTCACATTTGCAAACACATGGTTCGACAAGCGAATCAATTACATCCGGGACAACAGATGCCGCACCATGGTTGTTTGACATCAAAAAATTCTTCCTATTTTATGAGGCAATCCTTGATAGCCTTAACAGGCATCTCTTTGATATTCCGTATCATTTTACTGACCCTTTCTTGAGTTATAGTTCTTGAGTTGCTTTGTGAAGAAGTCGAAATAGTTTCCTATAATCACCTAACCAATCTGCCGTCTCCATTTTTAAGGCACCAGTAGCTCCAGTAACGTTGTCGTTGCTGCTGTCGTTGTAATTTTTCGAAGCATCCGGTAGTCAAAATCTCTTGACTTGCGGGCTTTTGCAGCTTTTTAAGTTGGACAGTTAGACAGTTGCTCCCGACACCCAACTAACGCATTTCCTGATAGTATACCCCAGTATGGAAGTGGCTGATTTTCGGATATATGTCTTTAGTTGGGATTAATAATCATTGGCACTTCTAGAGATGTCACTGATGTTCATTCCGCTGAGATGCTTCAATAAATCGGTTTGAAATACACTTTGTCCCCGAATCTTTTAATTAGTTAAAAGATCTTGGGATACGTTGTTTCTTACGACTTGTCAGTTTTATGCGAATTTTGGCTAGAACCAGAAAATGGTCTGATCCGTGGCAGGAGCAGTGACTGATCAATATATAGCCAATCTGATTGGAATATTGATTATCCGCAGAGTTCCACATGACTAGATGTCTTTTCCGATGCGGAAAGCATGTATTAATAACAAAGAGCTCATGGTGTTAGGGCAAAATGATGAAGGCGTTCTCTATTGGCACATTAGATCCCGATCCATATTTGTCAATTAGCGAATTCATCATAACGACACCATGACCTACGCGTGCGTTTCAGTCTCCCTGTGTTGTGACCATACCACTTCTCCGTAGAGATATTATTAATAGCTGAAGCCTCGCATAAAAGTTACCTTTATCGGTCATTCGCGCATAAAGTTGGAGTATATACACTGATATTGCAGAATTTTCCTTTAAAACGCACTACGGTGTTTACCGGCTTCTGCTCAATTAGGATCAAGCCTTTTCAGGCATGGCAATCGCTACGCCATTTTGACCCGAGACACCACAGCCAGTATCTTTCCCGGTTTAATAATTACTCGAGAATCGACATGAGGAAGACAGGCTTCCATCAAAAAAACCACGCGGTATTTAGAAAGGATGTGGACAATGATCGCTTAGCTTGCAAAGCCCATAAGCGTTTTAGCGTTATAAGCAGCTGTAACCAGCATCTCGCTGCGCTTATAAAGTTACCAGATAACAGTAACAGATACCTATGCTTGTGCCTTGGAATTTTATTATTATTATCATTATCGTACATTTATTACATGTACCACCGGGTTAAAAGTAGTATGCGCGTTGGAAAATACGGACGTCGCGTCAAAGAGGCCTGATCCTTTCATCGAGTCACTTGAGGATAAATATATGGGTGGATCCTCAGCATCCACTCCGATATGTTATATAATATGGTAAAGCACCATTACGAGATTAGCATAAGAAGTTTAACGAGGTTGCTATCTGGGTCCAACAAAAAAACATGAAGTTTCTCAGTTGATTGTAATGGCGATTAAAGCGTTTTAAAAAAATGTAAGAAGTCGTAAAAATTTTTGAAGACTCGCTATAACGGTATCAAGTAATGAAGAAAGCATAGGAAAATTAAGATAAATCTAATGGTGAGATACAGTGAGTTTGTTGCAACATTAAGGGAAAGTGATAACTAGATTTTGGGGCATTAAAGAAATATAAAGGCTTCCAAGGAACTGGTATTCGGGAATCGGTATTACGATGGAGCTAAAGTAGAATTCTTAGTAACGGGCTAGGGTAAAATGGAGTTTGCAGGTCAGGATAACTGAGTAGATAGCGGCTCAGATTATCATGTTCAATGATGTAAGGTTCGATTCCTCTTTCGATAAGAGTAAGCCTTCTATAAAAATTCGAGTTGAGCTCGCAAAACGGTGTAGCATTTCTATCGCTAAATGATCCATTGGCAAAAATTTCCAACACTATTAATCAGCGCAGCCTAACCAGAAACGGTGAGCACCAATCTCTCATTTAAAATAGAATAGGGTGATGGAAATTTTGAAGGATTTAGAGGCAGGGCGTGGTATTCAAAAGTCGAAAAGAATATCGAAAAAATTTGGCAGATTTTAAGGTAAATAGATGAGTTCTTTTCAGAAGCACGTATACACTCTGCTCTGAGACAATGGTTCGAATTTTTTCCTAGGCAAGAACAAATTTGTCATCAAAAATCTTGGTTGTTCTGGCCATGCATATGCACAAATATACAGGAATACAATTATTGTAGAGGTTCTCCAGTAGATTTCATCTGAGAATTTAAACTTCCACAATAAATTGAGTTTAATGGGGAGAGAATCAAAATATGAGATATATCTCGTTAGATTAAAATAACGAGACCAGCCAATTTTTTACCAAATTAATCAGGATATTGTTATAATAAATATTTAGTGTTTTCTGTTTCATTATATGGTTAACTTTGGCTGTATTTCGAATTATCATTTGGGAGTAAAAAGTTTATTCATTTCAAATTCAAATAATTTCTTTTAGCCAGTTATTTGCCAAATACAGTCAATATGGGCTGATGATGGCCGAATTTATTTTTTGCAAGGATCTGCTCAACCTGCTGGTCAAGGAAATAATGCTATAATTGCTGCTAAAAATGCCGACATTCCTAATGGAATTTTCATGACTCGGCATAGTTGTGACATGAAATTTTCTTATCTTAGCGAAAAGTTGGTTTTTATCACGCGAATTCTGAATGCCTGATCTACAATCGTTCAAGTTTTATATAAAATAAGGAATTTATCGCTGCTGTAAAGAGCAAGACTATCCAATATTTCAGTCAGATATTAGATATAAAAAATGAATTAATATTTGAAAACAGTAGGATTGATGCCTGCCTGTCACGCGTCAATATTTTAGAATAACCTTGATCCGGCTGCTTTATCAGGATAGTAGAATAAGCACTGATTATCGCACGTATTAATAAAATTTTTATTCTCCACCTCAAATTTGGGTTATTAAACCACATTAATATAGAGAGAAAAAACAGTATTCGATATGAATTAAATCCAAAGATAACTATTTCAAAAGAAATAAGAAATGATTAAACAACTGCAAGGAATTTTAAAGTGTATAATATTGAAATATTGGGATCTAACCGCTCGAGTCCCTTGATTACACCAAAATGAGGGAAGAAGAACGATTTCCTTGATATTATATTATATATTCTTTGAATTGACCTTTGCCTTTCATTGACATATTTGAAGGCAAAGAATTATTAAGTTAATGAAAGGCTTCATTTGGCAGGTCAGAGTCACCAGTTTGAAATAATAAATTTGAAATAGTAAAAAACATCGCATTTCGCGACACTAAGCTTACTAAAGTAAGTTCAGTGAGATCATTTTTTCTATTTTTAATTCGATAGATATTTATCAAAAAAGGTCACACCAAAGTTTACTTCATGATACATGAGTTTAGAATAAAATCAATTTAAATTGATACCAATGGTTGGTATTTTTGAAATAATTTTGAAAAATGGATGACAAAAATGACTAAATATACCACTGAATGATGAAATGCAATTTTCAGTTTCACTTATATTCTAAAACATGAAACTCGTTCATTAATCGGTACATCTTTCTATTGCCTAGTATTTCCAACTGATATAAATCGTGTAGCTTCGTCGATACGAGAAATGCTCGTTAAAGGTCATTCGCAAACACCCTATTATAGACTGATTAGCAATAATGGTTCAATTATTTGGTTACAAACCGAGGCGACCGCAGTCAGTCACACTTCGAAGGGCCGTAAAGGCCAGTATGTAATATGCGTGCATCATTTGCTAGGGTGAGCTTTTGAAGGAATTGTTTTGTCACGAAAAACTCCTACGTTCACGCATAATGGAGCCAGTCGACTGGAGCCAAATTTTTGACGCCTGGGCGTAGTGCAACTGGTCAAATTTCTAGTTCAAAAACAGTTTTTATATTGATATAATTTTAATGACGACGGATGGAAATTTCCTATCTGTTCATCTAAAAAATTTTTGACTTAGTGGGTTTCGAGCAAGTTTTAAGATTTTGTTCGAGATTTTGTTCTATATTTTTTGAAATAATGATGAAAAATCCAAAAATTATTTAGGATTCAAAATGAACGAGAATTTCTCATTGATAGTAATCAGAAGGTTGCAAGAAATGAAGCTCCTTTCAACGAGAAGGAGGATAGTTCAGGTATGACAGACTGCTTATGTAGAAAATTTCGATTTCAGTCAATATCAAATATGTAATGTATTGTGCTAGTGACAATGCGATGAAGAAGTTCACATAGTTTGAACCACATAATGAATAATTCTAAACTGATGCCGCGTGCTGAAAATATTTGGAGCTAAGCTAGCAGAGTAGTCACTCATTTATCGTGTATTGAGAACCAATAGTTTGCCCTCTGTCTCGGCCAGGACTAAAGCTATCACTGAAAAGTCCTGGTGATCCATCTGTACTAATAGCCAACGGAGCTATTCTAATAAGAAATGGTGAGAGCTAATCATATAATTTCGGATGTAAAAGAGTTATTGCCAAAATTTTTGTAAAAAAAATACCAAAAAATATCATTTTATCTCATCTTCTTATCATTTTTATGTCAAGTCTCCTATAAATAATCTTTTCAGACCTAAGGAAAGACTATGATGAAGTACTTCAATTTTTTCGCCACCAACCAAACAATAATATACCAAAAGCAACGAATTTTTGTTCAGCGGAGGGCCAAAGTATGGTTTTTTTCTCAAGCTTTCAATAAAATTACTGAATATGATTTTAACATTAATTGTGGAATCAAAAGCGGTTTTATGGTAAGTTATATTAATTTCTTAAACTTTTATTTATATCTGCTTTATGATTTTAATAATAATTTAATCATTTGTTGTAGTGCAAAGTGTTCCTCGGAAAACTTGCGATGAATCGGACCCTTCACTCACTCGAGCAACAGTATTTGTCGCTCAGCTCAATTCTCCTGAATCCAATACAGATGACCTCATATATGGAAATAATTCTTCTAGTCCTTACGGTCCTTATCCACTAAAATTGAACTGATTTTTTTTTTCAGTTTATAACTATTTTTTAATATTTTTCTGATATTTACAGCTCAATTCGATTATAATCCATTAACTTCAACAGAATCAGTAATTGAGCCTCGATCACCCACTGGGTCAGTTACTAATACATCAGGTATCAGGACGGTGCAAGATTGTTCGGACATCGTGCAAAATTTGCCAAATAATTTTTGCACTGATTCATTACTTAATACTCTTCTATTACCCTCTGTTTCAGGTATTTTAATCAGTATTTGTTATTTAGCAAATGATTTTCAGTTGATTTGGCCCCATATGCATGCTTCTAAGAAACTTTTTCGCTGATAGTGGCGTAAAACATTTTTTGACTATATTTTCGATAAATGCAATATTGCCATATGAAACCACTGAAAACATAAAATCCAATAATGGTTTTCCAATTTCAAACGAAATTTTCCACATTAATTTTTAGGCACTTATCCATTATCAAATGCTGATGTTATTCATAGTCGGTCAACGGGAACCACAAGTGTGCAATCCACCGTTCCTGTTATCAGTGCGAGATATATCAGGTCGTTAGGATATGAACCATTTGTTCAATCTTCAGTTGCCTCATGCCACAATCCTCCATACATAATCCAAACAGCAAATAATGCTCATACAAAGATGGAAAATCATGGCGTTTTCAAAAGTAGTGGCGATGGTATGTTTTTGACTGATTCATTTGTTTTCATCTATTGCAGTATACTAAGTTCGACAGCGATGGCATCTATATTGAATGCGCCAACATGCGATCTTACAATGTCTGCAATTAGTGTTTTACAGACCTTCCAATGTTGGCACCATTCATTGCACATGACGATGTGATGCAGCTTACGACAGATCTGCATGGCCTCTTACCAGACTATAGCATTACTGAATGGATGTTATCTGATCCGTTGAGCCTTCAAACGACTCTGGGTGTTTCCGAAGTATTTTTTAATAGTCTTAATTTTTTTATTAAGCAAGTTTTTAACGACTTATGATGATAATTGATAAACATAAGTTAAATTCTCAAAGGTGATAAACGTTTCACTGGAATTTATTTGAGGATTGTTCCGCAGCAAGAACGAAATCATTGGCTGAAGTGAATACTATCTCTGAATTAAATTCGCCTCAAAGTCAGCAATTAATTTTTGATAAATTTTCTTTCGATGAGCAAAATCTCGCTCATGAACAGAAATCAGCAATTCAAGCTGCATTCTTGAGTAAATTTTACCGTATTCCTCTTTCTTTATTTTAGTAAGCCGTTAGTTCTCATTTCTCGCGTTTACAGAATGAGGGCCTTAAGCACCATTCGGATTTTTTCAATGGCAGATTTTCTCTTGTCGAAGGCAAGTTATGAAGAATTTGAGCCACAAAATACCAGTTTATTTCTAGAAATGTTTTGATTCAATTTTAGATTAAGCTTGTGTTTTTCATCAAGTTTGCTGTAAATTCATCTCCTATTTATGGGGAAAGGGTAGGAGATACTTTAGACTCCCTCTACCTTTTATGTCTTTTATTTGACAGAATTTTTTTTTGAGATAGCATTAATGGTCAAACGATTGGATTTAACGTCGGACCTATTTCACAGCGATAGCGAAGATTGCACTGAACTGGTTTCAATTATTAGTGGCTGCAATTCTTGACTACCTCTCAGCTCAGTGGGTCTTACTGAGGAAATTCAGCTTTCAGCTTCTCGCCTAGCTCATATTGCATTTACTACTATTCGGAACAACTTCGCAAAAAGCAGAGGGATGAGAATAAAGAGCAAACCAATTGAGTTGATATTAAGTTGCTCAGTTTCTTAAATTTCTTAAATTTTCAAACGAATTAAAACTGAAACATTAATGTCTTTTACATTCCTTAATATCTTTTGACTTCTAGTACTTCCTCTTTAATTGCCTGTATGTTACATAACTTTCATTCATATTTCTCGACCCATCTTTTTTCAAATCGAATAGGGGTTTACCGCACATATAGTTTCTCTATCGTCAGAATTTATATTCACTGAATAAACTTTGAGGGATAAACATTGAAATGCCTTAAATATCGCTTCATTGTCATTAAAGGCATAAATCGTGGTTTAGCAAAATTTATGCAAAACAAAGAGCCACAAAAGAAGTCTTATTGGCTTTTTCACTGCTATCTTTATAACATTTGTCATATTTGTCATATTTTTAATTGCTAAATTTTTAAAATATTCATCATTATTGTTCCCTTAATTATTGCAAAAATAATTTGCCATTAATCAGTTTAAGAGGAAAAATGCCGAGTTTGAGAAAATCGAAATTTCAGTTCCGAGAGGGACATTACAGCGTTTTCTGCCGAATTTGAGATTCGTTAATATTTTTTCCTCTTTGTTTTTCGATTTAATTTTTATTTTTAACTATTTGCAATATTTCTTATAACGTTAAATTATCGTGGATTGGTTATCGTGGCTGTCGATTTACAGATTCGCTCATTTTATACGCGGTACTCCTTTAGAACTCTTTTTGTAAATTGTTTTTTTCCGTTGTTTCGTTTGTTTGTTCTATTTCTTAGGTCTTATATAAGTTCTGCTTGTACATAAATTATATTTATGTTAAGAGTATTGATTCTAACTTTACTGATATTTAACCTCGAAAAAGATATCTGGGGCCTTTTTTGGATATCTTTGATATTTTTTACTTCCTTAAATATTTTCCGATGCATTTTCATTTTATTAACACCCATATGATAGCTTTGTCTACGCTTTCCTTGTCAGACTGACGCTCCATTCTTGAATTTGCAACATGCATATAGGAATAGATAACGGTGAAATTGGAGATCGTTTTCCCCAACCATTCTTTTTTTCTGCCTTTAATACCACTTCACATGAAACTATTTTGCTCTTTGAGTTTATAAAGAGTCCATATTTTCATTCATTGTTTTATTTCTAAAACCCTCCTATAAGTAAACGGCTGGCGCTCACTGTTTTTCGCCAGGTTAGCTGCACTGGCTGACTTCGCCAGACAGTTACTTGGCTAGAAAAATGTCAGTTGTCAGCTCCATTTCCTCCTCCACTTCGCCCTATAATAAATATAATATAGGGCATAATTATGCCAAAAACTCAAATTGAACTAGCATATCTTTAAAGTTGTTGCAGCAATATTTAGCAATTAGCAGTCCCTCAACAACTTTTAAACGCCATTTTCTTATTCTCAGTCCATCTAAATCCTCTCGCTCATCCACATTGGATGTATTCTAAATAAATGTGATGTTCAGCAAACTACAATACCTTCTCTTTAGGAATCGATTCCTTGGCTTTTCGTTTAATACTGAATATATTATTAAATGTTTTCTACTTTTCTTCAATTATATCATCATTTCTTGCATCTTTTGATACTTTTTTCACTGGCGATGCTCTAACATAAAAAAAAGTCATTTAAGATTATTTTTAACTGCGTATATTTCAGCCACCTCCATCTTTTTCTCATTTAACTGAATCCACGTTAAGCACGAAAATAAACACAACTGACCGCACAAATAAGCTAAAATTGAAACAATAAACACTTTGCTTGATAAAGAAATCAGCGCTAACATTGAAAGAAACCCATAATACCCCAACAAAATAATAATGACGAAAACAAATTGGAAAATATAGATCAAACAAAAATTTGGACCAATATACATCCGAAAACATAATTGAAAAGGTGAAACAAATAAATTTAAATATTTCATAAGCTGACGTAGTTCTACTATTTTCATGATAGAGGAAAACCTTCAATACCGATAATAAATGAAGCATTAAAATCATTATCATACAATCACATTCAATAAGATCACAAAAGATAGAAGAAAAATGTTACTCATTCAAAATTACTCGCAGTTAATTTTTATATTTTCCAAGCATTTAAATATCAACATTATGTCTAAATCGACTAAAACCGCACATATTTAAATGTAAAATAATATACGAAATAAAGTAACTGCATAAAGTTCAATAACAAAAAATAATAAAAATTATTCATTTATAACACAGACGAATTGAGCATTGGTTCAATAAAAAAAAAAATTAAAGTCAACATTTTAAAACTTCCTGAATGTGATAAAAAATCGCTTTTTTGATCAAAAAACAAATTTTTCATGAATGCCTCAATTAAGCAAGCAACTTTCATTTTACGGCTAATAACAAACAAACTTCCTTAAGACACTACAAAGGCAGAACTAAGAAAAAAAATATATAGTAAGATTATACACTTCGATTTTTTTTAAAAATGTAAATGGAAAATTGATTGACTAGTGATGAAGAATAAAGAAAAGCTGCTACACAATTAAATAAATTAAATTAATACAGCAGAACTGCGTAAGACATATTTGGCAATATAAATAATGTCTTGTTTTCTCCCAAGATTCAATACAGCATATCCTATACATCTATCGAATAATCATTCATACAATTCAAGTAAAAAAAATGAAATCAAAACTCATTAATTTTCAGGAAAAGCAACAATAATCCACTTCTCACGAACTTTGTAAGAAGGATACAAGCCGAACGAGCCAGTTCGACGGTTTGTACCCTTTGAATAACCATTCCAGTGGTTCCCTGCAATACCAATTACATCACCCACTTCGAGATCAATCTCGTCATTTGTTTTTGCTTTATGGGCTTCCACGGCTATTTGCTCATGAGCTGAAATTTGTAAAAAACCGATTTTATTTAATAAAATAATCTTAGGGAAGAGAAAAGGGCAAGTAGTAAAAATAAGAGAAATTCGAACGTCACAGGTGTAAATTTCAATCCATTTAGAGGACCTAAATTTTCATAATCTAAAAAAAAGTCGATCTGAAAAGTAAAAAGACTGAAAAGTCGGCCCTGCCTTCTTGTGAAAGTACAGTACTGGTTTGGCTAATTCCATTAATTTTCGCAAAGGAATCTCATGGACAGTTACAAATGATGTTCCCTAGCACCGCCCGGACTTCTAAATTTTTATGGTGGAGACAATGTCAAGGAGCGGGAGATCGAACGTACGATGTTCGATGTATCGACAATAACCTATTACTGAAAAATTGATCAATCCCTGAGAAACTGGAGTACTGCCATATTTTTTGAAGGAATTTCTAATACCTTGCTGTCCGCCATAATAATAAATGTCATCGAGCGAATGGAAATTATTACCAGCATCACCAAAACGAGCTTGCATCAATTCATAACCCACTCGACAGACTTGTGAACTGAATGTACAAACAAGATAATTGCACCTGAAAAATAAAAATATTCAATAGACTCTGTTGACGAGAAATGAATCAAAAATATTAAATTAAATTAAAAGAGAATTAAAAGAGAAAAATAAAACAAATTTCTTCTTGAAACAAATCATTTGATATGAAAGAAATGATAATAATCTAAAAAAACATTAAAAAAACACGCTTTTATAAAATTCTCTCGCTAAACGACATTTCACTTTTTTTGTATACTGTTTTGCCATTATCTCCTCTACTTAGCGCTGAAGAATCTGAAGGATCTTGACAACATTAACAATTTGTATTATTAGAAACGATCTGCCGAGGATTACTTAAGCCAAATGACGCCCTACCTTCAGGAGTCAGCTAAGCCCACCCTAAGATACAAGAGACTGCAAAGTGAGTCTCAGGTAAAATTCCAGTTGTTCGACCACGCCACCAAAGCATGCGCGTCGGGGAATGATAGCTATCAGCATCGGCGTAAACTTGCAATGGGTCGCAGCAAAATGGGAAAAAACCGACATTGGAAGGATTTGGCCTTCAATATGGAGACTGGATCTCAAATATGCGACCACAGAAAATTGCAAAACTGCCTGCAAAGCAACTAGAGCTCGATAAATGGTCCGCGAAGTGATAAGGATGAAAACCACGCAAAGGCTATCACAGATCGTCTCCGACGATAGAAAGAATTCTTTAAATCTAAACTTAACAACGACAGGCCATCCAACATTCGGGACATGATTGACATTCAGAGCTTTTAGAGCTGTGGAATTACCAACTGTGAACCACGAATCAAACATGAAATAATTTCTGCAGTTCGCAAGCTTAGAATCAACAAAATCCACAAAGAATATAGTCTAAGTGCTGAACTATTCAACTAATATTGTTTTCGCTGGTACGAGAAAAACAGCACAAACTATATGACTAGAACAAGACGTTTCTGCTACTAATTTCCAAGAAATATCCGAAACTATCATAGAATCAGCTTAACAGATATTTCTGTGAAGATTTTTTACCTCTCTTTTGCTGACTCAATGGCTTTGCTGTCCAAATTTACATGCTGAGAATGGTTTTGGAAACAATGTTTCAAGTACTGGCAACCTACCATTACTTCACTGACTATGCCACTAGCTTTGATTCCATCAACAGAGCTATATTTTGGCAAGTAATGCAACTCGATGGACTTTTAATACGCTGTTTCCTGTTCAATTACGACTTACAAGATACGAACCTAGACCAATTAAATCAACAAGTGAACAGTGAATGCATTCACCTTCATTTAAATATCATCAATATTAAGAATACCACAAATTGCTTTAGTTATGTTTGGCTACGTTGTCTTCATCATTCACCACAGGGATACACATCTCGTTAATTGTGATAAATGGCATCAAAAGCGAGAAAAGTTAAACAAGAGCTGAATCGATGCTATCAGAAGAGATTTCGAAAGTAAAGATAGAACTGCGATATATGGGCTTAGATGGTGGAAAAAGGAAGCTTCGAATGGCATCAAATTAATAGATTTGAAAAAGCCTTACCGCAGCGCAGCAAGCAGAATCAAAAGTGGAGCAAGCTGCCAGAATAAAATATTCCACTTGCTCGCATAAACATTGTTGAATTAAATATCCCTATCAAGATAAATGAATACAAACTCAAATTTTCATAAATTTATAAAATTATATGAGCCGATTGACTTTCCGTGAGTCCTGCTTTGGAATTTAAATTTTCACAGCTAAATCTCACCGAGCAAGCATTTCAACATCAATAAGAACACCCACTAACGACTCATGCGTATAACGTGAGTCAATACGAGCACTGTCAGCGATTCGCCTATTTCCATAAACTTTGAAGTTTGGATATCTGAAAGTTCTTAATTATTATAACATAAGATAAAAAGGTGAACCGCGCAATTAACCATCTCCTACAAATTCAGAAAATAAGATTTACGTACCTTTCCGTGGAACCATAGAATAAAAGAAAAGAAATGCGAAACCAGCACAAGCAACATGTTTCACTTCTCCTAACACATATAGTGAAAAAAACATAAAAAACAGTGCTAACGTTTTGCGCGCCTCTGAAAATACAGTCGAATCGTCGGTAGCGATAAAAACCCGTCTCTCAAACTTTTTTTTCGCACGATACTCTTCAATTTTGAACCAGTGTTCAGCCCATTTCATATATTCACTCAAAGGATGGAACGCGGCTTCAGTACCAACTTTATCTGTCCGACGAATCTGTATCCCAACTATGGGACCTTAAAACAAAATTAAAATTTTTGAAATAGCTTCCGAAAATTTAATATAATTAAAAATTTGTTTTATTCATTTTATTTAAATCTACCATCATAATTATATGGGCTAGAAAGAAAAATAAAGTGCGAAGACATCTTTAATTTCTCCAATTTAATTTTTTTCAAAATATGAACTAAGACCGAACTTTAATCGTCCTCTCAAACAACCTTCAACTTCGAGTTGACGCATTTCCTTTAATTCACTCTAATCATTCAAAATTGAAGCTATTATTACAATCATTATTAAAACATCATCAAAATATGTGTGTAGAATCTGTGTGTAAAACTGTTATGGAAAAAGATTAGTAAAAAGATATGAAAATTACGAATATTTTCTGTTAATCACACTCACTGACGAATATATCTCCTGGAATAGTAAACTAAATTTTTGCTCTAAAAAAGTTTGCTAATTATTCATATAGACAAGGATTAGTTGGATTATTATCTGAAGGTTTGGAAGTTCATTAATAATATTAACTCATCCAAAATTTTTTTACTCCTCCATTGCAAAAATAATCTAACCTTTTGTAAAAAGTCTAAAGATTTAAAGAAAAAGAAAAATCTAAAGAAAAAGATTTTTTTGAATAACCTCTCTGAATGAAGCAGAAAACATTATTCGTAATCCCTTATAAAACGCAACACTCACTTTTTCTCAAAACAAAAGCAAACGATAAAAAATACTAAAATATTAAATTATAAATCATAAATCCCCAATCTTTCAACGCATAAAGTGAATATAAAACAGTATTAAAACATGTTATTTAATAAATCAACTTTCATTTGATTTATCAAAAAATAAAAAATGATTAAACCAGTAACAGACCTTTATCAAAGGGGATTTTTTCTGCGGCTTCAGCAATACGTTTTGAAATATAAGGTGTTGGACGCATTAAATAATGTAAAAACTGCAAGAATATTCTTTAATGAATATCATGAACTCTTTTAATTTAACAGATAACAAAATTATTCAGTTTGGTATCGGCCATAAAACTAAAGAAAATTCCAAAAATTAAAAAAAAAATTTCGACAGTTATTCATCTATTTTTTTTCTGAAAGAAAACAGCAAAATCCCCATTTCTTTTCTTCTGTGGTTTGGTGTTCAATGTCCTCTTCTTCTTCTAACAGCTACATTAATCTCACCATTATTGGTTAGGCTGGTTCCACTCGTTACAAGGGTAAGGCGTTTCCAAGCGGCGCGATCTGACGCCATCGCTAGTAGTAACAGAAGCCATTCCTTTTTCCATTGTCTAAGTCCATATATCGCTGGTCCACCTATATGTTCAAAATCTTTCCTGACCGTATCAATCCAGGTATTTATTAGCCCATCTTGCTTTTGACCACTCATCACAGGGTTTAACAAGTAACGAAATATACGTCAATTCCTGTATTTGAAGGAAGGTGGATGCGATCATGGAACACACCTGTAGCTCAATGGCTCTATGGTGAAGGGGTCAGATATTCTTGGTGTTCAAAGTAATACATCGGATTACAAAAATAAAGAAAATTTTTACACAATAAATGACTGCAAAAACGCTGATAAAAAAATTATAAAGGGCGCCTAAAAAAACAAATCGCTTTTGAAGAGACGCTAATTCATTAAAATCAAGGAAAAAAGTAAGCATAGTAATAAAAAAATGTGGACCATTGAGACAAAAAAAACTGGTGGATTAGAGTGAAAAGTTAGCAGCAATTGAGATATCGACTTTGGAATCGCCAAAGGAAGATAAGGAGGTGGGTTAATCAATGAATCGACGATGGGCAATGACATCACTTTCGCTTGATCACTTCCCCACTCACTTTCTCGATCACCATCCTGCAACAATTTGCAAAACCTAATGAAATTAAAATAATGAAAACTAATGAAATTTTATGCACTATTAACAATTTCAGTCAAAAAATCCAATAACAAGAAAGAAAGAACCAAAGTGATTAATATAATTACAACTGAATATGTAAATCAAACCGACCATAAGAATTTGATTATATGAACAATTCGTTATAGGCAAAAAAGCGTAATTCCATCCTTCTGCCGAATACCTCCAAGAATAACCATCATTCAAGAAAACCATCGTTCTCTTTGTAGCATAAGACACGATAAAGCAATAAGTAGCATGATGAATTTGGCATCCAAATCCACAAGCTTTATTTAGCGTACATACTAATTTTCTATAAAATAAGCATTTTTTGAAAAATTTAGTAAAAATATGAAAAGCTGATGGATGTTATTTTATCCAAAAAAATTATCAAACAACTACGTATTCGATGAAGCTGAGTTCTGAGTTTATTACTGCATGCATATGTGCATGTTAGCACAATTAATTCAGCCAATAATAAAGATACCTTGCAGCACTACAATTAGCTGGATTTTGCAGCCTGCTGAGTTCTTCTTGAAAATTGTCCAAAATTTCTCGCAAAGCCATCGAGCGTCGCTCTCCTGCATTATCTATACTCCCAAAAGCAAGCGACTGGCCCATTAAAGAAAACAGCTGTAACTTAAGTTTGTTTATCAACTTGAAATAAGACTGTAAAATGTAAAAAGGTAAAATAACAGTACGAAAAACTATTTAAACCCACTTCTTCCATAGTATGATTAACGAAAGGATGATTGTCCAATTTCTCGAGTTGATCATTAAGATAAAAATACAATTCTTTTATGGAATTTTCAAGATCACGACGAGCAATCTAAAATAATGTATTGGGCCTTTCAAAAAAAGAAAAATAACTGCCTATTTTACAAGTGAAATTAGAGGACAATATGAAAGAAAAATTTACAGTTTATGGACCCAATTCCCTCCATCTTAAACGAAAAATATTCAAATATTAATTGAAAATAGGAAAAACATTAACATACTTCTTGTTTTTGTGAAAATTGTCCCGCTAGTGGTAACTGTTGCAGTCTACTGAAAAATTTTTGTTTTCTGCTTCGTTCATTTGCCAACATTTCCGCCATTTCTTTATTCTGTTTCTGCAACATTTCGAAATCTTTCATAGCACGCGCATAATATTCTAGCAAACTTGCCGCTTCCTTATCCGAGAGACCTTAAAATTATAAAACTGAACAAATATAAAAGCCACTTCTAACATTGTAAAATCCATTTTTATTCTCTTAATCAAAGGAAGCACCAATTTTTTACCGCAGAAAACAAACTTCGCTAAAATCTAAAATCATATTTTAAATGAAAAATCGTTGACGATTAAAGCTAAGAAAATGAAACACGAAATGATAATAAAAACTGATGTCAAAAAACACCTTTCGACTGAATATTAAGAAGACCGGCCGATAAGTAAACGAGAACAAATATCCATATTGCAACAGCCGATATAAGAATACTTCGTATCAAACACGACGAACGCATTCGATACATTGTACCATAGCGGTATTCTGCAAAAAAGGACGATTCTGACGAACTTATTCATATTGAATAAAGAGGAAAAAATCTGACGTCTGATTTAACTAGGCCATCAAAACGTGTCTGCATGCCGTGAAAAATTTCCCAATTCCGTATTTCACAATAATACAAAATTACAAACAGATGTGGACAGTGATAAGGCTAAGAGATTATGATAAGAGTTTACTGAAGAAATTTGTATAATTAAATTCATTATTTGAAGACTAAGAGGATTGCGAAAGAGTCAAAGACTATTGCCTACATAAAGTAGGTGTAAGCGATGCTTCTCCCTCTATTCATCTGTTTTATCGTATTGAATTTTTAATGGACCACTGGTCGGTGATTATAAAAGACTCGTTTTTTCCAACAAACAGCGTTTCTCACCTAGACGCTTACACTGACTACTACGAAAGTAAAGTGCTCAGCGGAGGGTCAGAACCGTAATAAACCTACAGGTTTACCTCTTCGAAAGACAGGGAACGAACCTATATGGACTTCTCATCCGTCCGAAGAAAACTCTTCCCCACCATACATTACGATTGGCACTTATTGCCAGCAACCGACACCCTTTCACCCATTCATTTAAATTAGTGAAATATCTATGAAACAATAATCGTTGAATTAAACATCGTGAATCCATGTCGTTCACCACATTATTTAAGCAGATTTAATAATAAATTTTAATTATTAAATTTCGTTTCAAATTATTGATAACATTATTATTTACGCAATTATTATTGAAGAAAAATCATTATTTTAACATTTGCCTATTTTAATAAAGAATTTAAAGAGCACTTCGTATTTATCAACAATTACCAGTAAAAAAGGTATCAGTAAAATGTCTGACATATGACACTCGCGTGGATTTCACGCCTACACCCGCCTCGATCTCACGCCTGCCACTCGCCTCGATGTCACGCCTGCCACCCGCCTGGATTTTCATCGTCAAGCGATTCCCTCCATAACAAGAATCGCAACCATTCATTCCAAACCCCAATAAAAACAAATTTTTCGACCATAATCGCTTAAAAATTTCTTCTAGTCTAAAAAATTAATCGTTTAAAACAAAATTCTGCCAAATCATAATCCTCATTCGTTTATTCAAAATTTTCTCAAAGAATGACAATAGGAAAGAAAAATATTCTAAAATTATTAACCATGCAATTTACTAAAATAATTTCTCAACTTCTCGACCTTTGAACCCTTAAAATAAAAAAACATAAAAGCATTATGAAGCAGATAAAAAATCAATAAATTCAAAGCATAGTTCTCCGCGAAAACTTTCGAAAAACAACTTTAATCGATCAAACAATGTGCATACATATCGAAAATGATCATATCGCTCGCCGCTTTGCTTTATTTCATTCGATGCTTATAGGCTAAAGCTGGGCGGAAATAAAAAGAGTATTACAGTGAGACATATAAAGATATTTCGACATCGATTGATATTTTATTTATATGAATTTCAACAATTGTGATTTAAATCAGACGCAACTCTCTCAAAATTTTGTAGAAATTCCATTTTCGGTACGAATACAATGCGATTACTTTCATCACATGTCGAGTGATATAGTATAATAAAATAATTTTCATTTCAATTCGCTAACAATGAAAACTTTTCAATGATTCTTAATTTTTATTCATTTCAATTTGAAAAAGAAGTGATAAGCTTCATAATTTCTGGTGTTAGGTATATCCGAATATTTTTTGCGAAGAAGTCAGCAGTTGGTGATAGAAGGTGCAACATGTAGGCCACATAGATTTATTCCTGCCGAAGCAGATGCGAACTTTGACACTCGAGAGAATGGCAAAAGCTCCACTTGGTTACCTTGTCTCCAATTACTTAAATCCCAGACACATTAAAATAAATACAATCTTTTAAATGAAACAAGCAACAGCAAAATTTCGATCCTCGCGAAAAAATTTCGAAAAATTGCCAGAAACTCGAAGAATTGTGAAATCCCTATTCCTTTATATATTACCCCTCTATTACTTTACCCCTCGACTGTTTTTTTTCTAAAGAGTCCTCACCATTACTAGCTAAACTCGCCCCGCTAGCTTATCGCACTGGACAAATATACCAGGGAGAACCTTGGCAATAAAAGTACAGGTGAGTCGCCAGCATCACCCGGATTTTTGTACAGGTCTACCCCTGCGGCCCTCAGTCGGTCATAATAAAACCTCAGCATCGGCGCCCCGAATTGAGCAACGACCTACTGAACCACTCTACCCCTCGACTGTGGTAGATTTTGTCATTTAAAATAATACTCGACTGGTGCTAAAATTCCATTCATCTATGCTTCTATTCTCAAATGATCTCCTTGGTGAAAGGTTCATTTTAGTATCAGTAGAACCAACCAAACAAGAAAAATAGAGAATACTGTTAGAAAAGGAAAACAAATCATAACAAATAAAATAGCTAAATTTTAGCCAAATAGCTTTTGAAAAAAAAGAAATGATTATAAGAATGACAAAAAGCAACTGATAAAAATTTCTCCAATCATTAAATTTAATTTTAATTAAAAAACTTCATTAAATTACGTACAGGGTTATATAATAGTGATAATTTAACGCACACAATTAGCTGTCAAATAAAAAATTTGCAAAAACGTAGAATGAAAATGGATCATCAAAAAACACATAAATAACGAAGAAAGCAAAGAAGGTTAATACGATGTTATACCATACAGAGAATTCAAACAAATATTTCTGCGACATTTTTTCATTATTAAAAGTTAAATTTAATTTTTGGAGAAATGCCACTATTTCGATAAAAATTTCCTAAACCATCGGCGTTTGATACTTCGAAAAATGCGAAATTCTCTTGTGCTTGAATATAAATGACAACAGGAACTCACCATGTCTGGTAAAGCCCGTTCCACTGGCCATTGGCACAAAAAATTTTTGGCAGGAATTCACTTGAGAATAGAAATACAGGCAAGTCCTCGCTTAGAAGTAATACAATTGAATAAAATACACATATAAAATGCATATGCCATTATAAAGCTGGATGATATTTTTTTTTAACTATGTCCACATCAAATCAATACAACTGAAATTATTATCAAATTTTGATAAAGAATTCCTGAAAAAATCGACCATTCTGTAGCTAAAAAAAATTAATAATTAATAATTAATATAGCTAAAAATTTAATAAATACAATAAAAAGTACCAACCGTTAAAATCTATTCAATAAAAACTGATATATTCACAACCGTGAACCTCTTTAGCTATTTAATATTCACGACTGATAATCAGTATTCATAAAACATACCGATTCGATCATAAAATTTAACATTGACGACGCCGAAAATCCTCATTTTTTCCATAGAAAAAATTCTTTGAAATTTAAAACCATGCATAACCAATAATATTTAGCAAATTTCATATTTTCTTACAAATATAAAAAACTAGTCTCCAAAATTATTTATTCGAATGATTAGGAGAATTTTAAATGCATTCTGAATGTAAATGCACCTTAATGTATTTTGCTTATACTACAGTGGTTCTCAATCTCTTTTTTCCTACCGCCTCTGAAAATTGTTGATTCACAGGATCCCCAGCGAATTTATATTTTATTAGGACATGACAACTGGTATTTGTTGCATTAGAAATTAGAATTGAGAAATTTCGAAAATAAATTTTTCTCTTTAAATGAAATTTTCAAAATTACAGAATTTGCTAGGACTTAGATTAAACACAAGCATATACTTTAGAAAAAAATTTAAAAATATTAACGTCCTGGCATAATATAACGTTAAAATAATTTATCGCCTACAGAACCTCCTTAATGGTCTTCGAATCATAATTTAAGAACCACTGATTAAATACATCGATTACCACAATAAAATACATCATTTTAAACAAAAAAATTATCTTTAAAAATAATCGTTGATTTCAAATTTCTAAACAAATAATCACTGATAAGCCCCACCTACACATTCTATATTTATAAAAAATGCAACAGCTTGCATTTGTGAATAAATGCAAGAACCAACTTCTCTGATCCATTTTTAAGACAATTTAAAATGAATTAATTTTAAAGTAAGGAAAATAATTCGGATAAACCGATAAAAATGAAATTATCCAATTCGTTTTTCCACGATGTTTTTAAGGCAAATTTAATAATTAAATTTAATAAAAAAATGTAATAAACGTTCATTAACCAATATATTTGTTTTTACCAAAACGAATAATAAGACAACAAAAAACTGAGAATTTTAATTCAATATAATTCAATTTTAATTCAATAATTTAATATCGCCTACTCAAGTAGCTGATTCTATATTCAGGGAAAAACAAGATGATGGGATCAAACTTTTCCAGAAATCTTTAATTCTTCAATAACCTAATTTCATTAGTTCATTTCGTTCATATCTTCCAGATCTCTAAGGTTTCGTATTATCTATTCTAGCCTGTCAAAAATAATAAGCAGGGATAAGGTAATGACTACCACTTCTGCAAGATTTAGATCATTCAACTAGACACAGCAAACAAACAAAAGAAATCGTCGAATCAAGACTGAAAACAAAATAACGAAGAAAGAACTGGATGATTGGAGCATGGAATAAAAAAATCTATGGAAAAGTTAAGCACTGTGACAAAGGAAATTGAACAAATGAAATGTTGCTCACTACTGACTGGAGATTGGAACGCCAAAGTGAGACTTACGATAAAGAAATTATGGGAGATATGGGCTTGCAACGAAACTCTTAGGAGAGCGTAAAGGAGATCGCTTAAGAACTTTTGCTAATGCATATCTATTCACATATTATTCACATCCAACACCTATTAACATATTCACATTCACATATTCACATCCAACACCTTCTAGCAATTTCACAGACATTACATTATCGATACATTTGGGAAACCCTAATGGAGTTCGCAGAAATCAAATCAACTATGTCAGCAGAAACTAGTGCTCAATAAAGTACGCGAAAACCAGGATCGCACTGTGGCATAGAGTGTCAACTATCGATTTGGAAATTTCTAATGAAATTGAAGAGCAAGTTGGAATCACTAAGTTAGGATAATGCAGATAATGCAAACCAAAAAAACAAAAATATTCAACAAATTTACGGTTTTCAGTTTATTGGAAAGTTAATCGCATGTGGGACGACATCAAATAAAGTCTAAAGGGCGAGAATGCCAAGCAATCAAAATACAAACAACTGGTGAATAGACAAAAGAGCGAGAAACAGAAAGTGTAGGAAAAATTTATCAGAAAAAAAAACATAATACGAGACAAATCAGGGCGTAATAACTGGGAACAGAAATAAGGAAGACCTACAACAAGAAATCATGAAGACGATCGCACGATCGTTATAAAATTTGATGCAGAACAGAAACGACTGGAAGATGATCCACATGGAATTAATATATCGAGAAAGAATTCGATGATTGATGATGGTGATTCCACTAATTTTTTTCTTGTATCTTTTGTTTGAAGAGAAATATAAGCAAAATAACCAATAAAAAATGCTATTAAAATGCTATCATAGTCAGCTGTATTTCCAATGTGATGTTTTTTCATTAAAGCATTTTCATCAGTGCAAGAATTGATGACAGCTATTATCTCAACTATTCAATTTCGCATGTCACTTATAATCCTTTTAACTCAATTTTTGCCCAATTTAAATGAAAAAATAATTGATAATCATGATTTTACATTTCTAACTTTTGATCTTTTCTTGGTTTTATGACTTCCTTTCATCAAAAATTTATAAAAAGTCTCAAAAAATATTTTTATACCTTTAAATTTTTCATATCTTATTTTTATAGCTAAAGGCAAGGCAAATAACCTTTAAAGTCCACTATAGCGCGAGAAGTTAAACTACATGCGTAAACATAAAATATAAAAAAAGAGCATAAAAAATTCTAAAAAAAATGTAAACAAATTTTGATAAAAAGACGTGAAAAAAAATTCAACCAAATTCATTTTAGAAAGCTCACCTTCAATCAAATCTTTTTGCATTTTCAATAATTTTTCGAAAGCAAAATAACTGCTGCTTCAGTGATTCCAAGAGAAATGTTATAAATTCCAGAAATATGTATGGGAGGTGAAACTGACGAAATTATTAGGGACAAACATTCCAGTGGAATCAGCAATACAGCTGTACAATTGTCCGAGCACCTATCACATATCCATTCATTACAAATCTCTTCAAAATATCTCCTATCCTTTCGTTAAATATTAAATGGTTTTTTTTTCGCAAATATATAATCGATATTTAAAAAATTATTTTTCCACTGGAAATTTATTTCAAATTAACCAAAAAAATAACTATCGGTGAAGATAAGAAAGAAGCGCGAAAACCTGGAAAATATTTCCAATGTCCTTTGCAAGATATGCATTGACTCTTGAACAGTACCATGGTGTTGACCAAACGGTAGGTCGGAAATTATATGATCTACGCAACGAAAGTTGAAAAAATCTAATAAAAAAAAAATAAGTATTACGCATGATAATAAAACATTACCTTTGTAATAAATTATTAGGATTTCAAAAAAAGTAAAAATAAAACTACGCTAAAACTGGGCTAAAACTTTGCGACAAATTCTTTTACCAATTATTTTAAGAATATATTCAAAAGATATTTAAAAGATAGGTTGAGACTGTACTTAATTCCTGTTCAACTTAAAAAAAACGCTTTTTATCATGAAACTTTTCTACTTATATATTAAAAAAATTCTACCAAATATCACATCCGCATTGATAAAGTCAATATATATATCATTCCTTTCGAAATCGCATAAATACTTCTTATTTTTCACTGAAATTTCCAAAGCTGACATTGATATATCAACACCAAGAAAATAGCACTGAAAATACAATAGTAAATTAAGATATTTGATAATAACAATAATATTCCATATAGATAACCATCTCCAGTATTCTACGTTGACTGTGTATTTTTATTTTATATATTGCGTGAACTTAGCGAATCACGTTCCTTAATCCTAATGAATAGAAATATAAATCATAGTAGGGATTACTGGTGTGCTCGAAAAATATGCGGTTGCACAAATTACCAATATGAGTAATATCATTCGAAATTTACCATGCCAAGCCTCATTTTCATTCTCACAACGTACTGCAACTGCTCATTTGATCATTAAGATGGCTTTTATGTATATGTGCGTATATGTATGACAACGAATCAAGGAACAGCAACCTATGGGACTTTGAGATCAAGCCCCGTTTTATTTTCAAAAATCGCCTCATACTTCCTCAATAGCTTTTCAAACCCTTTCAAAAGCTCTTATGTTGCCTTTTATGCGTTAGTGTGTTAAACATGTTAATGTTTAATATTAATGCCAAATAATCAATGTGACAACAACTGCAGCGAAAACTGGACCCAAAATCAATGTGAATAAATACAAGATGCTGATAAAATACCTATTTTTAATCAATTCATTGTCGGTTAAGGAAATGAACCGACTTTAAATATCTTGGATCTTGGATCTACTTTAATCCCAAATGGCCAAGCAAAGGATGAAGTTGTAATCCGGATAATGGCAGCAAAAAATTTGCTTTTCCAGTTGATGAAACCTCTATGGAACCGTCACGAAATCACCATAAAAACGAAAATCCGTGCCCATATAGCTGCAATTCGTTCGATTGCTATATGGCTACGAAACATGGCTAACATGGCTTTCTTCTATAATTGTTGAAGACTATGCCGCTTAAAACGTCATACCCTTATAATCCTTTGAGCCAGCCTAACTAGTAATGATGAAAGCTGTTAGAAGAAAGTTGCCTTTTATCCTCAAAATCCCTTAAACCTATCAAACTCTTTTATTACCCTACTCATCCTGTCACATTCCTTCAAACTCCAGTTCTTCCAGCTTCGTTTCTTCAGCTCTCCTACGTGGTTTTTTTAAATCTCTTCATGCCTTCTTAACATCCTTTCGTCTCGAATTATTTTTTCTGAGCACTAAAAAGCTCTCTACAGTCACAGATCGCAGTCGCAAATATATCCTTACTGTTAGTATTTATAGTATAGTATTTATAGTATTTAATATAGTATTTATTATCCTATATTTATTATAAAAATTCCGAAAATTATTTATTATTTATTTATTATTTTATTTATTATTTCTATACTTCGATATCTCGAGTATATTTGTAGATAATTAAATTTTTTTATCTCTCTATGAAATAAAAAAGATATGACTGCAACTTTGCTTTAAAATTGGCGAGATTGTAAGAAATTAATGAAATTTCATTATATTATCGAGAAACAACTTATTCAGTTAGAAACGAGTCGGTTAAAAAAATTTATTAAAAGAAATCTTCATTAAAAAATCATCTTTTATATCTCGCCATATTCATAATTTCTATTTCCTTCCAGTGTACCAGTTAGGATTGTTGAAACTGTTTTAAACCTTTTTCTCATTAAAAAAATTTGAAATAAAAGAATAGGAATAACGTTACTATAAGGATTGGCAGAATGAAAACTTAGCTGAAAAAAAAAAAAAATAAACGGAATATCTTACCCTATCCTTAAACTCATAAGCTGCCTGCATAAGAATTGAAGATGATCCACAAGTCAAATCAAGAATAATTTGATAATCGCGAATATCAGCCAATGAAACCATTGCATCAGCAACTGTTGAACGAAGATAATTTCGCCATAAATAAGGCCTCTTTGATAAGCGATCTCTAAACTCACATAAATACCAACTTCCAATGTATATACTAAAATTTAAATTACCACACTCATTGAATTATTTATAATTTACAATAAATTATAATTATCCACAATTATAAAATTCTAAACGAAAATATGAAACTTAAAAACATAAATAATTGAAATAATTCAAAAATCACCGTAAAATTGGAATACCGATAAACAGCAAGACATTAGACAAGTGAATAGAAATCTCAAAAAAAGGATTTTTCAGAGCTGCGCTGCACTTATATGTGTTACGAATATGTCTAGCTAAACTTGTTGATAATTTCTGAAATCTTCCTACTCATTGATTAATTTGAAAAAAATGATTAATCATTGTTATTTGCACTAAGGCAATGCATCAAATTTATATATTTCAAAAATAAATTGAAACAGAAAAAATGTATGTGTAAGAGTGAAAACCTGAACAGATGAACAAATAAAAGATGAAAATAACGAAATTACTAACTTCCACGTCAATTTTTTTCTTCCATTTTCCAGAAACTTTCATGGAAATGCGAAATGAAGACAGCGATATATCCTGACTAATATTATTGAGCAAAAGCAACTCGTTGAAGCCAACAAATACATTTTTAGATTTACATATAGCAAAAATAATATTGAATAAATCTATAAAAAATTCCAACAGCTCAAATATGATAAAAGGTTAACATGTGGGATGATCTTCTCTGGAATAATCGCAGAGCTTCGGAATGCCACCCTAACTAATAAAACAAATGGCGGTTGGTTGTCGATATCTGAATCGATGTTTCAATAAATTGCTTATTTCCCAGTCTAAAATCAGCTTGATTGGGGCCCAAGACAAGTTCCATGAATTTAGCCAAAAAAGAAAAATCTCCGAGCTATCTAGTAGGGCTGATTCCTCTAAAGCTATCGCAATTCCTCGTTTAATCCTTTGAGAATATGGAACAGAATGGCTCTGTTTCAATTATTACAGTATAAATTCTTTTTTCAATACAGTGAATAGATTCTTTAAAAATGGGTTGCGAAAGGGGCTGGGTTGGATAAAATTTGAAGTGTTCGACCAGCAATTAACCCTCTCTAGGAGTTTCACTGACCAGAATAACGAAGATTTTTTTGGCGAGTAGCAGTTGCAAAAATATAACTCGAAAAACGTTTCAGTTATGTGCGGTATAGTGAGTTGTGCTTGATAGTCAAGGGTTATCCACTTTTATCTCACATGACTGACTACCTCTTGACTTGCGATAGGAAAGAAGCCAAACAGCTCTCGGCCATCTAATCTACTCGGGCAACAATAGCATCGTTGTTACTGTACAACTTCAGTGCTGCCCAGTAGTTAGGATCCTGAGAGTTTTCGATTAAACCAAGACAACTGTTTCATTTTTCGCCAGAACCATGGATTTAACCAATTTCTAAAACAACAATTTATTTTAAATCATTGTTCGGCTGTTCCAGAAATATTAACTAAGTTTATTGTGATGTTTCGATAATTCTACCGTCTCCGAGTTTTTCGGTTCGGATTAAAATATTTTTAGTGCGCTGCCTTCTAAAAGCTAAATATTTATTTACGAAATTATTTGAAATTTTTCTCCTTAAATAAAATTTTTATTTAACAATCATATAATATGCTAAGGCTAAGACCAAATGCTAAGCCTAATTATAATTAAATAGAAAAGAGTGAAAGAGGCAAGTAACGTCTTTGTACTGTTATCTTCTTTTTCTAATAATTCATACTATCGCTCCACTGGCAAATAGATGTTTTCACGTCATTCGATCCGATGCCACTCCTGAAACTGAAGCCACTCTTTTTCCACTGTCTAAGCCCGTACACCGCTGCGTCGCCTATTTCGAAACCTTTCTTGACCATATCAGTCCAGATCTTAACTGGTTCTCATCTGGAAACTAAAACGTTTGGCAGATAGAGAATGTGTATAAATTTCTGTGGTGAACGACGAAAAACATGGCCAAACTAGTGCAGATGACGCTTTGCGACGATATTCTTAATGCAGATGGCATAAAGCAGTCATGTGAAACTTTGTCCATTTGGCTGAAGGATATATTTTAGACATGGATGTTCAAAGACAGAAAGACAACTCCTACTCTCACTGGCCAAGCTTCCCAGCTGTATGATAAGATTATGAGTACCACAACTTAATTTTGCGGCGATTCCAGATTCAAGTTTCACCAGATAAAAGCAGGCATCTCTGGTTGCAGCCATCCGAGCTGCAATTTTATCGTTTATCTGGCCATTATGAAAATGGATTGGAGATATTTAAGATCTGAAATTAATATAAAATGTATATGAGTCTCTAGTATATAAGCAGAAAAAAGTTCATATTCGGATTGATTTGAAGACTGATTTTCAACTACTGTTATTATGGAAATGATTTTGGGTTTGAAAACTTCAGCTGTCGACATTTTTAGAACAATCGATAGAAAACACTAAATAATAAAAAAAATCGAAGGGAAAAAATCGAAAACATGGTGAAAATACATGGCAAATGAGCAGAACTGTCTTCCGATACGGTATACCCCTTGACATCTTCTTTATATTCCACTTCACTATTCTCACACTCTCTAAATGAGAGTCTATTATTCTCTTATATATCCCCTTCCAATCGCCTTCCATTTCTGGTGCATTCTACTTCAATACACCATCACCTATCGCCATATGATTTTTTTATATAACTTTGTAATTTTATAATACGTGGCAGCGAAAATGCACTGCGCGGTTTGATGTGCACTGGAGAAAACGACGATCCGATATTTCGCAGTTCAGCACTGTCACGCTTTTTTCGAAAAGAACATCCATACCTATGCAATTAATTTGAAGCAACAAATCTAAGAATGAACTATTACATAATACATAATTTATTAGTGAAACGAAGCCATTCGCTTATCCAAACTTTAAATGTTTCCTTGGATGATCTCTAAATTGGTCAAAAATTGATTTGCATCTTTTCCACGAAAAAAAAGAAAAAATAGAAATTTCAAAATACGGACCTCTTTTGTTCAGTTTTAAATCGGTTAGAATGCCAAAATGTACGACAGCAAACAATCTTTCCGCAAATTTTAATTTTGATAGATTTACTCGTTTATTCATTTCAAAACAAACCTTTCCCTGAATGCTTTCTCGTAATTCCAACTGTAAATTAAAAATTATAAACACATAAACCATTTTGGTTTCAATGCTAATTTTCGAAAACGAACACGAAAAAAATTTTTCTTCATTCCAACGATAACGACAATAATAACGAAGAAATGTACACGTGCTACACAAAATAAAAAATATTTTTATTTTACCTGGTACTTTTCTAATTGACTTCTAAAGAAAACTTCCAATCCTTTACCAACAGTAACACAATATAACATTGCTGACTTCTAAAGTTTAAGTTTAACGATTCAAAGTTCAAATCTATTTTCTCCTGAAAAAATCTCTTTTATAAATCAAATTTTCAGCCAAACCAAATTAAAAACATACCACTGATCCTAAGAGAGAAAACATTTATGCATTTCTAGATTCCAAATTTAATATCCATCACAATTAAAGGGATTTTCCCTTCATTAATTCTATAAGGTATTATGAAATTGCTAACTTGATAAAATGGAAGAAAATATCATAAATTCGATTCTTGTAAACGTATAATCAAAAATGAAATCAGGAAGTGCTGGGGATTTAGCTGTACTTCGACACATAAATGAAAACTTCACCAGCAAGTGCAGCCACCATCTCCTCATCGGCAAATTCTCAACGATATTGCACTCGTCCCTTATATAACAATGTTAAATTATATGACTACTGGAGAAGAAATCTGAAAATATACTAACAAGGTCCAGCTTGCATGATGAGCAAGGCATAAATGTATAGTATCAGATAGAATGTTCGCAGATTGGATAAAATATGCGAGAATCAATGATAATAAAAGACAAAGGGCCAAAGTTTGATCGAACTTCGCTTGCGTATTGGTCAGTCGGGTATTTTCTTACAATACAAAAATTTTTTCAATAAATAACTTCTTCTAAAGTTTTTTAATAAAAGTTCCAATAAATAACTTTTCTCTTTAACTTTACTTCAACAACAGAGGAAAAGAAATTAGTAGTGGCAAAAATTGATCCTATAACCCACAATTCATTTCTCTTCTAGTAAAGCCTTTTCTCCACTCCACTGGCTTGCCGGATAAATTCTGCCAGGAAGCCACTCAGCGATAGAAGTGCAGATCAACCGCCAGCATCACTCCGATTCTTCGAAGGCTCTAGCCGCGCGCAGAACCAGCATTAGCGCTCCAAACCCCTCAGACCCCATCGTGCCAGACTACTTTGTGCAATCAATTTAGTGTTTAGCGGAAATTCTTAATATCCCTCTGCTTGTTACTTATGCGCAGAAATGGGGAATTTAAAATTTGAGTTGAAAAATTTTTTAAAAAACCGACAATTAGTATAGGGAAGAACGTTTTCAAAAAATGTAAATTTTACTAGTATTTTTAAAAAATTACGAGAAATTGTCAGTTCTTCAATAAATTCAATTGCTGCTAATTATTTTATAAATTACTGATAGTGCAGTTCAATTCAGATGTGAGATTTGGTTAAATTTTAATGTTAGTATGAACTTTAAGCTAAAACTAAAACGCAGTGTCGGATGATGATTTGAGGCCGCAGATTGTCAATGGTTATATTTTGGGAGACTTTTAGATGTCGCTTTACTGTGCAGGTTTGCGATTGCGAGGGAGTGTGAGGTAATTCTAGTTAATCTCTAATAGTGGGGTGTGGGGGTCCTAGTGGCCGTAGTTTTAGGTTTTTTTCTGCTTTTTTTTCATTTGGGTCAGTTAAATGGGCCACTTCGATAGTCTCTGATTAAAAACCGACGGTTCCCTTCAGAATTCTGTGAAAGCTGTGGGTCCTCTTGGGAAAGGTGGAATTCGTGGATATGTCTGAGGATTTAGTGTAAGTTACGATTTTTCATCAGAATTTTTTATGAATTATTTATTATTGACTCTAATTAATAAGAAGTCTTTTATCGATGTTGCTGATTGATATGCTTTATTTACGTTTTGATCATACAATTGCATGTATTTTTTATTACATGAATAATGGAAATAATTTAAAATTGTCAAATTCCAGCTTTTCGCATGGAATTTTATAAAACGAAGCTATCAGAAAGGTCATTGAGTAATAGAACTAATGACTGTCTCTCTTAGTGAAGAAGGTTGGTTGATTTTATTGCAGAGTTCGTCTTGTCATTTCGTAATAATTGCATACAGCTCTTTAACACTCGCATATAATTTCGTAATGTGTGCAGTTAATTTAAAAAAATGATTGGAAAGATTTATATCAATAAAGATTTATAGCTTTTGTCTTTTTCTAACTCTTGCCATTACTGGTTAGGCTTCAGCTCGCTGCGCTGGCTTCAGTGGTAAGAAGTCTCCAGGTTGTTCGGTTCGACGCCATCGCCGACAATAATAAAATGCATTCTGTGATTATGATCTCCGTAGTACTCCGTAGTAGTAGGTGGAATTTGAGCGAAGGTGGCTGCATTCATGTTTGATTTTATCTGCTCGTCAAATTTATAAAATGTTTCTTAGAAATAAGTTGTAAAGGAAGATCTTAATACCTTTCACTCATTGGTCATGTCTCGTAGCCATGCAATAAAATCAAGTGATTAACAGCCATATAGACGCGGAAATTTGTTTTAATATTGATTACACGATGGTTCAGGTTTCGCTGACCAGGAGAACGCATTTCTGTTTACCGTTATCCGGATAATTTTCTTCATTTGGAATTTGGTCCTTCGCTTGGCCATTTGGAAATACAAGGGATTCAAGATATTTAAAGTCTAGCATTTCCTCAACCGGCGATGAATTGATAAAAATAGGTATTTTATCAGCTTCTTGTTTATAAGACAAAAAGATTTGCGTTTTATTTATATTGATTCCACGTCCAATTCTCGCTTCAGTTGTTGACACATTGTTTAGTATTATTTGCATTTCATTATAACTGTCAGCAAAAAGGTCTACATCATCACTGTATTTGAAATCTATGATACTATACTCTGGATTCATTTTTACACTTATTGAGTGCAGACAAGCGATGTCCATTATCCGGTCTATCGCATTTTTGAATATTTGAATATTGTAGAAGGGACGATGCAGTCTTGACTCTCAGTTTTTTAAAAATGTTTTTATGGTTTGTTGGAAATGAATGTTCGAAATCTTCAAATGGTATTTGCATCTAAGAAGGCATAATAATAATCTGGTGATTATTATCATTGTTCGCATTATTGTCAAGGTTCGGACCTTGCCTCTGATAGGAGTAAAATTGTCGTTGAAAAATCCTGGTAGTTCTGGAGTTCCGCGTATATTTCTGTTTCTAAATAGCTCCACTTCATAGCAAAAATTTTTTGCCATAGTAGTAACTAGTTTACCTTTATATTTTTTCACTTCATTTTATCTTGAACGGAGAATAGAAATGATAAGTTATAGAGAACTAATATGAAATTATGGGTTTTAAAAGAGGAAAGAGATAGGGAAAAATTGAAGATAAAGGAAACATTTTATTTTAAAGTTCTCTCGGTTTCACATTGGGCTTTATCGTCCCTACAAGAACTGATTAGGTTTTTTTTACTATAATATTTCTCTCTAACAAACATTTAAATAAATATTTGTATTTTTTTTCCTAGAGTGAACGCATAATATGAGTGGGTATAATTTACTGTTTGGAGTAAAATCAGGGGTATTCTAAGCGATTTTTGCTGTGATTTGTGACGAAATGTTTAAATAAAGAGATAATGAATTCGGCAAAATTTTTCACATCATTTTCTTTTCACGTTGAATTTTTTTTCCTTTTCATGTATTGGGAAAACCCTATGTAATTATGTAATTTCCAGATTTTTCAACGATGAAACGTAGGCGTTCTCGCGAATGTGCTGATATAACCATTTTTGAAGATAATACAGCTACTGCATCGAACATAAGGGCAAAAAATATCGATGAAACAGATTGTACTGAAAATGAACAAGAACTCTCCGTAAATCTTTTTGTTTACACTTTTTTTTGATATAACAGTACTCAGTATTTCTGATTTTACTGGCTATTGACAATTAAGATCGCCAGAGAATTAAATGGGAGTAGAAATGCAGCTGGATCACCTGGATTTCTTTTTTAATTCCAGGTTTGCTTATGTTAAGGGGCAGAATTAATTACCCATAATGTTTAATCATTAACCGAAATAACTGCTGGGTCATTTTTTTTTTTCACGGTTCTTTCTTTCGTTGTAATAACAGATACCTTGATTTTTTTCGTTTGGTTTTCCTTAGACAAGTTGAGTATAGTATAGTTAACGTTCAACATTATTTTTATTAGCATTAGTGAGGCTAGAAATAATTTTTTTACCGTTCAAACGAATATAAAATTTTAGCTCATTTTTCAGGTCAATGGTTCAGTAAAACCGTTTAGAACTAAAAGAGCAATAAATTTTGGAGATTTGCCCTTAAAAGAACGAAAAATCGCCATTGATAAAAAGTGTGCTTTAAAATTTTTCAGTATAGCTTAAATATTATATATATGAATTGTACACAAAAAAGTTAAGATTAAAACATTCTCACCATTTTCTCATGTAATCTGTGCACGGTCCTAAATTAAATTGATGAGTTATGTATTATTGCAGTAATAAGTGCTTATATCATTTTTGGGGAAAAGATTGTAAGATCTTGTGCCTTAGCCTAAACTTGCTGTAGATTATATGTCGTAGATTATGCAGTGTTTGCAAATCATTATTGATTTTTTCTTCTGGATCTCAAGTTGACTTAATTTTTTAGATCTAATAAAAAAATTGATCAAATATCTGATATCAGTGAAGAGTATAATTCAAATGATAAACCTAGTACGTCGGAAAACAATGCAGGCATATGTGTGAGCTTAATATATTAACTTTTTTGTTAACTTGTTAATTTATTTACTTTTACTTAATTATTGGCCATTTTAAAGGCACATCATCGTTTATTGTTGGCAATTCGTCTTTCCTTAAAATTTCTGATGTACAACATTTTCAGAAGATTAGTGAAGTTGAGAAAAGTTTATCAATTTTGTTGTCTCAAGGTATTGCCAGCGGTGATAAACAAAAGCTGGATAAAGTTTTGTCGATAACGGATGTCGTTGCAATTTCGGCAACAATAAATGATTTATCTATTAGCCAAATAATACCATTACTTAAGGAAATCGATACGCGCTTCAGAAATTGTAGTGTTCAAGAGTAAATTTCTTTATTTCATTTTCAGAAGATAAATATTTTGTAAATTGTGGTGTAATCGTTATATTATATAAGAGTTTTTCCTTTTCAGTATCCGTCCTTGGATTTGTTGGGCTCATTATGCTATTAACATTCATATGCATTATCTTTCTACGGTAAATATTTAATTTTCTGATTAATATTTATCTGAAAATTGATTTCGATGTTAAGCTCGTTTCCGGCGGTATTAAATAAAAGCTGGGTAAAGTATTGTCAATAACGGATGTATCTATTACGTTTCTAAATATTAAATATTACAATCTTAGATTGGGTCATTGGATGATGATTTGGATTCCTTGTTTTCTTGGATAAAAGGTCGCACTTCTTGTCTGGGCAAATTATATGAACTAAAAGGCAAATTTAATATAGTTGTGGAGCAAATTGAAAGACGATTGAATCCTCAAGTTTTCTTGCGTCAGGAACCTCTCGTTTCATTCAGTGGTATATTTATTTTAATTCAACTAATGATACGGGAGAACATTTTAAGAAAGAAATATTAATAAATTCAAATATGTCAATTTTAAGCTGACTCTGAATCTTCGTCGGATGAATTTGACGACCTGGATGAAACCGAAGGAACTGAAAATTTTGCAAGTGATGATGAATGGTGGGAAGATTATGACGTTGCTTCAAAAGATGGTTATGGTTTTGTCTCAGGTAATGAATTTTAAAATTTGATTAAAATTAAAAATTAAATTATCTTCTAAGGATAATACAGTACAAATTGTCCTTTTTTTTCGTATTGACTTGACCCTAAGTTAGAAGTGGTAGATAGAGGCAGAATGATGGAATTAATATGTTATTTTGACGAACAAGCATTATATGACCAATTTCAATTGCCGTAAATCTGTCGTTAAAAGTGAAAATCGAGTGAAATTAAGGAACCATCTTTATTTCCATTCTCAAATGATTTTCGACTCAATTATTAGTGGAGCCAGCCATATTAACAGTGGTGTTGTTGCTAAAATAGAGAAATGATTGGTATGGATGATATTTCATTCTATTTTCTTACATTTAGATGACAATATTAATGAGGATATGGAAATGCGAATTACTTCAAGCGGTTCTTCAGGAGGAGATTCCAGTGATATGGATGATGCTGAATGATTTATAATTTCTAAAGCTGAATCGCTGCATTAATCAGTGAAAAGTCGTTTTTATTGAAAATTAAAAGATAATGGCCGATTTTGGTCCTTAATTTAAAAAAAAGGAAGATCTTATTCCGTTACATGTGGAATACTCATATCTCATTTTAGTGGTAGAAAAAAGTGATTGCAGCTAATCAACATTTTCTCATTTTTATTTCCTCAAGTTTAAAGTGTATTAGTAGTAGTCAGAATTTTTTTTTTTCTGTGGACCCTCTAGATAATGCCATGAAATTTTTTCATCGGAAATTTCGCCTAGGTTAGAGAGAAATAGAAATTGTGATTTGAAAGAGTTTGTTGTATTAAATCAGGTTGATTTTAGATCAAAGTGTTGTTTATTTATGCACAATATATTTTTTGTTTGAAATAAATGTATTGTTTAATTTTTCATTTAATTTTTTGATATTGGGTCATTAACGTTTTTTTCCTTATGTTTTAATTCCTCAGCGAAAAAAGAATTCTTTCAATATTCGGAGTTTTTTTAAAACCGTTTTTCGCATTTTGTTTTTGCTTTCAATCTTTTATTTTTTCAGGTTCTCAAATTTTCATATTTTTCATCTTTTAAAAAATAAGTGACGCTTAGTTTTTAAAATTTGAGTAATGTAATCAATCTCTTTGCCTTTTAATGTATCTTTTCCATTCTATCGAGATTTGCTAGGTTTTTTGTTGGATTTTTGGTTTTTAAATCCGTAAAATCTTTAAATTTTCAATTGTTTTCATAATCCATTTTATGCAGTTGGATTTTTCAAGTTGTGTTTTCATATTTTTTGAGCTTAGCAACAGTGATTTTTAGCATGTGGAAGCTCAGTATTTTAGAAGAAATACTTATATTTATTATGTCTAATTTTTAATCGAAGATTCTAGTTAATAAATTCTGTTGTGTGCTTTACATTAATTCAAATAATTGCTTTCTTGTAGAAATTTTTTTTTCTATTTTTTTGTAAATTGTGCTAAATTATTTAAAGTTTTTTCAGGTCTTAACATATTGTTTTCGAATATATTTAATTTCATGAGATTTTTAAAAAATTTCGCCTAAGACAATGAACTATGAATTTACTATGAATTTCAGGTTGCATATAGCTGATCTATCGAATGAAGGTGTTTCAAGACCGATATTTTCTTAATTTTATAATACTTTTTTAATATTTTTTAATATTAAGAAATGAAGGTGTTTTAAGACCGGTTTTTCGTAATTTAAAACTTTTTTTAATATTTTTTAATATTACGAAAAATCATCTTTTAATATTAGAACATAGAAATTCTTGAAAAAAAGCAGTTGGATTTTTATATAAACGAAATCACTGAGAAAATTTGAACATTTTATTCTAAGGTTTAATAAGCTTTAATGCAAAAAATTCTGAAAAAAAAACTTCGTATTTGTAAGGAAATCATTAATTTGATTGTAAAAAGATCAAAAAGAAAATTCATAAAAAAAGTAGTGTACTCGGTTAAAGCGGTGAAACGATAGAGGTGGGAGGGGTGGGTGAGAAGGTTGGTGTGGTTAGTGGGTTGTGTGGCATTTGTGTATGCGGTTAAATAGGTCGTGTTAAGTCTGTGTGGTCGTAAAATATCGACGAGGAAATTGGTGGATGCAAGAGCAAGGTTGGAGTCAATCTGTTTAATTTTAGTTTATTGCCTATAATTTGGAATTTTTTAAAAAAATTTCAATTCTCACCTTCAAAACTTCTAGTAAGCACGTTAAATCATCAAGAATGCGGTGAATTGGGATTCTTCGTGCCAACCTGTTTTTGCAATTTTCTGATAGGACGCACGCCGCTCTAATGCCGAGATCAATAGATAGGAACAACCCACGTACACACACACACACACACACACACAAGACATTTATAATATATACACATCGGCATATCAGAGCACATCAGCGCTTGTAGGAAGAAGTGAATTTTTTTGTGCGGCTAGTAATTAGTTTAAGGGAGGCCGTTGAAAAATTTTGGTTCGGTTGGGCTTTTTTTGCAAGAATGAGTACAGCGACCGCAGCAACAACAACAATGTCAACGACAAGTCAGTCGTCATCAAATGCAATTTCGTCGTCGAATCTCATACATAATGCACGTAATGCTGGGCGAAAAAAAACTAATCCGGTAAGTTTTTTCTTTTTAATAATTTTTTTCTTTCTTTTTTGATTGTACTTTTGTAACAAACGCCGAGGGGCGGGGCTTAGTTGATTTGCAGCGGACTTGCATTTAATTATTTATTTATTAGTGAAAAAAAGCAGAATCTATTTTAAAAAAAATAAGCGCCTTAAATTTTGTTTCTTTTTCACTGTTATTTTAATTCTTTTCATCATCTTTATTGAAAAAACAAATTTTTTTCTCTCTGAAATCGCTGCAAATTAATTGAAAATCGGCGAAAAATTGTCTTGTTTTTAATAAAATTAAATAAGCTATTTGTGCAATTTTTTAACAAAAAAAACAAATTCTCCTTGAACCAGGGATGACCAACCATTTTTCTGTTTTATTTGATTTTGCCTGAAATTCTTCAATTTAAAAAAAAGCGGAGGAGGAAGGGATGTAAGGAAAAGGGATGCAAACAAAAAAAAAACATTTGAGACGGGTGAAGGTTGCAGGGAAAGGAATACACCGCAACAAGGACCGTTAAGGCCGTCTTAAAAAACATTACTTTTGGTGGCAAGAAAACCAATCCGGTAAGTCTTTCTTCACATTTATCCACCACCACTATCAGTAAGTGCCATATATCACTTAACTGATACGATCCGATCTCCCGAAACTTCCTCCCTATCTTCTCCTAATTTGTTCTAAAAAAAACGAATAAATTTTAACCATAACCAAAGAAATATATAAAATATTCGATAGAGTGAAAGGTTGGACATCCTGGTCTAGGCTTTCATATCTGTTTCAATATAACCAATGCCGACCCGTCCAGGGCACATCTATATGTTTTTGTGGCTTTCTTGTTTCATGTCCTTGCTTTTTTTTTCAGTTGGCTTCACATCCTTCGGCTCTCAAAAACATGTTCACATTTTTTTTGATTTCATTTAGTTCATGAAAAGGAAATTTTTATGGTTTTTTTAGTACCACAATTTTAGCTCTAGGCACCACAGACCTTAATTTCTGGTTTTATTGTGAAAGTTTGCAGTGATTATCAGAATAGAAAATAGATATGGTGCCAAAAATTTTAGGATTTTCTGGCTCTTAGCATTATATTATTTCTGACTTTTCGAGCTTCATTTAATTTCTCCTTTTCATATATAAAAACGTTTTCTTAATCACTTGCATGCTTTCTTAATCATTACTAGTGACAGCGAAATTGGTATTTTTTCTTATTTTTTAAGGTGTGGACTTGTTTCGAAGATCTAAGAATTCGAGGTTTGTCTGGAGTTCGCTGTCGATATTGTTTATGGATAACAAACGATCGAAGTCCAACTACTCTAAAGTTCCATTTGAAGAGAAAACATGATACGGGTTTGGGTGGAATTTGGTCGAATGTTGAAGAAAAAATTTACTTATCACCGTCGAATATAAGGCTGGCTCGCGTTAAAAATGTTAGTTTTCCACGTTTTAAATTAGGAATGAAGCTAAAGCCCGAAGATCAGCTACTCCATGAATCAGTAGCAGTAACCAATGGATTTTTTCATTTCTTTCGACCTTGACCCATAGCGTCAATAATTAATGATTCGTTATTTTCAGGCTGAAAATGGAATCGAAAATAGTTTAAAAGAGGTGAACACTACAAGTTGTTACCCAGGTTCCTTTTCATTCTTGTGTTGAATGCCATTCGTTCAGAACTGTTAATATTCTTTTAAATGGTATACTGAATGAATAGTAAATGTGCACATAATTGGTTCATTGAATGCTGTGTGGCCTGTGTGAACTCACTGTTTGTGGTTATGTTTGGTTATTACTACAATAAGAAATTTTTGCGAAGGAGTCACTTGGGAATGAAAGCATAAGTGGTCTACAGCACTACTCGGTTTTTTTGATGGTAAGTTTACTCCTGTCGAAAGCAGGCTTCGAACCTCGATGACGGGCATAATAAATTGAGTAACGACTGCTCGATTAATCTGTCTCCAACTGTTAATTCAGGGTTTTGGTCCGTTTTTGATTGCTAATTTGTTCGCCAAAGGAGTAATAAAATAAACGCACGGCGGTGATCAGAAATATCGATTGTGCACCAGGGAGCAAAGGAGCACCCCTACGCTTCAACTGTCGTCATTTACATTGATGTCTGAGTGCTCTCAGCCATACCCCCTCTATTTTTATGTCTGCCTCATTCTCAATTTATAATGATATTTTCCAAAATTCTCTCTTCACCCATCCCCCTATTTACAAATCTTCTCTATCCACCCACCCTTCTTATATTTTTATCACCCTATTCCCCCGAAACGAAATATTCTCTTCACCCATCCCCCTATTTTTATAATTCTTTGTTATATCGTTCCCTTATCTTGCTCTTCAAAACTTCATCGATTTAGTCGTTTCAAATTTATTAAAGGAGTATTGTCTGTTGACCTTTAACCTGTTGTTGCTTTCATTTTTTTTAATAGTTGAAGTAATCCAAGATAGGAGAATTCGCAAGTGGTAAATTCGATGGATAAATGTCCGCCATTATCTTCAGCGTTAAGTGATACTCAGTTTTTGCTGCTAAAGGATGATTTTCAGTATGTTTCACCGTCGTCATTCAGTGATTTAACGTGTTCGCATATAGGAATGACAGATATTACCTGCAGTGATTTGGAACAACGAACTCAACGTAGTCATATTAATCAACAATATGCTTATAATGCATGTTATCATACAAACAGTCATGCAGCGCAATCGGATGTTTTTGACTTTTCATCACCTTTTTCCACATTGCGAAATAATTTAATGAATGTGACAAAAAATGCTGTTTTATTCAATTCAAATGAATTGTCGAATAATAATATTAATAATAACGTTGATAACAATAATGATGATAACGAGATTATTATTGTAAATGACGATGAAATGATATGTAGTGAACGACAAATTCATAAAATTGATATAATGAGGCCAAAGTCTTTATCACCACAAATAAACAGTATTGCATCACGTCTTATAAAAGAAACTGGTAATAACTTAACTGGCATGGAGAATTTAATAACTGTTGATGAAGTGAATACAATGGATGTGCATGTTTTAAATAATATCCTTGGTATGGTTGTACCGGCAAATAAAGGTAATAGTAATGTGAAACGTGAATGGCGTAATGTCGGTTGGTTTACATCTGATGATCAAATGAATGAAGTACGTAAGAAACAGAAAGTTTCAAAATGGAAAAGTGTCGAACAATTAAATGGTCTGAAGGTATTTTTTCGTTGTAATAAATGGAAGCGTACGAATTGTAATTATCGTATGTATGTCATGTATTATGCATCCGATCGTATAAGTTTAAATGAAAGTGGTGAACATGATCATTCTACACCAAATGCTGACTATAAACCGAGAAATTATCATACCAAGTCATCACATTGTAAGATTTTTTTCCTAGAAAACTCATTATTATCGGAGGCATGTTAGCCGAGAGGTTGTTGTATAGGTTATCACTGCTAGTGCTAGATTTCGAATTTTGATTTTGAGGAGACTCTGAATATGCCATTAAAAAACCCTGTTGGTGATCCATTTGTGCTTCTAGAGGAGTGAACCTAATTAGAAATGGTGAAAAATGGGATACAAATTGTATGAAAAGGATATAAATGAAATATTTAGAAGTGGTATATTTTTTTGCGTTTTTATTAGCCAAGAAGTTTTAATCTTGCTTTTTTTTACAGGTGCTCGAGCAGTTATTGAAGCGACACCGAGTTCATCGCAGCAGCTTGTTCTCGATCAGTTGCTACAGAATGTTACATCAACGCCGTCTTTCAGTAATAATTGTAGTCATTTGGATCAAGAAAATGTTTTTGAATCGGTAATTTTTTTTAATTTTTCATATTTGCTTTATATTTTCCGTTGAAAAATAAGAATAATTTGTAAAACATCCAGATGTTTTATGTTTTATTCAAGAAATTCAAAATCATTTATATTTATTTTATTAATTGATCAATTTTTAGAAACTTTATTCCGATGATATTGCAAGCGATTTAAAAGCCAACATTTCTTCACCATTGGTTGTTCCATCGGTATTTTTTTTTGACATTTCTGTGTTATATAAACGATATATTCGTATAATAGGTTTTTTTTCAATGGATATCTGGAAGATTCTTTTCACTCAAATGTATAGCAGCGAAGCCATTGGTACGATGAAGGGGAAGAGAAAGTGAAAATGAGCAGAAGGACTACTAGCGTAAACACACGATTTTTCCCAGGCGCAGTGTACTTGATAGAAAAGTACCTATATTTTTGATCCCCTTCCCTTCTATCCACTTTTAGTTTAATGTAGATATAAATGCTTTTGCTTCTAGCCCTAGTTAAAAATTTATTGAGGGTATCATTTGAAAGAAAAGTATTATTTCATAGGTGGTCGAAGAATTGAATGAACCATGTTATATGTTATCTGATCCACCCAATGTCGTTCAGCTAATCCAGGTGGCTACTGAAATGAATTTGACTTTCACTTACAATTCGCAAAGGTCGGTTTTAATTTTCATTTAAATGAATACTGCGAAATTATTATAAGTTATATATTTTGGCGAAAAATTGAAAAACAAAATTCGCACTGATTTTTATTAAGATAATATTAAGTTTTATCTTATTGCTTATAGTACGAATGAATATTGCTTTGAGTCAAATTGGACAGAAACACGAGGAAAAATGGTGGCATTTTTTGATTCTGGGATGAGGGTTACAGTGGTTGAACGAATCAATGGTGTCGATACAAAGTTTGTTTGAATTTCTTCTTCTAACAGCTCCCACCATTACTGATTAGGCTGACTCCACTGGATACAAGGGTAAGAGTTTCCAAGCTGCGCTATCTGATGCCATCTTTGACATTAATAGAAGCCATTCCTTTTTCCATCGTCTATTCATATATTGCTGGTTCACCTATAAGTTCAAATTCTTTTCTGATCGTGTCAGTCTAGATCTTGATTGACCCATCCCACTTTTTACCCCATTCGTCACAGGGTTTAGCAAATAACGAAATATGTGTCGACTCTCGTGGTGAGCGACGAAGAACGCGCCCTAATCAGCGAAGACGACGATCTGTGATAATATAGTTAATGCAAGTATGTGAGATTTTATCCGCTCGACAGAAATCAGTAAAACCATAGATATGAGTGGTCAAAGGCAGATAATTTCTTAATATCCTCGCTTTCATTGGCCATGCCTTGCAGCTATATAGCAAGATCGAATGAATCGCCGCTGGAGGCACGGACTTTAGTTTTTATGGTGATTTCGCGACAGCTGCATAAAGGTTTTATCAACCGGAAAACCATCGCAGCCATCGTTACCAACAATTTCTTCCTTTTTCTGGCCATTAGAGTGGATCTAAGGGGATTTAAAATCGGGCATCTCCCTAATCGGCAATGAATTTATAGAGAGAGGCATTTTATCAGTTTTTTTATATAAGACGAAAAGGCTTTCGTTTTATTTACATTCTGATTCTACAGTTGCTGGCACATTGTTTAGCATTTTTTGCATTTGCTTTTCTTAATATTCCAAAAATTTCACTTATCTTTCAAATGATTGTTTTTTAATTATTTTTTTTTGTAAAGTGTAACATCGATTCGTATAATAAATTCGTATAATAAACGCGCCATTAAAAGTTTTCTGGTGATGCTGGGGATAGGGAGGGAGGGGTAGAGTTTAGCGGAAATCTCTCTCTAATGGTTTGTCAAATTAGGAATGGTGAACGGAATTAGAGAAAATAGAAAAAAAATTTCTTTAATAATATTATAGTGCCTATACCATGCCTTTTTACAATCAAGATATTTGGCATCCGGATTTATTGTATTTCTTACTTAAGTGTTAGGACCAGATTCTTCCGTTGTTATGGAATATATATATATACTTTATGTTCAGCCTCGAGGAATGGAATAAAGCAGATTGGTCTCAGTTTTTGTGGGCGGTGAGAGGAAAATGTATGAGTGCTTTAAAGTAGTATTTGTTGTGATCATTGTTCGAATTTATTTAATCGGTAAGTTGTTCATTTAAAAATTTTGAAAATTTTTATTTTCTATATATGAAATTTATCAGGGTGGTAAACGAATACTTGTGATTGCCAATGGGCATCAAACGAAAAAATGAAAATAGATGATCGTCGTCAAGCTAATTTATTTCTTGTTATGATTTGTCCTTAAAGTTGCTTAGAATATTGGTCAACCGATTTTATCAATTGCATTTTGGGAAGTGGGGTTATTTTGTTTTTGCAATAGGCTTGGTACCACACAGTGGAAAAAGATACAGTTTATGGAAATTTCAAGTGGTCCCATTTATTTTTTATTAAGAATCCCTTTAACATTATTTTGTGAAGACTGAGTCTTTTAATAATTAAAATATCATACTTTAGAAAATAAGAATTATGAATTTGTATTGGCCGTAAGAAGCTATAAGTTTTAGCTGGTTTATATTTTTTTTATTCTAAACGTTTTTTAAGGTTAACTATACTTTTAATCGTTCATCATCAAATTCATCGCAAACATCATTTTTCTCTCATTTGGTACCAATTTTTATATTTTTTTTCAACTGTTTCGAATATCGATTTCCCAATAAATTGATACTGATATTAAAGCTTTTGCAAATCAGCGATTTGATTTGATATACCTACCTATTGTATAATTTCATCTAAGCATTTATTTCCTTAATTTTTTGTTTTCCGTATGAAAGGCACTGCTGACTGAGTTGTATGTATTTATAAAGGGAGAAAAATTGAACCTTCCTCGGTACTCTAAATATTTCCATTTTCTAATAGCATTCACCGTTCCTCATTTGATAGACTCTGCTGACTGCTAAGGTGAGATCTCTTCACGATAGAGGCACTTCGAAATTAGAACAGGTAGATCTCTAACATCACCCGGATATGTTTATCCTCTCAAGAGAGTAAATGGAGAAATGAATCGAATGTACGGTTTTCTTTTATAAATAATTTATAAAAGTTCAGCCATATAGGACAAAAACGATTGATAATTGAGTACGCATTCGTTTTGTTGAATGAATTGAATATTTTTTAAATGATTGTTCATGACTGTATATAAATTATGTATTCTTTGTTTGATAGTTTGATAGTTTTCTTGAAATTTAAGATGCAGCAATTTATCTTGCTTATTCTTTTTATTCAGATTTATTATTTCATAAAAAACTAAAAATATTGGAGGTTCGTTTTTGGATCCTATATCAGTTTATAACATTGCTCCATGTTATGGCTTAATTTCATTTGTGTATTTCGGCGACATTTCTATTGTATTCTTTGAATTTTTATAGTCATTTGACAGAAATGTTCCTAATTTTACATCGGCTCTATCTGGTTATTGCAATGTCACATTTTATCACATTTTAAGAATATGGTGGTTGGAAATGTTTTACTATAAAGGAAATCGTGTTTATGTAACGGAAGATCTTAGGCATATACATACTGTCAGCAGTTATTGATGATATATACTGATTAATGAAATTTAGACTAAAAACAACTGGAAGAAAAACATCATTACCCCAGCATCATTATATGGTAAGCTCCCAGTTAAATTTAGCTCGCTTTCTTCCTTCCTTAAACCATTAAGAAGAAGGAGAAACCACTGTTATGAAGAGGTTTCGATCTCTTATTACTTATCTCTTATCAAGGTTTTTATTTTGAGTATTTTTATTATTTATCATTTAATGTTTTATATGATGATGGATAGTTTTTTCCCGGGTCATATGTGGTTCGACCTATTTTGCAATTAGCAATTATCGGGATGCCAATTCTGATGGCCTAGTTTCCATCTTTCCAATTTTCTCGGGCAGGACATGTTAAGGTCATCCGAGCTTATATGCAAATCAGTCGGTAAGCAGTGGGGTGCATTTAATCTGTAAACCTCAAGGTAATGATGATGAAGCTAGGAGTCGAGAAATGGAAAGTCACGTCCATATCAGAGAGCCTATAATGTTTGAACTCAATCTATTCATATTCTTAATATTTATAAATATTTGTAAACTTATAAGGAGACTTTGCAGTGGCATCAGAGCATGCTTATTGAATTAACTGAATCGATTGGATTTATTTTATGCTTACATTATAAAATAATAAATGAGAAGTATATCATTAAGTGGGACCATAAAGCACCATGCAGAAATTGAAATCATTTCAGTATTTCGTCTAGGACGGATATCTCTCCGGCTAAGTCCATCTTACATTTCCATCTTATTGTCTCAATTCGATCGCCGCCATCGGCATGTCTGTCATTTTTCTCGTAAAATTTCGCTTGTAATTTCTTTTGCAGATAACAGCCGACTCCCTTTAAAAGAAATTTTCTAGAATATTTTCTGGGTTTTCTTGTGGAAATGAGACTGTGGGTTCTTTTGAGTCTTGAGTAGAAATCTTTATGGTAAATTCTTTGAACATATAAAATAAACCTGAATGTTAATTAAGAGATCCTCTCTTGTATTCGATTTGTTAATGCCAAAACCCTTTGTGTTCCATTGGCCTTTATAATCACCGCTACTTGGCTTTGTTTCTGCCAGTGCAATATCACTACCAGATATTTGTAACGATCTAAAATTGTTTAAGCAAACTGAGCGAAAAACAGATATGGAGTTCATTCCACTTTAAAAAGATTTTTATTTTGCTTGTAAATGGAAGGCTGGCTTGGACTTAGTTACCGCCTGCATTTAGGAATGCTTAGGCACCATTCGAAGGAAATGTTAAACACATTCTAAATAATATGTCTTCTAAATAGCAAGTTACAAACTTTCAAAGAATGAATTTTTAATTTTTATGCACATAATGAAAATGGCTTTTCTAAAATCGAGGATTTGAAATGGGTTTAAAAGATTGTTTTGAAAAAAACATTTTCAATTGCTTTTTTTGACGATTAAAATATTTTGAATCTTACAATTCATTCTGGTGCAAAAAATCAATCACCATTTTATGCTTAAATGAAAGAAGTGAAAGTTGGGAAACTCTTAACGTAACGAACAACTAGTAAAATATTTGCAAAACTGAATGAAAATAAGACTCCTTATGAGTTTGCCACCAGCTAAATTTAATTTCTAATTTACGACTAAAAAAATATGGCTTTCATTTTTTAATTACTTAAAAAAGACTTAAGGGAAAACGAACAAAAATTTGCAAATAGGCCTAACAGTGATTGCAATATTATATAAGAAATCTGATCGAAATTTTAATGTATAATCGGAGGTTCGAAATCTTGCACCGTCGACTTTGATTGCAATTGGTTGATTTGTTGTTTCTGATCTTAAATTTCCATGGAAATCATTTATCTTCCAGAAAATTTGAGAAACAAATGCATTTTTTGCCTATTGATTTATTATATTTTTATTCTAATGAAAGAAAGTTTATAAAAAATTCCCTTCGGACCATTTAGTATGTTTCGAAAAATAAAAATCGCTTTGAAAATTCTCACTAGTTTTTTCGTTTTTTCGAAGAATTATTACAAAATAAATTTCAAATGAAAACATATTTTAGTATTAAGAAAAAAACAAACCTGAAAGAAATATTAATTTCGAGACCAACATCAGTAGCCATAGCGTTTTTGCTGCATTGATATAGCGCATTTAATAGGCGTTTTGCAGATCGATTCAAGCCAAGCAATCAAGCTGTCGTCCTTTTCTGTTCACACAATCATCCTTCAACTTCGAAAAATCCTATTGCAACAACCATTCTCACTAATCTTTTTTTATATCGACTTTTTACATATTTAAGCTAAATTGGTTAATATCGAATAGTTTTTGCTATCATTTTCTTCTTTTAGTGAAATAAAACACCTCGTCTAATTGCGTTATTAACACTGATTGTTAACTGATAACTGATTAAGATAACTCGCTGCGAGCACGGAGAACCTTCAAACCTTCCCACTGAGGGCATATTTCACTCCTCTTTAATGCATTTAATAGCCAATTTTCGAAAGCTCATTGTTTCTACTTCTGCTACAAAGTATCGTTGAAAATCCATTTTATGCATTCATCATATATAGAGATGTAACGAATAGAACACTCGTAACATCGAATATAAAACCGTTTAATTTATAATTCCTTGGTAGGTTTTAACAGTTATTCCGCAATTCATATGGATTTCTTAGCTCAATAAAATAAAGCGTAACTCCATAACTCTGTAGCTCGTGACTCCATTAACAATAGTTTTATAAAGGTGTAAAAAATTGGCAAGCAAATACCTTTTTTTAACATTCGATGATTCTAAAAGATTGTGAACAGCTGTTGGATCCAACATTCAAGAAATCTTATGTTTTACAATGATACAATGAATTATGTTTTTTTTTCTTTTGTTTCCTTCAAATTCATATTTTCATATTTTACCTCGAATTTATCATCATTATTAAATGAGTAAAGATAATAATCGACTGAAGACTCAAAAAATTCATATTTTTTAATTTTATACTTAATTCGAAGTTAAAGGGGAACGAATATAAGAAAACACAATCAATCATTTTAAATGCATAATAAACAGCAAAAGTTTAAACTGATTTGATCGCCACCGAATGTCTCTTATAAATTCCAGAAATTTCGATTTCGTTCCTTTGTCGATTTCGTTCAGTGAAATTCCACTCGCCTGAACAAATTGAGGAAACATTTTTCTAATAATATCTGATAAAAAAATTTGATAATTCTAATAAGAAATTCAATTATAACTATTTAAATTGTCAGTGAGAGTATAAAATTACAATGAAAGGTTGTCGCTAAATATTTCTAGTTTATTCAAGTTTTTCAAAAAAATAAATTTGTTTCCTCATGACGAAAATTTCAATTTCATCTTTTCAATTTTTTTACAATTATCTTCGCAATAATTGTTTCAATTTAACTTTAAAAATTTTTGTCACAAGTTGTTGAAATAATTAATGTACCCTGAATATATGAGATTGCAAATTCATCTTTATATTCTCTACTTTACCTTTATAAATTCCAACCTTATTCTATTCATTTAATCGTATATTCCAATATTCTCGAGGGCAATAACTGAAGATGAATTCCAAGCTCTAAATTGCTCGGAGACTACAATTTGAAATTCAATTATAAGAAATTCCCTTTTTATCTCCTATAAAATTCTTCTATGAAATTTTATTTGAAAATCAGCAAATTTTTGAAAACGGAAAAAAAAGTTTCCATTGTCATCCCGAAAGTTTCCGTATATAATCTCCAATATCTAATCTAAGTTTATTTTTTGATTCACTTACCCCAATTCTTTTAATGTTCATTTAAAAACATTGAAAAACATTCAGATTGCAGGAATACTCGCACTAATTTATTTTCTACATAACAAAGCCGACCTGTGATAAACGAAAGCAGTGGGAACCAGTCCAAAAAACTCCATCGAATGGTTGGCGAATCTGCAAAATTTTTCAACTTTCTTGTTGTAAAAAGAATCGTACCACACATTTTCCTTTAAAATGCAGGCCAATCGACGGTATCACTTAATAAATTTAATAGTGCTCAAAAACTTCAATCAACCAAATCTATTATTCAATAGCCGTTCAAAAAAGTACTTAAAGAATGAGACGTCAACGATATTGGCTATTCATTTCCCCAAAATTAGCTTTGAACTTCCACCACATCAAAAAAAAACTACAAAACCAAAGATGAAAATGAATCTGCAACAATAATGTAACTTAAAATGAGCAAAAATTAGACGAAAAGCATGAGAAAAACTAAAATCAGTTGGCATGAAAAGAAAAGAATGACAGATTTAATTTAAAAGCAGTTTAATTCAGCGACATGTAAAAAATATTTGTAAAGGTATTTAAAAACGTTTTTACAATAAATGCTTTCTTTCTGCAGCTTAAATGAATAAAAGCAATGAAAGAAGTGAAAAAAAGTGAGAAATAAAAGTATCAAGAAGGAACTCATCTTCTCCTAAGTACATCGATTAGATAACTCGAAATACGTTCTTAATTGAAATTTCAATTTAGATTGAATAATTCTAACTAAAATATATCGACTGTTTATAAGGTTCTTTACTCCATCTTCTAGATTAAGTCCATAAATTTATGGGCAAAAAAAAGATTAATTCCGCAGAAACAATAACCATAAAAACGTTAAAAAAAATGAAAATAATTACGAACAAAAGAATTGATATTTATTGGTAATAAAAAGAAATAATAAATAGATAACAAAACTTTTAGGAGACTCAAAAATTCACTGAATCTCTAAAATCAACCAACATATAGTTAATGAAATATGAATCCCCTTTGATTTTATGCACTACTCATTCCTTTGCATCGTCAATCCCATGAGTTGTTATGGCAAAAATGGCTTCATTTTCTGGCAGGCAAGGAGAATCGTAAATTTTACATATTCTCGTTTCTCCTTTTCTCTTCCGCAAATACAACCTGCATCAAGAACCATTAGAAAAAAGAAAATTCATTGAATCTCTAAAATCAACCAACATATAGTCATAAAGAATTACTCATCACTTATTATTCACAGATTTAGATAACGAAATTTCAGATAACAAAACTTAAGGATTTTTTTAAAATTTAAGTTACTGAAAATGTAGTGTAAAAAGGAAAAGATATGAAAAAAATAGACTTGCAAAAATTTCTAATTACCTTGTTGTTGAAGCATGTGCGATAATATTACCACCAATAGGTTTCTTAGAATCATTTTGAAACATACCGCATGCAGAATCGACTTGAGCAACAACTTGGTTAGTTATTACTACTGCTACACCGAACTAGAAATTAAAGTCCTATCAAAGAACTGAAACGAAATTATTAAAGCTTTAAGTTTTAATAGCATCGGCTAACTAATGCAATATTCACAGATAAGTCATTCAAACCTGATTAGAGATTAATGAGTTTTGATTATGAGTTGAGAATTATAAATGTACGGTTGAAAAAATAAAATAAAATTTAAAAAAATCAAATTACAAATGAAAAATGACTCAAGACTCAACTCACTTCATCAGCCAATTTTAACAAGGCACGCATAAATTTTCCAAGAAGCATTTGGCGAGCAGCTAGTTCCCCTCTTCCGGAGTAGTCCGTTCGAAATAAAGCTGTGGCACTATCAACAACGAGCAAGGCATATCTTAAAAAAAATTATGAAAGTTTTAGATAAATTCACTGAAAGTTCAAAAGTTCTGTTCTATTTTTTGCAGTTTTAAATTTTTGCACAATAAAATAACGTTTGCTTTGAAATAGGCTACGTCGTTAAGCATCAACATACCCCATATGAAGCTCAAATTTAGTATAAACAATGCTTAAATGGAGTTAATACTTCATGAATGCAGAAAGATACCTCGATTCAGCCATCATAGCAGATGCTTGAAGAAGTAGATTCATTTGATGATCAGTATTGTAACAGCGAGCATATGCAACGTTATCAAGAACATCTTGACCAGATAATTTATAACTGCAACTAATATATTCTAACACATAATTCATAATTAAAATTATAACAAAAGCACGTTCAAACCCACAATCCAATCATTTCGTACTTCCTGATCTCGTAAAAATGTGAAATAATGTGTCATAAACAATCCAAAAACTGGAAGAAAGGAACTTCTTAGGGAATTTTTTTCCAATTTTAAAAATTTCCAAAATATAATTTAATTATTATTTTATAACTATATTTCGCTATATATATTTGATTGTTGGTTTGTATATTTCCACTGACGCGAACATTCTGATACAACCGAACAAAATTTCAAAAGATGCAAAATCTGCTAAAAAAAAAAGTAAAAAACAAATACCGTTCAGCTACTGCAAGCAATCTCTCTGGTCGAAAAGTACCTTCAGTATCAATCCATAGGCATTTACCTTCAGCACCTCCCATATCAACCGGCAATTGACACATTACAGCCAAAGTGTGACACAGCTGACTTTTCCCAGTTCGAAATTCACCAAAAACCTGGTAAAAAAATTTCATTGGAAGATAAGTTCGAAATATAATAAATATATAAAAATAATTACATCAAAGATGATAAAATTACAGCTTCTGATAACCTCTGTTATAGATCCTGTTTCAATGCCACCACCTAATAAACGATTCAATTCTCTACTTCCAGTTTCAATTTGAATGATTTCTGATCGCTTTACATGCACTTCACTTGCTGTAGTAAATCCCATTGGCACCAATTTCGCTGCTTCTAACTTAAAAATTTAATAAAACTGGTTATGATTTAAACAAATAATAAAGCAAAATATGCATTTGAAGACAAAATGTTTGGCTCATTTCAAATAAACTAGTTTTTCACAATAAAGAGGTTGAACGACTCAGTGAGTTGTTGCTCTCATTTCGCAACACTGATGCTCAGATATTAATCCTGGCAAAAGCAAACCTGTCAAAAATTCTGACTCACCTTTTTCTATCGCTAAAATCATTAGATTCTTTGGCAAAATTTGTCTGGCCGACCAAAGCCAACGAATTAAGCTCAATCAATAAAAATGAGAGCTCTTAAGGCAAAAGTTATGGACTGCATAATTTATGCACAAATTTATAGATATAGGCATGTGGAACTTCGAAAATGCAAGAACAAGCCATTAAAAATTGCATGTTATGAATGTTAGCTTAATTTTCCTCAATATAAGGCTCATAATAAAATAAAATTTACATATATTTCCAGATAATTTCATATCTTATAAAAACAGAACGAAAGGCTAGAAAATGTCGTTTCAAATTTATATGTACATGTCATTAAAAAACCACAGGTAATTAAAAGGTATAAGTAATGAGTGGATCATATTCTAGTAAATTTTTTTTAAAGAGTTTTCACCATTACTAATTGAATTCGCTCCGCTGGCTCGTCGCATTGGACAAATAAGCCAGAAAGTAACTTGGCGATAGAAATATAGGTGAGTCGCTAGCATCACCAGGATTTTTGGAAAGGCTTACTCCTGCGGGAAATAGAACCTTAGTACCGGCGCTCCAAATTGATCAACAACCCACTAAGCCATCCTACCCTCATATGTATGTTTCCATTTCATCGTGGAAAATCACCCTTTTCAAGAAAGCAGTATAAATAAAAACGCTAAGAAATCCTTTGAAAACCATTTTTTGAGAATTTAAAGTAAATATCCACAATTTTTTTCAATTATAATGACTTGTCTAAGCGCATATCATACATATATATATATATATATATATAAATCCATTAAAAAATTGTTTCCATAAATTTGCGCCGGTTATGAATAAACCAACGAAGTTCGACGTAAAGTCCACCTGAATGATAATCTGGGAACAATGATTTACTTGAAATACAACAAGGTCAGCCCACAAAGGAAATAGTGGAAGAATTTCGATATGCAATTTACCGCTATAAACAGTGTAATCGGTGTTTGCGAAAAATGGAACAACTGAATCGATAAAGGAGCAGACTTCAAAGAAGACTAAGTCTTGAAGACAAGGATAAAGTTCTTAGATATCTAAATGATTTCTTAATCGGCCTTGAAAAAATTAAGGTTCCATTTAATTCAAAACATGGCAAATGTTTCGTTTGATCCCTAGTGTTTTCAATGAGTTCTACTACTTAAGGAATGTAAATGTGATTCTTAGCACAAGAAATAAAGAAAATAAGGAAAAAAAAAAAACGATTATGCCTTACAATTCATTCAGTTTACAAAGCGGACCATAATTTTTTTTTTTTTTTGTTGAAATGGATATGCAATTCACGATGGGCAGGAAAAACAGTGACTGGACACCACGCAAAAAGAATTTCAAATAAAGTGTATCACTGTGATGATTTATGCTTCGATATATAGCATCGGCCATACAATGCTGAAAAGTATGGGATATTTTTGAAAGTTCTGCTGGTCATCTTGAAAGCGTCAATAGGCTGTGTTATTGCGCTACTTATAGATGCACCCTTCATAAAAAATCAGAAATCAAAGATTGAGTACAACAGCATACTCCATGTTTTCTGTCACCATATAGCCCAGCATTAAATCTAGTCTAGGATGAGGAAGTTTTTCCAAAGTGAAAAACGATAATGCGAGCGCAAAATTGTCCAAGAATTTCTTCATTGGCCTCATTGAACAATGAATAAATGATTACAATAGTTATCACCCTTATATGAAGGAATTTCTGGACAAAGAAATACGGAAAAATGAATTCAGAGAAAAGTTGGTATGAAATCTTACGCAATTTACATAAATGCCGTTGTTTTAACAACTGACACTTTTTTAACTTATTGGTATAGTGTTTCCAAGCAATAAAGATGCCACATTTATTTACACTTTTTTTTGAAAGTTCTCACCACTTTTGGTTGGGCTCTCCTGCAGGATTTTCGGAAAAAATATCCTATTCCTGACAGAAATTAAAATCTCAGTAATGCTAGCGATAATTCCAAATCACCAAATAACACCCTGTCAAAATTCTTGGCTCCGATAAGCTAGCAGAGCAGAAATGATGAACGCCGTTAGAAAAAACATCTTACACTTAATTACTTACTTATATACTTACCTATAATTTAGCATATACGTATGTGCATGTATGCTCCAAAATAAATGCATTTGCTTTAAAAAAACGTTTTCTAGCCTTTCTGTTAATATTTTTATAAAATACGAAGTCACCTGCAAATGAAGATAAGAAATTTTAGAAAATTATGTAACAAATCTTGCAACACTGTCTATCACTGATATGAAAAAATCCATCTGTTTTCTGTTTGTTTAACCAGAATTTCAATGGAATTCAAAGGAACCCATAGCTTTGACAAATTCTCAAAAGCATTCGTGTTTTTGCCTGAATCTCAAAATGCACCATAATTTCATCGGATTCTTCACTTTTAAGGCCTTCCATTTTTCACAAAAAATCTTGAAATAGATATTTAACAAAACTTAATGGAAATGCTAACAAATATTTTATCAGCCTTTTGTTCGCTAATTCCTTTAATGGCGACCAATTCTTTTCGTGGTGCGTACGCAATAGATTCGAAGGTATTAAAACCGGCTTCTTTTAATTTTCGAATATCGGATGCTGATATTCCACTTTGCTAAAATAGAGCAAAAAATTGCGGCTCAGCCAAGTCCTGAAGAAATGCATTAAATGCACAGCAAAGAAGTTACAACAGTCGCTGCTACGTGCTGTTGCAACAATCTCCACTCTCCCTCGCCACCTGAAAATCGCGTCGCTGAACGATAAGCTGCGCAGTAAACGCTCGAAGCCAACTTACTTCTAACTTATCGACCACCGTGTACGGCCCCATTTCTTCCGAATCGAGCTGAATAACGCTCGATTCGGCAATTTTCTCCTTCCCCGTTTTTTGTTTTTGTTTTTCGGCCATAATTTTTCTTCCTAAATATTCAAATTATTATTATTTTCGATAAAACTGAATCACAGCTTATAGCAGAAAATACGAAATTTGCTTATTTATTAATCATTTATTTAATTTAAAGACGTGAACATGAAAAACAAAAAAGACCGGCCAATCCTCTAAATCTCGCAAATTTACTTTTCCATTCCTTCTGAAATTAAATAATTCCCGCAATTTTTTGAAAATTTGCACAATTCGCGAATTTAGTAGCTCCATATCCACACCCATCTAACCAACCACCTCAAATTACTTTTTAATTATGCGACTGGCACGGATTTGCTTCCCTATCGTTCTTTTCTCAGTTCTGTCTTTTTAGTACAAGTGCATCTGGGACCTTGCGCCTTTATTCCTTTCCTGCGGTCCTACTTTTTCTTCACTAATCAATGGAGCTCCTTGCTCTAAGCATAAAGTAAAGGTATCCAAAAATTGAGAACTTAGGAATATATATGTACTGCTTACTCCTTAGTGGTTATTTAACATTATCACTTTTTCCTATTTAATCCCTCATTTGGAAAATTCCATAAATTTCTTTCTTAATCTCTCACTGAACTTTATTAGAAACAGTGGGATAAATAATTGTAAATCCCAAATATTAATATACATATTAATAAAATAATCAGATTTTATTAAGACATTAGAAGTTAGCTCTTCGAAGTATGGAAAATAACTTCTCCGTGCATCGAAAGATGACTGACTCACTGAACAAATTAATGAAATGAATACAAATTACGCACCAGGGTACCAAATAAGCACCTATCTGAAACAACTCGCTGCTTCCAAACTTTTAAAGTAGTTTCTCTATGTGAACTTTGTATCAGCACGTTTGAAAATAAACGCAGTGGTGTACATAAACCTTGAAGAGGTCGAAAAGTTTTTGCTCGTCCAATATATCATTTAAAATATTAAAATATATCATTTAAAACATATCATTAAAATATATCATTTCTTTTATTCTTCTTCTAACAACTCTCATCGTTATTGGTTAGGCTGATTTCAGAGGTAACACGTCTTCAAGCTGTTCGGTCCGAGGCTGACAGTAATAGGAACCATTCCTTTTTCCACCGTCTAAGTCCATATTTCGCTAGTCCCTTTATATGTCCAAAATCTTTCCTGTCTGTATCAGTCCAGGTCTTGATTGTCCCTTCTCGTTTTTGAAGCCAACCATCACAAGATTTAGCAAGTAAATATGTGTCAACTGTTCTGGTCGACGTGTCTAACCAGGTGAAGGCTACACTGTGTGATGATACTGTTAATGCAAGTGGTATTTTAGTGAATGTGGATGCGATCATGCGAGATTTTATCAGCTAGCCCGTAAAATGCATTTTGACATGAATGGTAAATGATCATCTTAATATCCTCCATTCTCATCGATCATGCCTCATAGCCATATATCAAGATCGAGTGAACTGCAGCTATATGTATGCAGACTATTGTTCTTATGGTGATTTCGCCACGACTCCATAACAGATTCGCCAAGCGTAAGAATGCATTTCTAACCAACGTTTCCGGATTATAATTTAATCCTTTGCCTAGCCATTTAAGACGAAAACATTTCATTTTATTCAAGATTCTGAGTCCATTTCTTGCTGCAAGTGTAGATATCTTGTTTAGCAGTCGTCATAACTGTCTGCAAAAAGGAGTACATCATCAACGTATTCAAGATCTGTGAAAATCTGCGATGTTCTGGACTGATTTGCAAATCTCTTGAGTACCGACAAACGGTGTTTATTATCCAGTATATCGCATAATTGAATATTATAGGTTAAAGGAGGCAGCCTTGACGGACACCAGTTTTTATTTCGAAGGGACCTGTCAGTTCCTCATACACACAGGCGCTAACGTGCGCCTTTAAAAATGCCTTTATGAATCGAATGATGTTCTCTGGACTATCACATCCCATTACCCTCCAGAGTATTGCTCTATCAATTGAATCGAAGGTAGCTGCAAAATCAATAAAACACGTAACGGTGAGTTGCAGATATTTGAAGCAATGCCCTTCATTACCCTTCTTGACGTGAACATCAACCGCGTCCCGGTCCTAATTCAGTTTGGTTAGGGAGCATCCTGCTGTTCCGTAGTGCTATAAATCTCTTGAGTAGAATAGATGAAAATTTTCGCTGAAATGTCTAGTGGGCTGATTCGTTAATAATTGTTTCATTATGTCCTATCATCTTTCTTGAGAATTTGGGGCAGAATTGCTTCAGTCATCTGGTATTATTTTTTCCATACCAGAAAGTTCATTTAAAGATGGGCTATATTATGATGGACGATAAACAACGTTTGAAGAGTTCACTATCTTCCGGAGTTTTAGTGGCCTTATTCTTATGGATTACAGAGATTATTTCTTCTTCTATTAGTGATTCCCAGTTGTTACATATGGTTCACATATGGTTCGATCAGCTATATCCGCAACAACAGATGGCACATCATGGTTAAGTTTAGCCTCAAGGAATTCTTGCCATATTAGGAGGTGATCCCGTACCATTTCATTGATCGTTCCTCGAGTTAAGTTGCTTAATGAAGAATGCGGATAGTTTCCTATTATCGCCTAATCGAGTTGCCGCATCCATTCTGAAAGCCATCTCACTACAATAGCGATTTCTATTCTTCCGTGCTGTAGTCGTAATTTTGAAGCCTCAGATAGTCAGGATCTCCTGACATCCATAATTTGGCAGCCTTTTCGGACACCTGGACAGTTGCCTGTGATAGCAAACTAACGCATTTCCCACTAATATATCCTAGTATGGAAGTGGCTGACTTTTGGACACATGCCTTTAGTTGGGGCCAGTATTCATCTGCCGTTTACTGATATTTATATCATTGAGGTCCTTCAATAATTCGGTTTTAAATGCGTTCACTGTCCTGAAATCTTTTAATTTGAGATAATTGAAAGATCTTGGGAATGCTGTTTTTTGCAGGTTGTCAATTTTATACGGATCTTGGCTCGAATCATAAAAATATTTCACAACGAATTCGATTTTATTGCTTATAAATAATGAAAAAATGAAATATTTTATTTTCTACAGTTTGCTCTTAGAATTCTGAAAGCTCTCAGTTGTTTAATGAACACCAAATCCAACAAAAATTTATTAATGAATTCATTTAAGTCACCGGCTGTATTGATTTATGCTGATTTATCATAGAATCACCACCACAAAATCGCATTATTCCTTAATTATTCTCTGGTTTGGTTTGCTATTAGGATGAGAACTCTTTGCCAATGATCTTACCATATAATCACAAAATAAATAAATATAGCTTTTAAGAGCTGAAATAACGAACTTCAGACTCATCCGTTAACTGCACTGTTGATTAGGGGATCGGCGTTCTTCTATGATGCTTATCTTCCAATGAATGCGGCAAGGAAACATTAAATATTACGCCGATGGCTGGTATAAAAGCTTAGAAACAAAATCACTTTGTGCTTTTTTAGTTGTTAGTTAGTTGCTTTACTAAATTTTGATGGAACTGTTGCATAATTCTTGAATTTAGTAATTTCTGCTATAATTTTAGGAATGCTTCAATGCCTTACTTTTCATGATCTATGAATGAATATGATTCAGATTTTAGCGCACTTGGAATCCACCACATTTCAACGAAATTAAAATTTCGCAGAGCGATGTAAAGTTCTTTCTGCAGATTCACTCAGATATGCATAATTCGACACAATTGACCATTTGATGACTTTCCATCCAAAGGCTGAGCCAATATCGTATAATATCTTATGGCCTTGAAATACTTAAAAATCCATTTGAGACTTGTTCATTGGTATAGTTTGAAAAAGGTGCCAATCATTCATTCATAGTGTCTTTGACGGATTAAAATTGCTCACTTTCTCCGACTTTTGATGCCCATCTAATATTTTCATACTTTAGAATTTTGCCATATAAAATTATAATTATAACGACAACCGAAAAAAAATAAGCAGTTTATCTGAAATTCTGAAAAGAAATTAAAGTTTTGTTTTTTAGATGGGAAATCGCTTTTTTTTGAAAATTCCCGCTCGTGCAAAATAAAATCGGATCTCAGTGGTACTATTCTCGTTTTTCCTCGTCTAAAATTGCTTTCAATTCAGTCTTTCGCGGCTTCCATCTTGTCAAGCTTGTTTTTATCAACATTTTTTTACTGATTATATAACTGAATCCATTATTTCATTTGAAATTCCGAAAAAATGAACGATTTTTCTGAAGAAACTTCTAAAATTCCTTCGGAGAAACTTAACTTCTAAAATTCCTAGAGTTACGATGTGTAACGATGAAGGTATAAGACCATTCTCATTTATATTTGGTGCACTCGATAACATATGTTCAATTATAATTAATTAATTAGTTATAATTAGTAGGCCACTGACAGATATTTTAAAAATAATCTGTAATAATCATATCAGATTACTCATATCATATCATGCAACTGATGAGAGAAATATTTTCAAGGGTGTGCTCAGTTGTATGAAAGACAAGTCTGTTTTCTAATGATCCAGCTCATATTCATACTGAAAATTTTCAGCTTGATGGTATCGAGTTATTATTAAGCAATAATTTCAATGAAATATTCATCACATTTAGGTTTTCATTTTTTTAAAATCATATTTCTCTGATACATGAATTCATGAATCATATTTCTCTGATACATAAATTTACAAGATTTAACAAAATTCGTCGAAATTCAGTCTTCTCCTAATCTCTCATTTCATAGGTGAAATCTTTTCGCCTAAGACTCACTTGGGAACAAAACTGCACAATGGTCCTTGAAACCAATCGGTGTTTAAATGTTAGCATTATATATTTATGACTTGGATTTTCAGATGGAAAAACGACTCTAAAGGGACTGATTTCACTGAATTTCCCCAAGTTCTTCTACTATACGTTCGTTTATACCGTTTTTATTACAGTGACCAATTAACTTTCATTATTTTCCGATCCTAGAGTTTTTCAGAATGTCGTAGTTGAACAAATCGACAATCAATCTAAGCAGAGCTTCGGTTTATGCAAATACGCGCTAAAGGCTCTATGCACACTTTTGCAAATCAATTCAAATAGCTTAAATCCGTCTGAAGATATAAAAAAACGATCAAAACATTCCTCAACATTAATTGTTGGTTTTTCCTCGTTTTTTGCTATAAATTTATATTTCCCAGCCATTCCTACCTTCTCATAAGTCAATTACATAATTGAATCAAATATTATTTGACCTACTACTTGATTTGATATTTTTCCCCAAATTCTGGACTACTTTTCAACTGGTTTTTGTTTAACACCAAACCTATCTAATGTATTTTCAAAAATTTAAGAAGTGCACTGATTACCTAAAGGAAAATTGAATTCATTAACAGCCAAGAACACCCTGGAACACAACCTATGACAAAGGATCTGATAATGACTCACAAAGAACACCTTTTAATGGAACAAATCTTCATGCGGAATTTTTCATCCCACCACACCCATGCAACTTTTCAATTTTTGCATTTTCCTGGCAATAAATGATAAAGCATACAACCGCTTATAAAATGGGAAGAACTATATCGAGAACAAATGACGAAACCTCATTCAAATATTTATATCCAAAATAAATTAAAGACGTACAAGTTTTATTTTAAAAACTATTATATCAAACTTTTCATATTTTTTTATTTGGTTTATTATTTTGTTTAAATATCAATTAAAATCCAATTTCGAAAACTTCATACGTGATGCAAATTTATTAAATACTTTCAAATACTTGTACAGTAAACAAGCTTTGACAATTGCGCGATCATTAATAACAATAAACAATGAAAAAACCATAGTGAAATAAAAGCCATGATGATCCCGCTCATTATGGTCTACTTTTTCATTGCTATTCAGAAATGATTTAAACTCTGAAAGAAAATGATTCGTTATTTCACTTTATTTTTTTTATTCCATAAAAAGAACGATAATGATTATGATCATCTCATTTGTATAATACCAGCTTCTTGAAGCTTTAAAAGCTTTTGTAGAATATCACGATTGCGTAAATGTTCTTTGACGGCTCCTGGATCATTGCTCATTTGTTCCAATAGCAATCTCATTCCTGGGTCTCTGAAATATTCACCTTCTAACCAAACATAAAACGAAATCATCTTGAAAATAAAAAACGAACAACGTTACAACGTTGATTGAAAAGAATAAAAATGACCTTAAAATTTCTTGAACTTCTGGATCTTGCAAGGCACGCTTACGTGCTTGTTCTATTGGCTCATCATCATTTCGTATTGCATTCGTTAATCCTTCACGAGCCTCAACATTTGTACTGTCAAGTGCGAGTGCAGCTTCAAAAGCACTTCGCGCCTTTGCATATTCCTTCATAGCAGATAATGCAGCACCTTTTCTTATATATCCCTTAACTGTAAAAAAAAAAAATTATAAAACTTGAACCATTAAATTCAACATCATATTAAATTATTCCTAATTTTCACTAAAATTCACCAAATATAAATGTTACCTTAACATAATAACGACATACAAATTCTATTATTTAGTGAAATGATGACGATTCAAAAAAAATGCAAAGTGCATACTGAATTTCGGATCCTTTTTGATGCAAGTTTCACAATCTTCTAATGCCCTCTGGAAATCCATAAGTTTCGTATAGCATGCTGCTCTATTGGAGTAAAGGATGGCATTATCGGGATCCCTCTTAACGGCTTCGTTATAGTGTTTCATAGCTTCAGGGTATTTTCCTGAAAATTTCACTTAACAAAAAAATTATGAAGATATAACACCCTTATTTTCGACAAATTATGTGTGTTCCGTTCCAAAAATCCATGCAAAATATAATATTAAAATAAAAAAAAAAGAATTAACCCTCTTTAAAGAGTTCGTTTCCTAATTCTTTTTCTTTTTGAGCGATTTTAGGATTTATATAAGCCAATCTTTCTTTTTCGGCCAATAGTTTTTCCAAGTTCTTTTTCTTTTTGAGTAACTCCTGTCATTTCGAGAAAAGAATTGAATAATTCAGCATAGTTTCCTTTAATGATTTAAAAATTTAACGAATAAAATATATACCTGATCCCGATGTTCGGATAACGATTTGTCAAACCAAACAATCGCTTCCTTCATTTGATCCATTTTCATATAAGCATTTCCTATTCGTGTCAGAACTCTAAATACAATAAAATACAATTAAAATTTACAGTAATATGCACAAAATTTAAAGAACAGATAGGGGGTATAAGGAAAACAAACTTTGCAATGAGAGGATAATCTGCGCGTTGTTCACGACCAACATCCACTGCCTGCTTACACAGTTCGATACAATTTTCATATTCACCTTTTTCAAACATGACAGCTATAATTAACAGACTTAAAAAGATGAAAAAACGGCGTAATCCCTTCAAATGAAGTTAATTTTAAATTTGCAAAATAAAACTCTAATCCATCTGGACTATTTATAGTTCTAGTCGATTTCCCCCCCTCCCCCAATAAAACCTATAATAATCTCGAAAAGAAAACCTACCAGCTTTATTTGAAAATAATGTCATATTTGTAGGATCAAGTTCGATAGCTTTATCATAATGCCCAAGCGCTTCATCAAACTTTTTTTGTTTATAAGCAGCATTTCCAAGATCTTTCTCTTTCAGTGCCTAAAAGTCTTGAGATCTTTTGATATTTGATGGCCAAATAAAATTTAGAAATTTTACCAAAAAATTAAATTTAAAAAACCACTTGCATTCGCTACTACTTTCCATTGATCATAAAAATGGAAAAATTAAATAATAACCTCAATCGTCGCCATTTGCATGGAAATTTTCGATAATTTCTCAGGGAAAATAACTAAAAATAACACAATTAATCCAATATAAATCAAATACCTTTACTGCCGCAAAAGAATGAAGAGAGAAAGATAGGGGAGATAAAAAAAAGAAAGAACAAGCAAACTGATTCAAATTTGGTAAATGGATTGATTCGACTATTAGAGGAAGATGTTCGATTGGACATTAGACATTGGAACAACAAAAAACATGGGGTAAATAAGGCACGTAGATGACTAAGATAAAGCAGACATGGAAAACATGGAAAAAAGAAAAACCTTTCAACTTTCCAAAATTTTCGTTTCGAAATTATAAAAAAAACTGCGAAACTCATTCGAAAACCGACTAAACAGCGTTCCAGACCTCACCAGCACTTACCCAACGCATTTCCCTCAATCTTTAATTCACTTTCCATTCACACGTACCCAACACCCAATCACCTGACGTAATGCACAATTAGCAGACTGGAAAGGCTGACAATACTTTTGCCCTAAATGATATTGGCGTAAATGGCGTTTGACAATACTAGGCATCATATGTGAAAATTTCGCATGCTTTAAAGGTCATGGGTCTTGAAATATGAAATACCTGAAAAATATTCCCTCGCAAATTCCCAATGTCCATCCAATACGTTACGTAGCAACCTCGTTGCTTACGCTCTTCCCTTTTTCAAATATGAAAATTTATGAAAATGCTATTGCTATTTATGAAAATGAGCAGGTGAGGGATTAATCGAGGGTACAGCATTTTTCACGATACACGATACGAATCGACATCGAAAATATTCTACGAAAATTTTCTATTTTTTTTTAACACGTTTTTCTTTTTTTTTCAAAGCGCGATGCGGATGAACAATTTGGGATTCAATAAAATAGCGACGTAATGATCGTCGTCCAATACAGTTATCCAGGCTTGCGTCCAATTTAACTGCTCCGACTTAATTGCTCTCCACTGACGTAGCCACACGTGAGATGGCGGCTCTAAGCCTTTGTCAATTGCGCGTGCAACTGCCAATCCTCCATGTATCGACGAAATGCAACAGCAATGTCGCAAAAATGACGACACCTAGCGAATTTCAGGAATCACTTAAATTTGAACAGGCTGCTCGAACGCCAAATTTCGGAGAAATTTCCAGCCTTTTCTCCAATCTTCTCTTTTGCCAATTACAGCATAAAAATATTTTATGCAGCTTTATAATTTCGTTGTGAGATACAAACCTGTAAACGTTTTGCAATTTTTTTGTGTTTTCGCGATTTGAATCCAATAATTGATGAAATGATTCGATGATTTGCATCATTAGTGTTTGCCTTCGCTGTATAGATTCTCGTTTTTCTTCTCTTTTGCTCATTGGTTCAGATAAATCGATTTCTGGTTTGGCCAGCCTCACTGAGTACCAGGTCAGAAGGTCTTTTGCTAGAGGATATAGAGGTAAATATGGTGACGAGTTAATAGTGGCCACTTAGACTAACTTTGAGAATATAGGTTTTTCTTCTTTAGGAATCGAACGTAATCTATCCCTCAGCTTGGCGAACTATTCCATCCAACCACTGCAGTCCGGAATAATTTTAGAATGCTTCACGAATTTGTGTACTGTCCTCACGTGCGTTGAGTGTTGAGTAGTAGCGGTAACAGCGATGTGTCGAAGGCTAAAAAAAATCGTGTTCCGTCTATGATATTAACCTGAAAAGCAGCCTATTTGATGAAATGTACCCAACTAAAATTCTTCGACGATATATCGTCCTGACGCAAATTTTGCAGATTTCAGATTTGTGCTAGCCATTTATAACTTCTGATTTAATTAATCTCTTTTTTGCAGACAGTTAATAATGTCAAAGCTAATTCTATTTCTAAATTTAACTTTTCATTCTTATATTTTATCAGTTTTATCAACGGGTATTTACTTGGATAATGAGAATGCACAGTCCGTGCCTTTGCTGCTCAATGGGTTCGTTTTTTTCTTCTCACCAATTCTACTTTCAGATCTTTTACATTATCGATAAATTAATTAGTTGAAAATGCTAAACAGCAACAATGGTAGAAATGCTTTAAAAAGCAAGCATGTTGAAGAATAAATTCTCGCGACAATATCTGAAAATAGGCTGATTGAATCGGTTCAATGTAGATATAAAGGAGTGCTCAGTGCTCAGTGAGTGTTTGACTTGGTAATCGTTGTCGACGTATGCGACTGAATAAGGTCAAAGTATATGTGAGGTTAATTCAAATTGAAAATTTTTTAAAAACCGTTCATTGTATCGTTTAAGCCTTATTTAGGTCACCGAAAAAATTTATGTTTATTATCATTTATATTTTTACCATTTCTTATTTTCTTTATTTTTTATTTTTTAAAAATTTTATTGGCGTATTATTCAAAAAAATTAAAAAATATCCGTGGAGTTATTAGAAATACCTGTCTTGTGGATGAAGAGAAGCCTTCAAAACGAGACTTCAAATGCTTGTACAGCCAGTTACTATCACTCTTTGCATATTGTAGTTCTATAATTTATAGCTGTGGTCGTAAAAAATAAAATTCATTGTGCATTGCGCTTTAACGAGGCTGAACAAAATGATGGTGGGCTGTTTTGAGAAAGCAACTGGATTTGAAGGGGTAATTGTAAGAAAAGGGACTGACGCCATATTGGTTTGTGGCGAAAGTACAGCAGTTCGGAATGTATCGAGGTGTGTGGATTTTGGTGGTATGGAGGGGTTTCAACACTGCGGGCCGAAATTTCTCTGGTTTTAGAATAATATAAAAAAAGGACACAATAACGTTTGATAACCACGGTAGGCCATATTTAACGGAGTTTTTTTTAAGAGATTCACCATTACTCGTTTGATTTGCTTCTCCAGCTTGCCGCATTTGATAAATAATCCAGGGGGGGGGGGTTCTTGGCGATAGAAGTACAAGTGGGACGCCAACATCACATAAATTTTTGAAGGACAGATCTACTCTTGCGAACAGTAGAGTCCTCGGCTCTCCGAATTGACCAATAGCCCACTGAGCCATTCTGCTTCCCTTTGTTTTCCTTCAACACTGCCCGATGAAGAGTGCGGATTTGAACGCAAACCTCGATTCTCGGTGGCAGTTATCTTGCCACTGAGCTCCGACTCATCACTTAACGATTTTGGGAGGATATGATGGAATTTAAGATTGAGTTGTTCTCAAAAGATGCTTCGGTAAATGGGCGCGACAGAATCCTGCGAGGAAATTGATGGGGTTTTTGCGATATGAAGGATTAGAACTAGTTCTGAGGAACATATTAAGGGAGAGATTGCTTGATTGATGGTTTTTTTAGTTTAATTTTATACCTTTGGTTTTGTTTTTTTTGTTTTTTGATGTTTTTTGATTATTAAGGTTTTTTATAAGCACAAAATAAAGGATTTAGGATAGTGCAAGGAAGCGTGAAATAATACTTTTGAGGTGCGGCAAAAGAAGTGAAGTTACGATGAAGTTTGCTGGAGCCAGGATGTTAGAAGGTTTCGAGGAGTGTCAAGCGACGTAATAAATTCTGAGGAAATTGTTAAGGGGTTAGCAAATCTGAAAGATGGTTATGTGAAATCTAAATGAATATTATTAATGGTTTAGAATAAATTTAAAAATAGGGTATGGAGGAGAAATAGCGGAGATTCGAGGAGTACAGGTAGTGTTCAACGGAAATGAGGTTTTTTTCGAACACAGATTGTAGATGGAATTTTAAAGTTCTCAGAATATTTTAACATTTGTTGCTTTAGTAATGTGTTTAAAGAAATATCTAACAACTTATTTTATCTCTAATCGATTTGATTTAGAAAGCTAAATTCTCGTCTTGAATCGAAGATATTGGAACTGCTTGGCATTGACCATATTAAACCACATTATGGAGTTGTTAAAGATGATTTAGCATCGCGATTTATGGCCGAACTTTATGAGAATCTGGAACAAGATGTACATCTTAATCCGGCTTACAAGTATTTTTTTTCTCTACTCTAGGCTTAATCTAATCAATTAGTCTCTTAGATTTCTTTTAAAATTTTCGATAATTTTTGCCGATTGCGATAGCAGTCGCTCTTTATTTGAATTGGCTGGGCCAATTTAGAGAATATGAGCCGAATAAATATTATAAAGTCTTTACAAATTATTAAGTCATTCCAAATATGTTAGGAAATAATTCGAGGATTGGTGAACTAACGAAAGAGAAAGATAGAAAAAAACAGAAAAGAAAGAGCAAAAATGGAAAAGGAAAGAACATATCTGCCTATTGCCTATGTCCATTTAGCCATATTAACCACAGTTTCATTAATTTTTTTCAGGTATTTGGTTAGCAAACCGTTTTTATCAACTGAAGAGAAAAAAGCAATTGAATTAGGCAAAGCTGATACGATTGTTTCATTTTTGCCAAGAGGTAATCTATTTTGAAAATGCATTCGCTAATTCCATTTAATTTGAAAAAAAGTTTTAGCTATTTTGTATTTTAAAACTGATTTAGAAGTTTCAACAAAAGACAGCATGTCAGTAGTTCGTTTTGATATGAATAATACACTTTTCGGTCCACTTTTATATTCAGAATTTCGCATATCTTTTAATGGATCGACGAAGCCCTCATATGTTAAAGCTTTCCCATCCAATAGGTATTTTATTTTTTTGATTTGCAAGGTTTTAAAGTATAAAGAAAAGCAGATTGTGGAGAAATACAATATTTTATCTGCAAATAAGTACTTTTTTAATTTTCGAATTATCAGATAGCTGAACTTAATTATTTAATTTGAGATTTAAACAACAGGAGATTGGTAATATAGAATTTTTTAGATTTTGGATTTTTAGTTTTAGATTAGGCTTTTATAACAGTTCAGTGCTAAAGGATAGGAACACTGAATGCGGTTAATAAATAAAAATTGTAAAAGGTGAAAATTTGCAATGAATACATGTAACAGCATCAGTTTAAGCAAACGAAAAAGCCCAATCCAAGCTTACTTAGCAAACAATGGTCACTTTGTCCTCAACATTACCGAATTGCTTCGTCGATGGGTAACTGGCTCGTCTAAAATTCCAATACTTACGATTATTGCTTATTCTGCTGATGGTTAGTTGACAGTTTTTCTTACAGTAGTTTTTCTTATCATACCTGGTTGCATCGATGGATTACCAAGGAGATAGAAAAATTGGGACGAAATATTACAGTGGTATATTGCTTCGAATAACTTCAAGCGTCATCAATTCTATATTTCTTTAATTCATAAGTGGATCCTTAAAAGTGGAATCCTAGTGGTCTTTGATATCAACTTGGGCCATTAGAAAGAAAAAGGAAGTAATCTTATAAATTTCTAAAATTTCATTATGACCATTAATAAATCGTTCATTATTAGGTCACAAATATCCATTGGATGCTTTCGGATTGTGGCAAAGTTTTGGAGTTGCTTCCTTCGCTGAGGGAACCAATATTAGGAAACGATTAAAGCGAAAACGTGCTGTTAATGATGATCTTGTCACAGTTGATGGTTTTAGCAATGGGTTTAGTGTGAAAGCAGATCCGCTAGGACAGTCAGGTTGATTTGGTTTTTTTTGTCGATTTAAATTTGTTTTTATTTGTTTCTTTGAATTTGATAAATTTCTTTAACTTTGGATTAATTTAATATGTTTTTTAAGACTTTAATATCAACACATTTTTCGTATAATCGTTCGCATGCTTGCGTTTTATAATTTTGCTTTAAGCCTACAATAAAGGATGTCGACGACACACTCTTTATGTCGATTTCAAGGATCTTGGGTGGCAGGCAAATTTTTATTTTTCGTATTCTTGAGCAAATTATTTTTCAAGAAAACGGTTTTCTAGATAGATATCGTAAGTTCAGTTTGACTTCTCCTTTTGGCAGTCCGCATTTCTGTTTTTGCTTGCTTCGTTGGGTTCTAGGGTAAGGTGCTCCTAAATTTCTTGATTCGATATTTGAAATTAATTGGAACAATGCATTGGCCCATATTGATACTCTTTGTGTGTTCGAAATTTTTTCCTAGCCGATTTATGATTTGATTGAGTTTCCTCGCTTTTGGGGTCATTCACCACAGCTGAGATAGGTTTAATTTCTGTGGTTTGCGATTATGTTTAGTCGAATGAATGACTTTAATCTAGACTTTTTCTTGTTGATACCATCGATACATGTGGCATTTAAGCGAAAGTGAACGCAGTTACTTAGGATTTCTTTCATCATAGCAAATTCATCTTAAAATGCATTTTAGCCTGTATTGTAGACAGGAGTGGCTAAAAATAAATAGCTCCCTGATATCATTCGGTTCCATTGGCCAAGAATTTTGTCTTTTATTGGCCGTTAAATGTGAGAGGTAGAACTGAATCTAAATCCGCAATAAATGTCACGGCAGATCGTTGGGTTTTGATATGATGTTGCAGTACCATTCTTAGTGTGAAGGACAGTAATAACCGCGCCTCGGCATAATTTCATTTTGGTGCAGTGTACCTTGCTTTCACGTACTGCGGTAATTCTGTTTAGTAAAGGAGAAATGAAAATCTCTCCAAGGATCTGCAATATGATTGCTGGATAGTTATAATAAAATGTCCTATCACCTTTTCTTAAAATTTGAGAGCAGGCTCCTTAAAGTTTGTCATTAATGTTCAGCTTGAACGTGACCTTTAATTGATGCTTGAGATTAAGTATTGACGATTTATCAGTTTATTAAGGTTATTTTTTGTCGATTTAATTGTTTCATTTTTTTAGTATTTGCCCTGCCATTTTAGTGGTTTTTTACTAGGATTGGGTGATTGCTCCGGATGGTTATCACGCTTATTATTGCGATGGTTACTGCTCCTTTCCGTTAAACAATCGAATGAATGCAACAAATCACGCTATAGTACAAACATTGGTGCATTTGATCGATCCATCAAGGTTTAACTAATTTTTTTAATAAATATTTTTTCAATTTTTTTCAATGTTTTTTGGAAAATTTTTTGCAAATAAAAAGTTATTTTAATTATTTTCATAATCTTTATGATGCACACATATTTTAAGAACATCGGAAGCAAAATGTGCACCGTCATCGCTGCGTTCGATGAAAATACTCTTTATTGATAATGCTCAAAATGTCGTTCTTAAGCGGTATAAGGATATGCAAGTTCGTGACTGTGGATGTCAATAGGCTAATTCGCTGAAACTTCGTCTTTTCGAAGCATTTTTGTCTCCAAACTTGGTCTGAGAAAAATCTTATATGCTTCATTCCATTTAATGGCTTGCCTATTAATTTCGCTTCGCATAATTCGTAATGTGTTGCATTATTTTTACTTAATTTTTATACCTTATTTTTCATTTTGTCAATATTTTTGCATTTTTGTTTAATATTTTGATTTGTACGGATGTGTTCTTAGTATTTAAGTTTTAATATCCTGGTGTATTAATTTTCTTTAGATTTCTTGTTTTTTTTACTTGAAATTATTGCATTTTTTTTCAATTTAAATTTGCGACTTTTATCAGTGGTGAATATTTTTTCATCCGAGTATTTATCTCAATTTTTCAAAAAATGTACCTTTCAAAAAAGTGGTTCATTTATCAATAATTTTTGAATAATTTGTGCCTATTTGCCATTTTTAAAAAATAATCCGACAAAAGATGAATTTTGTTTTTTGTTACTTTTTACATTTGCACGTTATTGTTTTTATTTTTCTTCCATTTTCTAAATAATTTATCGTTAGCAAAAGCAGGTGCTATTATTTGTTATGTTATGCAGTTCTTTTGTATCATTGATAACCTATTTGATGATATTCGAAATGAAATCGTATTAAAGCTTGAATAATAAATAATAACCTCTAATAAACTTATATTTTGAATAAGTTCGGCGTGGTTTTTTTTACATTCACAATCTTCAGAAACTTTTTCAGTCATATGTGGCATTTTGTTAATCTCTGCGAAAGTAAGTTGGAATTGTTGTAGTGCATTATTAAGGATTTAATGTTTCGATATATTGTCAATGATAACTGCAAGCATTCGCCAAGCGAATGAATTCTTTTGAAATCTTCGGACGATTTCATTTCATTTCGAAATATGATTAAGGTTTTTTTGGAGGGGATAACTGAAGATTTTAATGAAAAGTTTTGGTTGAAAATTGGAAATTCCATTTGAATGAATCGAATAATTATAACTTGTCCTATGTATTCTAGAAAAGAAATTGAACGATGAGGAAATTGAGGAAAGCACTAATGCTAGTTAGATTCACTCCGTTGGCATGTCCGACTAGGCAAACATCCCTTGGCAATAGAAATACAGGTGAATCGCCAGATCTTTGGACAGGTATATTCCTGCAGTGAATAGAATTTCGGCGCTCCGAACTGAGCAACAACCCACTGACCAATTGCTTTTCTCCATTAATCGACACTGCCACCCGACGAAGAATGGTGCGTCGGATTCAAATCCAAGCCTCGATTCATTAGTGACTACTGAAATATTCGATTTTTTGAAAAATTTCATTATTCAGTCAGATTCAAACCATTGTATTGATTTTTAATGGATTTTATCCTATCTTATTCATATTTCTCTTTCGATAAAAATTTTATTGAAGTTGAATGAAAAAAGTGATTAATTCAGCGAAATTTTTTAGTGGTCGTTTATGTGATAAATCGAAGTTTGCTGAATTTTGCGTTTGAGGATTATTTGGTGATTTGGTTGTTCATAAGGAATTCATTTTCTAGAGTTTTATTTTGCTTTTTTTCTTAATTTTTTCATCCAGAAATCCATTTCCTCAAGGTCATAATTGGCAAAAACAATGAAATTATCATATCACTTTATACAAATTATCAATTGTCAACGTTGTATTTTGCTTAAAACTTTCTATAATTGAATTTGAGTGCAAAAATTCCTAGCCATAAAATTGAAAAAAAACGGCATTTCCTTATCTGATAAATGGGGAGTAGAGTGAAACTGCGTGGTTTTTCGTTTTTCCTTCTCTTTTTTCACTTTTATTCCTCCCTAATTATCTTGTTGTAGTCATATTTTTTTCTTATCAAGAGAATGTGTGATGTCATGTTAGATAGGTAAAATGTCGGAAAAATAACTGCTTTAAAAAATATTGAAAATTAGCTTGCCAATAAAACATAATAGGACAGAATAGCCGTCAACAAATGAATTTTTGGCACATTAACAAAAAGTCAGCAGAGGGCTGGCTGAATGGCTTTAAACGTTTTCAAATTTTTTATTTAGAAGATCAAACAAGTCAATAATTATACATTTTGGTTAATAATAATAGTAACGTAACAAGATGTTGATACTTTATTGCTAAAAAGATAAAATAGAAAAAAACCTTAAACCTATATTTGTTACAAACGAATCTGTGTATGCTAAATATTGTCGTAAATAATTCTGCTTAATTTATTTTTGAAAGTAGACACTGATAACGCAAAAACCACATCGGTTGATATCATTTTGGTTGTTCATCACATATTTCTTTTTTATTAGCATATTTCTTCCACATCATTTAAACAATATCGTTATGGTATGAAATCATAATTAATTTCAAACCACCATTAATTTCAAATGGTCTGTTTTTAAAATTGAAGGTAGTGCACGGAATTTGATGAGATGAGGATTTACAAATCAAAATTTGTTCAGCTTCATAACTTCTGTTTTTATGTTAATTAAAACTTTGATAAAATTTGATCAATTTGTGATTGATTCCAAAAATTGCAAAAAAATGCGTGATATTTCGGAAAAAATGATTTTATTCGATTTTACCGGATAAAAGTATTTTTGAAAAATCAGGATGATTTCTAAAAAAACAAGAGAAAATCTCATACATCATATGAATATAATTATTTTGATAACAATCTCATATTTTTAAAGAGAAAAAGATTACTTTCGGGATTTGTTAGGGAATAGTTGGATTGAAAGTACATACATATATGCTTCCAGTAGATAGATGTCTCATGAATCGCTTTCAATAGTTATTAAAGGTCCTTTCAATAAACGATTTAAAAATGAGTTTAAAATAAGAGGTGATCTTTGCAAATGATGTTAGACATGGTCGAGTAGTACATTTGGTCGATAAAGTCGAGCATCTCAATGTAAGATCACTCAGTAGCAGGATGATTCGGAACTTAGATGAATCTCTAGCATTGTTTATTTCACTATTAATGGCACGTTTATTTCCATCAAGCGGCGGATTTGAACTCATGATACTTGACCCACTATGCTATTCTTGGGCAACAGCTCCATTATTGTCATCTAAAGCCAATCGCCTGTCCCTCTTATTCGGTCATTTATGTTAAAGCAGTCGGCAAATATGGAAGAAATTCTGGTTCTCTATTCATCGTCTAAAATTATTACTGGTTAATTTGTATCATTTTCTAATATTTCGGCTTTTCATTTTATTCGTATCTTTTACTTATTAAAAAATGATAATAATTTATTTCACAGGCCATTAATTAATGATACTGGTAGCTTAATGAATTTATTTCAATTCGCTGATTTTTATGCTTGTGCCTTGTACCAGAGCCCACCACTGAGCAAATTTTAGTTAGAGGTCACTCACCACTGATCGTTATAAATCATTTACTGGTTTTGCGCAAATTTTAAGGTGCGAATTGCCGTTGCTTTTTAAATTTAACTATCGCGGCATGACACTTTCTGATCAATTAACCTTGTGACCCGAAAGAACAAGTATTTTGCCTCTTAAATTGTTCAGTTGACCTAAATATTGCTACCTTTAAGTTTTAGAAATTTTCAGCTGTATTTGATTCAGATTGATTTGAGATTTGAGATATTTCATTTTTCGATTAAATAGCTTTTTTTATTTCATTTTTAATTTTTATAATAGCAGCTTCATTTCGATATTTATCACTTTACTCATTGCTCATATGAACTAAGCCTTGTCTTAATTGGTATTGATTCAGCTGCAGCAGATGAAACATTATCATTAAACTCGGTTTTAATGAGGACCTAAAAAGTAAAGGTGAAAATGCTGATAACTATAAAAATTTGCTAAAAAATTTACTGTTCTCATGGTAGATCGGATAATCGGTGTCTTATAAGACGGCCTTATTAGAATTGGCAGCTAATTACGTGAGAGGCAAATTATCCTTTCCATTCGAAAATATAGTATAATATAGTATAGCAAATAAATTTGAAAGGACTAGATCTTTCTTGGGTGTGCACCGAATATCTCAGGTCTTGTGAATAAAAACTCTTATTTCGACGTCTCTGTAAAACCATAGTAATGGAATTCTCGAGAGCATATTTATCAGTCGTTTAGAAATAAAATTTTTTTAAAAATTTCTTATCTAAATATGCAAAATGCTCGCTGACCTTTTTGATTATAATATGACCTTTTATTACCCTATACACCACAAAGTGAATAAATTAATCAGAAGTCTCCAGAAATACTTTGCACACCTCACTCCTAATAGTTATTTTAATTGTTAATAAAATTTTATAACTCACTCTGGTTCGATGAATAAAATAAGATTTAGTTCATACAGAATTTTATACGATTGTTTTAAATTAGATTGTTCCGAAAATTCCAAAAATTGCAATTTTAAGTTAAATTTGAAACCCAACAAGATGGGCAAAATTATTAAGACCTATATGTACACTACACTAAAAACTTATGAACTGAAGTACCTTTAATTACTGCAGTAAGCTGTAATATGTTCGTCATTTTTAGCTATTTAAGGAAGGGATGTTGAATAATATCATCCATCGTATTATTTAAAGCTTTCATAAAGTGATAATGCAGGAAGTTTGAAATTATGGTCTTTTAGAATGAGATTACATGAGATTATACAAACAATCTTTTAAAATTTATTATTCTTTTTTTTCTCATTGGTAGCTTTAATATTGCTCACATTTTGTAGCGATATTATGAATTTTGTATCAGTTGGCACTTCAAGGATCTGCTTGGTTGTTTTCAAATAAAAAAGTAAATAAAAGGGCATTTTTTCATAGAACTATAGGAGTAAATTTCTTTTCTTATGTTGCAGTAGGAAAATTTTAGATTTTTCCTGGAAAAATTCAGCAGAACTCTGCGCTGAAACAGTGAAAAGCAATCCAAATAACCCGGAAAAATTTTCAGAGAAAACCATTCTTACATATACTATTATTACATCATTAATTGATAATGTCTTACGAAATCGCCTATTATCTCTTCAACTGAAACAATTCTTTTCACTCAAATCATCTAGTAATTAACTAAGTAAAGTAGAAAAATCGAATCCAGCGAGGCAATATTTCACATTGATAAACGAATAAATGACTAAATAAATGACTTTTTTGGGTTAGATTTTCTTAGCTGGCTGCTAGTACGGTCAGAAAAATTTCTCAGAGAGTCACGTAGCAAGTTATTCGTGCAATTTGTGTAAGAAAATTAATAACCAAAATACGACGAGAAAAGAGGTTAAAAAAGAGGAAAGAAAAAATACATGAATAAAATTTTCCCAAAAGCTAATTTCTGTTCATCTCTTCAAGTGGCTGAGAATAGTTTGATAAATTCCATAAAACCAGTTATTTGGTATTTTGTAATATTTCGCGAATATTCTAATATAATGTGTCCAATGCATACATAGTTCTAATATATACTAGCTCAGTGGTACTAATTCCTAACTTTAAGATTGCTATATTTTCATAAAATTTGGTAATCAGAAATTTATTATGCTTCTTATTTTTATTAATTATTTATTGAAATTATGAAATTTCTTGATTTCTTTCTTCTAATAGCATTATTGTTGTTAGGCTTGCTCCACAGATAACTAGATTGCGACGTTGTCAAGCCTCCCAATCCAATGCAACTCCGAAAAACAATTGAAGCCATTTTTTTTGCACCATCACAAATGTCGCTGGTTCGCCTATGTGTTCAAAATCTTTTCAAATTGCGTCTTTTCAGATCTTCATTGGTTTTTCCCGTCCATAACAGGGCTTAATGAGTAACGAGATTGCATCAATTTCTGCGGTGGATGGTGAAGAACATGAAAAAAGAACGATTCTTCTGTCTTATTTTATTATTCTTAAATTATTAACCAAATATTAACCAAATCAGTCAACGATTTGTGACGATTCTTAAGGCAAGTGATATAGAATATTCGAGCGAAGGTGAAGGATATGCAGATCATGTAATTTAAGGAAAATGAAATATATGGATAAAATGCTTAAATAAGTAACTTAATAAGTAGCTTAAATAACTGATTATCCTCCTGGAACTCCATCGCTTTTCATAGCTGCCAAAGCCCTATTCATCAAAGGCAACAGCGAAGTCGATGAAACGCATAGCCATTGGTAGTCGATACTTGAAATGATATTCAATATCCTTCCTATCGTGCAAATTTAGCCAGATTTAGTCTTAAACTTGTCTTGGTCTACATTAGGCTTGGATGGAGTGCGTTCTGCTATCACATGCTGACATGAGTGTATTTAGTACATTTAAGTGTATTTAAGGTAGGCAAAAACCTTCTTCGAAATATCTAGTAAGCTAATAGTTGTCCCAGTGCATCTTTTCTTTAGAACTGGGAGCAGAATTGACTTGTTCATTAGTATTTGATTCTTATTCTTTTACCCCTTTTCCAGCGAAAGTGTGTTGTGAAAGACTTTGAGCACCATGAGCAAAAGAATTCAATCATTTCCTCTCTTCTGGAGGTTTTATTGAGCTTGAGCTTGAGTTCGTGTTTGGTTGCTGGGACAGTAGTAAGTAATAACTGTGTGGTTCAAAATACATACCAGTCATGACATGTTAGATGGTTGTAAGTATGTATGTAGTCGTGTAGTACTCAAAAGTTCATTCTTGGCATCATGAAAGACGATTTTTTATGGCCTTAACAGAATTTTTCGAACCATTTCACTATTTCTTGAACTCCTGAATTTGTGAAATAGGCCGAATAATTTTCGCCGATCGCTTACTCAATCTTTATATTCAAGGCTAAATTCGACGCAAATCTTGCGAGAGGTATGTTTCATAGAGCTGTCAGTATCCAGCATCTTATCATAGTCAGTTGAAGCGATTGAAGCGACTGAAGCAGAAATGGCGAAGGAAATTCGAAGAAAATGTGAATGTTCTACTGAAGTCTAATTTTTAAAATAGTTCTCATTTTGATCTAGTGGTCAATTTTGGCCTTTTTACAATTTATCACAAATTATTAATTTTTAATTACTCTATAAATGTGTATTCAACTGTTTTTTTAGGAAATTAAGATCGAATTTGATACTGCCTTCTTGAATTTGAATTTAATATTAATTTTACAGTTTTACATGAAAACGAGACCATAACTCATAGAACAGCTTTTTGAGCATGTGGAGCATTTTCGAATTGCAGTTTTCAATGACAATTTAGAAAATTAATGCGGAATTAAAACTTAAAATTAAATGGGCGTACATCGCCCAATTTAAAGATCCTCTTAATTTTTTAAAAGTTCATTTAATTTTTTATATTATTTTTTACATTATTGTCAATATTTCAAACAATAATAAATCTTCTTCTTTTCACTGAATATGTGATATATAATAAATATATATATAGTACATAATATAATCAATGCCCATTCATTAATTTTTGCTGAAAATACCTTTTTTTATGATCGCTGCCTTTTATTCTTATGGTGCCAAAATTAAACGTTCGAAAAATCGTTACAAAACTCGAAAATGTTTCAGATATTCGTGTTTCGGAGTAGTTATTCATTTATTCACTATTTATTCATTTATTGCGTTTTTTTCATAAAATGGGAATTTGTTTAAAGTTATGTTCAATGTAAAAAAATTCAATGTCTAGAATTGTTTAAAATTGGAGTCATTCAAAGAGTTCAAGAAAAGTAGCTTGGTAAGGGCCAAATCATAGAAATGTCTCTCATCACTACAGATTAATACAGCTAAATTCTTGGTTTTGTTGAATCCACTGGCTATTAGGATGATCGTCCGAGTCAATTGGCGAAATGCAAATTGGCACCATCTCTTCTTAATGAAAAATGTTACTTCTGTCAGAGAACAAGAATCGAATCCATGATGCATCAGTTTTAATCGAAATAGCATACTGCTCGTATCTATCCTGCTCACTTCTTTAATTATAATTACTTCTATTATTTAATATCTAAATTTGCCACTAACTTTCTGTATGGAAATTTATATTCTAACCATTCGCATATATAAAATTTAAGTTGCCATATAAAATTTCCAGTATTCTCAAAGTAATTTCCATAATCATTGTTGCATCATTTTTATTCCACGAAATATCCAGTATTCTCGAAGAATTATCGTTTTCATCTTGATTTTTTGAGTAGAAATTGATTGACACCATCGTTTCAGTTTTTTAGTTCAACGATGGTTGATCAATAAAAATCATTGTGGTGACTTATCATCTTAATTTTACAAAGATTTTTGCAAAGTTCGATTTTTCATTCGTGAAGTATCAATAAAAATCAAGTTGTAGATCGGATGGATTATCTAAGAAGAGCATAAAGGGGGTTATGAATAATTTAATAAACTTGTATTGTAGACGATGTGGGAAAATTTATTATGGACCAAAAAGGATTTTTGTTTGATACTCATCGAACTATTTGATCACTCTGTGGATGCTATTTTTCTAGAATTAGCTGCATTCATATGGAAAAGAATAATTTGCCGAGAAAAATCACTACTTTTGATCTCATATTCAATGTTGTTGATTATATATATATAGGAGTTAAAATTGCATTTCGCCGAATTTGTGACTTGTGACTTTACCTTTTGGCCAAATTCTTGAAATTCAAGCGCCATTGAATTCAGTTAAATTGATTTTTCACTATTACTTTCTCACAGATTAGTTGTAAAAATTCTAAAATGTTTGCATATCTTCGAGAATGTTTAATTTTGTTGTTTTTAATTATTTTTTAATCTTTAATTTTGATATTGCAGTATTCTGCTCTTTATAAGGGTATAAAAATCAAGATAAAGATAGATATCAATCATTCTAACCACATCACAAATTTTGATCCTTTATAGATCCAATTAATCATTGTAATTATCTCAATATCAGTAACAATTAATGACGAATTGAAATTGTAGTAATTAATAATAATAACAATATTTATGATAAAAATACTAACAATAACAATAATAGTAAATTGTAAACTATCACAAGAAAAGAAAAGAATGGTTTTAATGCGAGATTTGTTGATAAAATCATCGGCCTTGAATATTGAGATTCTTAAACTAATTTGTATACTTTGTGTGACAGTCTCGAAGATGTTTCTACCGATTTTATTATTGCTGAATTTATTATTGGATGTGAAAGGCGATAGTTGCCTAAGTAATAATGACTTGGCTGGCCTTGTTCTTGGCACATCACTTGCAACTCTTCTAATTACTGGTTGTATTACCATATTCACTTGTTTTCTTGTACGAAAACGACAGCTAGGTGAGTATCATTTTGTCATCGTTTATGCACTGAAAATTTTCGAGTATTCTCATTCTAACAAAGGCTTTTATGATCTCAGTTATATTAGGTCTTTTAATTTAAAAAAAAAAAAAAATCAATCTCGGTTCAAAATCAAAAATCAATCGACCTAGAATTTCTTAGCTATTCTTTGCCTTATAAAATTTTAATTTTTTAGCTTTTTTCCATCGAATTTTCTCTGGCTATAATGGCGAAAAAAATTGCAAGTCAAGGTCATACGAGATTGGTTAAATTGTGACCTAAATAAATTTACAATAAAAATATTGACGAAATATTAAAGAAATGCAAATAATTTAAAATTATTGTACAAAAGTGAAAAATTGTTTGAAGGTGAAATTAATCAAATTAATTTCCGTAGTACATAACAAGGATATCATTATTTTCTTTTTCAAGTGTCGGAACAATATTTTTAAGAACTTAGGTAAATTTAGCCTAAAAAATTCAATTTTTCAGACATTTTCTAGCAAATATTTGCCCAGAAATAAAAAAAAACCATGCTGAGATCATATGGAACTGCTAAATTCATAAATTTTTACCCAATGACCTAACAGGAAAATCATAAGTAACGAATTAACATAATCAGCCATGTCATCATTAAATCAATTTCGAAAAACTTTAAATTTAACTTTAACTTTAAAACTTTAATATTAAATTTAATGTCTTTGAGATACAAGAAATCATTCTTGATTTTAAATTAATTTTAATTTTAAATCAAGAATGAAACCCATTACAAATAAGAAATAAAACATTTTTTGAAGATTATCGTTAATCAAAATGTTTTCGTATACTTTGGTCGATATGTTTTTGATATTAGTTGATAATTTGCTTTTCTTGATACTATTTTGATAATCATACCTAAAACATTTGCTTTCTAATGGCACTTGGTTAATTATTCTTCAAGGGCTTGAGTACAAAGTAACAAATTTAAGCAAAAATATTAATCACTATTAGCTTACTAGCAGGTCTTACCTAAAAAAATTTTTTGAAAATTACAATAGAAAATTAAGAATAGAAAATCAGTGATAGAAAATTAAGAATATCATTCATTTCTTTTAAAGCATTTGACACAAAAAGAAAACGAGAAAATTTTACAGTCATTACTCCTGATGTTGAGAAAGCTAACCAAAGAAAAAGTGAAGCAATTCACGAAAATGGAGACATTGAAATGGAGAATAAAACAACCGAATCAAAACCCACATTCAAGGTCGATAAGGTAAGTGCAAGAACTTCTCAAAAGTTAAAATTATAGAATTGATGATCATTTCTTCCTTCTTCTTTTAACAGCTCTCACTATTATTGGTTAGACTGGCTCCAATGGCGACAAGGGTAACGCTTCCAAGCGGCGCGGTCTGATGCCATCGTCGACAGTAATTGAAACCATTCCTTTTTCCATCGATTAAGTCCATGAATTGCTGGTCCACCTATACGTTCAAAATCTTCCCTCACTGATCAATCTAGGTCTTATTGGTCCACCTCGCTTTTGACGCCATCCATCACATGGTTCAAGTAACGAAATATGTATCAGCTGTCGTGTTTGGGCGACGACTTGTCCCAATCAGCGAAGGTGTATGCGATCATGCGAGATTTTATCCGTGAACCCGTGAAATATACATGAATGGAAAAGCTTGATATCCTCCACTCTCATCGATCATACCTCGCACCCATATAGCAAGATCGAGTGGATTGCAGCTATAAGCATACGGACTTTTATTTTTATGGTGATTTCGCGACGAATCTATAAAGGTTTCAAATCTATAAAGGTTTCACCAAGCGTAAGAACGCATTTCTAACCAATGTTATCAGGGTTATAATTTCATCCTTTGCCTGGCCATTTGGGATTAGAGCAGATCTAAGATATTTAAAGTCGGGCACTTCCTTAACAGGCAATGAATTTATAAAAATAAGTATTTTGTCAGCTTCTTGTATAATGAAGAAATTCGTTTTATTTACAAGATTCTGAGTCCATTTCTATACATTACAGTTAAGTTTGGCCTCAAGGAATTCTTGCCATACTAAGAGGCGATCCTGTATCATTTCACTGATCGTTTCCCGAGTTATAGTTGCTTTATAAAGAATGCGGATAGTTTATTTCATAGCGGATAGGATATTATCGCTTAATCGAGTTGCCGCATCCATTCTGAAAGCCATCTCATTAAAATAGTGATTACTGTCCCGCTGGGCTGCTATCGTTGCAATTCTTAAAGTAACCGTTCCTTAGAATCTCCTTACATTCTTTGACAGTGTTTTCAGAGATTTGGGCAATTGATTACGATACCCAACTAACGTACTTCCTTCTATGTCCTAGTGTGAAATAGCTGACTTTCGGAGACATGCCTTTAGTTGTGGCCAGTAATCATCTTCCCTTCATTAATATTTATATCATTAAGGTCCTTCAATTTCGGTTTGAAATGCGTTCATTGTCCAGGAATCTTTTAGTTTGAGATAGATGAAAGATCTTGGGGAACGCTGTTTCTTTCGGTTTGTCAATTTTATGCGGATCATGACTCGAACCATAATATGGCCAAATCCATGAAGGTTGCCCGCTTCAATGCCACGATAGAAATGACTATCTAGTGCGGAACTCTTACAGCGACTGAATAAGAGAATCAATCTGGTCGGTTGTCCGGAGAGTTTCACGTGACCAGATCTCTTCTTCGATACCGGAGGCATGCACTGTTAAAACAAAAAGTTCATGATCATTAGTAAAACAAAGAAGGCGTTCTCTAATTGGCGCTCCAGACCCTTATGTCATATTTGCTAATTACCGAATTCATCATTATCGATTATGACCTGTGCGTTCAGTTTTCTCCTATTATGGCCATGCCGTGTTTTGGCAGAGATATTGTTAGCTACTGAAGTTCCGTATAGAACTTATCTTTAATAAGGCAAAATTGGACCATACATACTGATGACCGAGATATTGCAAAACTTTCCTTTTAAAGTGAGCATATGCCATACCGTTTACCGGCTTCTATTCAATCAGAATAGACCAAACTTTTTCAATCAAGGAAACTGCTATGCCATTTTGCCGCGAGTTATACGAAATACCGCAATGATAAAACCAGTATCTCTGCTCGGAGACAGGTTTAATAATTACTCGAGACCTTAAGTGAGGAAGGAGTACCAGTACCTCTGACAAGCAGGCGATATCAACACGATATTTAGAAAGGGTGTAGGCAGTGATCGCTTTGCTTATAACGTCCTATTAGCATTCCGACGTACCATGCTACTAAGACTTACACTTAGTTATGCGTACCGTTTCCTTTGATAAGTTTTAAGCAGTAACGCTGACTCGTAAACACATTTTATTCACAAACCTTGGGGTCGTTTTATGCCCAGATTGTATACTTACCGTATGTACCACCGGACTGGGAATATCACGCATGTCGGAGGACACAGACACTATGTCAAGAACATGAGTCCTTTCAACATAGAGTCACTTGGGGATAGAGTTACATGTGGGTCTCTATCAGCTATCCGGATTTTTGATATCATGACAGGTTTACTCCTGTCGAAGATAAGGATAAAGTGAAAAAATTAAAAAAAGAATCACGAAATTTCTTTAAAAATCTAAGGTGCATATGGACCTCTAAGAATAGTCAAATAGATAGAAATTTAGCAATAGATCACTTGATCTCTTCGAATACTGATTTAGGACCATGGCTTGGATTTCCACTACCTAAGTCCTAGGTTCATCTCTGTCTTATTTAAATAAATGAATTCAGTGTATGAGATGAAAAAGAAACAAGGTAGAAATCTTCTTTTTGCTTTTCATAAAATCTACTTACATTTAGATTTCTATTTAGACATTCAGTTTTGTTTCAGTCTTCTAGTTGAAGATGCGCAGAGATGTCATGGTGTGAAATTACTCGTGTTATGTTATAAGCATTCCTGAGATTATTTAAAAAAGAAATGCATTATGGACATTTTGAAATAAGATTGCCGATTAGTAGACAAAAATCCGATAAATGCTATGACTAGGAATGAATCAAATGTGCATATCTTTATGTTAAAAGCATATTTGCTCGTAGAATTTATGAAATTAAATTTGAAAATACGAAAATTTGCAGATGACCTCTTGCAAAGCATTCAAGCAAAAAGAACACCAATGTGCACTGAAGAAAAAATTGCACGAGAATGAACTGCGTTCGTCAGAATCTATAAATACTGTCAGTTATTGGCCTTCGCAACCAACAACAATCCTATATAAGTTTAAAATCCGTGACAGTGGTTTAGGTTATTTTCATTAGATAAATGGTCTGATTGATCATAATTCATCGCTATTTCTTGTTCTTCTTCTAACGGCTCTCATCATCTCTGGTTTAGCTAGTGGTCTAGTTCAACTGGCCATGAGGATGAAATCCTTCCGCTACCGAGTCACTTGGGAACCATCTAGGCTTCACCTTTAGTGACGAGTTTATTTCCGTCAAGGGAAAGAAATCAGACTTAAAATTACTCAACCTCAGTCGATCCAACGATTCGACTTATTTCACTTCTCACCTAAAAAAAATATGGTGAATATTTTGCAAAGACAAAAATCTAAAGTGGAAGGACTTATTGCTGATACTGCTGATAATAAGCTCAGACAAAAATAAAAATCTAATAGTATGCTTTTATGCTATTATATATGCTTTTACTTCAACAATTTATATTTGCTTTGGCAAGAAAATGCATAAATTTTACAGGTTTGTCAGAGAACCGAAAAGCTCAATTTTTTAATATAAAATCTAGTTGAAAATCTTTTTCCAAAATCAGCTTGATTCGATTTCTTTTTATTTCAGCTTAAAGAATTAATCAGAACGATGTTTGATAAAGATACGAGTGCTTTAGGATTTGATATAACTGATTGTTTCAATGCGATTTATATTAATAACGTTCACCCAAATGGACCAGCTGAACGATCTAGAAATATATTGATAGGTTTCGTTTTTTCGTTTAAATTTTTTTACAGTTGTTTTTAAATAAGAATGCAATAAACAAGGAAATCTGCTGAAGCTAAAATTTAACTGGTTATATTCTATGTTCTAATTCTAACATCAAGAAGTAAGGGATAGAATGGCTCAATGGATTGCTGCGCAATTGGAAGCGTCGATGCTGAGGTTCGATTCCCCGCAGGAGTAAACCTGTGCAGAAATCCGGATGATGCTGGCGACTCATCGCCAAGGGATACCCTGGCATATTGCCCAATGTGACAAGCCAGTGGTGCGAGTTTAACCAGTAATGGTGAGGACTATTAAAAAAGAAAAAAAAACATCGAGAAGTGTGTTAAATGCATTTGGTGGTGTGAAATCATATAATAACAACTTTATTTGAATAGTCTGCATTACGACATTACGATTTATGTCATTACGTCCTCATAAACCAGAAATCTCAGAATTACAAATCTTAAAATCGCAAAATTTGGTTTGAGTCATCGATCCATCCTCGAGAAATTTGAATATTTTCATCAAATCAATTTTATCGCGTATTTCTATATGAGTTAATAAAAACTATAATAACTAAAAAAGTTGAAAATTTACAGCCTTTACAGAAAAATCGTCCTACCAATGCCAATCAACGACAAAGACGTGTTGATATTTTTTTTTTTTGAATTCCAATAGCTTGATTCTTAAAATTCCAGAATGATCCTAACTATGCGATGATACGCATAATTAAAGCAGTGAAAGGCCTTCTTTTACATCATTAGCGAATTTCAAGATGAATATTCATAATATTATAATATATAGATGATAATATTTGCAGGAGATAAGATTAGGGCACTTACTGTGTCTTTCGAAGGAATGAAACTAGAAGATGCGATTGCTCTGCTTTCTTGCGCATCTTCTTACAAAGTAAATTTTAGTTATTTGTTTATTCTGATATTGGCTTTGAATCAACATTGGTAATCAGAATTTTTACTATTCCATATATATTGAAAACCTCAAAAAATGCTTTCTATGGAGCAATAAAGATTGAAAAACATTTATGTTCAAGGAAGCAAAGAAAACTAATAAAATTATTTAGCAATAATGGCAATAGTAATCGCAATAAAATAAACTTAGTTTATCTAAACCGGTTGAATGAAGTTTGAACAAATATTCTTTTCCTAAGCAATTTTACTAAAAGTATATTTACCTATAGAAATTGGTATTGAAGCACAATAGCTGAGTAGTTTCTGCTCAAATTGTCGACTTGAGAGTTTGGGTCTTACCTCTGATTAAGGATACTGTCACTAAAAAATCCGGATGGCATAAAAACCTATCTGAGCTATCAATAACAATTCTTTCGCAAAAATTTCCCATTGTGAAGCAAAGCCAGCAGTGCATTGTTTAGATACGAACTTTTTTCGGAATAGGTGGGTAATCATTAAATTTTTAAACAGATTTTGACGTTTTGATGAAAAATGGCAATTTAATCGAATAATTATAGTTCATAAACACAAAAAAATTGTATGGGGAACTGTCTTCATTTGGTTTCTGCATATTAGTTACTCAGTTGTTGCCTAATTTTCACCTTAATTTTGTTAAATTGGATTGTTACTTTTTGCTTCTAGAGGCTAAATATTTCCGCACGCTTAAAAAAAAAACCTCTGAACAATGAAATTCTGTACAAGTTCTTTCGGTATAAAAATTTAAATAATTATATTAAATAATTTAATAATAATAAATAATTATATTAAATAATTATTATGTTAACGTGTTAATAGTTAATATGTTGCAATAATATCGATAACTAGGCTTCAGCCATTTCAAACAATGACCACATAAATGATATAGCATTGAAAAATAGTTGGATTCAATTCTTATCAAGAGTTTTTTGCTTATCCTTCCTTTATTTTAAAACGTTAAATTGTTAAATATTAATTATTAAGCTATCATCAATGTATTTATTGTTGGAACTTCAATATTTTTATACAAAAATGCAAATTAAAAATGTGAATAAATAATAATTTTTAAAATAATTTTCAAATAAAAAATAATTTTGGATGAATTTTTTAAAAAAAAAATTTTTTTAAAATTTTGGTACTTTTATAGCAATTGGAACTTCAGATTAAGTTGGAACTAGAAAGGGCGATCGTTGAAGAAACCGAGGAGATTACTTATAAAGATGGTACTGAAGAAATGGAAGATAGGGAAGTCGTAAAAAATAATTTCCATGTACAATCATTTAAAAGCATATCGGTAGAAGATTTGAAGATCGAGAATCCATGGTTGGTAATTGCAACTATTAGAGCGAACTTTCTTGTGAATGAATGAGAAATTTAACTGCTGCAAAAATTATATACATTTTCTATAAACATGATAACGTTTGATAATATATATTTTCGGCTGAACCAGGACTGTCGGTTTGTTTTAAAGCAAAAATACGTATGAATATGTATTGTTAATGTGGAATATTAATGAGTGGATAGATGAAAAAGAGGCAAGTATGATTGTTATTGGAGAAGGCAATTCCTATAGGTTATTGTCTTTACCAGATTAGCAGATTATCAGTCACTATTCTACTTTGTATCTAAATTCGTATTAATTTTACATCATCCTCTGTGGAGTAACTTGCAAAACAGTGAAAACCGCACTTCATATTTTCAGCTTTAAGCGAACGAAAAGTTGCATGACGAATCAAAAATATCCACTTCCACCTATTATGCAGCAGCCTTCTCCCCTTTTGGACTCAAAATCAGAGAGGATGGCGATAAATTCAAGAAAAATCCAAAAGGCACAGGCTAACAGGCAAACATCACCAGCAGTTAGTGGTTCTCGAACAATCAGCCCATCAGCATCAATTAATGCAACATCTGCCTCATTCAATGCATTACCAGAGTATCATCTCGATATATCAGCTATGTCAGCACCAACGGAAGAATTAACAATTTTAGATTCACTGACTAATGTCGAAGACACAACAAAATCATTGCCAACATTTATTGATAGACCTTCGATTGATTCTACTTCATTAGAAACGCGTTCTTCCGCTAATGGATTCTTATCGACTGATCCAGAGTTAGGTAAATCCATCCTCCCCTCCTCTTCTTCATCTGCATCATCTGTAGTTTCGTCGGAATCGAAATCTTCTCTACCAACAAACAACTCAACTATATCAAGAATACCGTTGTTGGGTTATAGTCCAAAACCAGTACCACTTCAGATACGAAAATACGTGCCTGAAAAGCCAATTATTATTGAAGAAGTTGATAGAAGAAGTATAACTGAAATCATCGAGGTATAACTTTGTTGCAAATTTTAATCTTATTTTTAATTTTCTCATTTTTTCATTCATTAAAATGATTCGATTAAATATGGTTAAAACTTAACTGTACTTGTAACTGTACTTGTAATTGGCAGCAATACTTCACTATAAACCCAGTCGACTAGCTTTTCTCATTTAATCAGGTCTTAGAGGTCCTCATTTTCTCTAAATTTATTTTTTTATTTTTCTATATATTTTATTCTTAATGACCACACGCGTTTAAGCCACTAACAGGATGTAATAAAAAAATCCATTTTTTCCCTCCTGTGACTGGTAAGTATCATCCTCTAGCTCAGGTCCTCTATCAGAGGGATGGAAGATTGAGGGTTCTGTGCCGTGTTTTAGCTAATCCTAGTGCACTCTTCTGGATAGAGATCTCTGATGTTGTTCATGCAATCATTTTATAAGTTAAAGGTCACAGTTCCTATTGCTGCAGTTATCACTACTTTAGCCTTCACTTTCCACATGTTATCTAGTTCATCTTTCAGCTTCTGCTATTTCTCAGGCTTCTTATGCTCCCTCCTCCTAATGTTCTTGTCATTTGGTATATCTATTACCAGTCCTGGTTACAGATTCTTTTCTATTACCACGATCTCTCATTGATTTGCCAGTATTTGTTTTTCTATCTGAATGGAGAAGTCCAGAATTTTCGCCTTATTCTGCTTTACGATTCTCTGAGGCATCTCCCATCTATTCCTGGGAGGATCTAAATCAAGCATATAATCCTGTAGATAATGTCAGCCACTTGGTTATGTCTTTCAATATATGTGCATTTTACATTTTGCCACTATATATTGGATTGTTTCTGAGGCAGTTTTGCACAGTTCGGATCTTGAGTTCTGTCTAGTTTAGTAGATCGCTATTTCGATGGATCTGGTGCTTGGTATCCGCTCTTATGCTGCTATGGTAAATGCATCAATGCTACTTTTTTGTTCAGGTTTTTCCAGTCATTGACAAAATTTCTCATTATCTGTTATTTACCTCAGTTACCTCAGTTGTCTATCGATAGTGCATCTCATGAAAAGTCTTGCTTCGCTCAGAAATTTCCGTGCATTGTGAAGAGTTTGTGGGTTTTCACATCAGCAGCCTCCATTTCTTCTTTTGTCCATCTTATGTTAAAAAGGGTTTTGGAATATCTTCAAACATCAGCAACTCACATCATATGATTCATCGATTTTACAACTGCCTTCGATTTAGTTGAGCGCTCTGGAAGGTGATGGGATGTGACAATCCAGAGAAGATCATTCGACTCATAAAGGCATTTTATCAGCATACTCTGGTTCGAGTCTGCGTATACGGGGAACTGACAGACTCCTTTGAAATAAAAACTGGTGTCCGTCAGGGCTGCGTCCTTTCCCTCACAATATTCTACTATGCGATAGACTGGATAATCGACATCATTTGTCGGCACTTAAGAGGTGTACAAATCAGTCCAGAGCATCGTATCACAGATCTCGAATACGCCGATGATGTAGACCTTTTTGCTGACAATTATTATGAGATGGAACAATGCTAAACAACGTGTCAGCAATTGTAGCGAGAATCGGATTCAGGATCAATATAAATAAAACGAAAGCCTTTTCGTCTTATGTACAAAAAGCTGATAAAATGCCTCTTTTTATATCGAATGGCCAGGCAAAAGACGATATTACTTCCGTGATTACGGCAGCTAAAAATGCTTCTTTCGGTTGACGAAATCTTTATGGAGCCGTCGTAAAATCATTATAAGAATGAAAGTCCACTTCCATATAGCCGCGATCTTACTATATGACTGCGAGACATGGCCAACGAGAGTTGAAGATATTGAGTTGCCTGCTTTTGACCACTCATGTCTAAGGTAAATTTTACGGTTTCGCTGAGTGGATAAAATCTCACATGGTCGCATCCACCTTATACCACTTGCATTAACAGTACCATCAGCGAGTGTCGCCTTCCCTAGTTAGAGCATGTTCTTCATCGTCCATCACAAGGGTTGACACATATTTCGTTACTTGCTAAACCGTGATAGGTGGACCCAATCATGACCTGGATTGATACGGCCAGAAATGATTTTTAATATATAGGTGGACCTAGACGATGAAGAAATAAATGGCTTCTATTACTGTCAACGATGGCATCAGATAGCGCAGCTTGGAAACGTCTTACCCTTGTAGCCAGTAGAGCCAACCTAACCAGTAATGGTGAGGGCTGTTAAAAGAAGAAGAACCCGCATGACATCTCTGCATATTCGTGTTAGGTGAATGAGCGAGTCAATGTCTCGTTCGCTTTTAGCATATAACTTGATGTCACCCATGTAGAGATGATGATTGGTGATTGAACGTTTCTGAGCCCACTTATCTAGCTGTTTTAGATTTAAAACTATGCAGAGCAATATGGGGATAGTCACCTTGATATATGCAATGATAGACTTAAAATGTTACTTCGTAACAATTTCCGAAAATTTTCGTTTGACGGAAAAATTTGGAACATAAAAAGGCTAAAATATAAAGAATAATCTGGGTCGGCTATCTTGCTTTATTTGCTATAAATAGTTTTACTTACTTTACTATATATACATAGGTTTAGAGTTGATTCTCCATCGAACAAGGATCAGTGCTTAACCTTACAGTTCTCAGTTGTTCTACATTTTCCGCCTTAAACGATATTTTTTGCTCGATCAATTTGACCAGTCTGAACAAATAGTCACAAACCTTTTGCTAGATCGTTGGACAACATTCTGTTTGCATGAGGACGATTGATTTATGACTTTAGATGATATAAAACTGGTGTGATTGCGCTATTGGTGGCTTGCTTATGAGATAAATTAATTTCTTGGTTTTCCATTACTTTGGATAATTGGGTGGATTATTATTGACATTTCAACAGTTTTTTAAAATATTGACGAACATTTTCACTTTTCATGCTAATTTATTGCTATATTGAAGTTAAGATGATAATCTACTGATATTTATTAATGAACAAAAAGCGCAGAAAATGGAAAATAATGGAAAATGAAATATGCTTCCAGAAATCTCGCTATGCTTATTGTAAAGCCAAACAAATTTCTCGTAAATTTGATCCACCGGAATTTTGTGAATACACTGAACAAAAGCGAGAAAGTTTTGTTGAAATGAAAGAAAAGAAATTTAAAAATGGTCATGCACGAAGCATTTCATCTGATAATGGCGATATTTATGATCCTATCCAACCAACTAATGGGTGTATTGCAAATGGAAGGTATGGAAATTTCTATTTTTTTTCTTTAAATTCCTTTCTTTTTTTTAAATCGCTTAAGAACCTTTTCATTTTAAACTCGCAAGAAAAATTTTTCAATCTGGCAATTCACTAATATGTCAAAATTTGCTACATTTGATTATCAAAAGTTCTGAGGAAAGAAGAATTCCTATACTTGTCCCATCCCATAGTGTCATCCCATAATAAATGCTTCCAAATTCTCAAGAAAAGTGATAGGACATACTGCGACAGTTATCGAGGAATCAGCCTATTAGACATCTCAGTGAAAATTTTTGCTTTTACTCAATAGACTTATGGAAGTACGAGACAGCAGGATGCGTCCTAATCAAGCTGGTTTCAGACCGGGGCGCGGTTGTGCTGACTAGATATTCATGTTAAGAAGGGTGTTGGAACATCGCTTCAGATATGCAACCCACTGTCACGTGTTTCATCGACTTTGCAACTGCCTTTGATTCAATTGATAGAACGGCGCTTTGGAGGATGATGGAACGTAACGATTTTCCAGAGAAAATCATTCGACATGTAAAGGCATTTTATGAGCGTATGTCGGCGCAAGTCTGTATATGTGGACAGGTTCCTTCGAATGCGATGTACCGAATAATAAGCATCGTTTGTCGGCACTCAAGAAGTGTGCAAATCAGTCCAGAGCATAGCATCACAGATCTTGAATACGCTGATGATATAGTCCTTTTTACTGATAATTATAACGAATGCTAAACAAGGTGTCTACAACTGCAGCAAGAAACAGGCTCAGAATCGATGTAAATTAAACGAAAGTTTTTTTCATCTTATGCAGAAGCTGATAAAATGCCTCTTTTTATAAATTCATTACCGCTTAAGGTGAAATGTCCGATTTTAAATACCTTGAGTCCACTCTAATACCAAAAGGCCAGGCAAAAGTCTTCCTAAATCTTTATGGAGCCGTTGTGAAATTATCATTAAAATAAAAATATATATCCGTATATAGTCGTGATTCGTTCGGTATTGCTATATGGTTCTGAGCCATGGCCAATGAGAGTTGAGGATATAAAAAAGCTTTGACCACTCTAAGATATATTTTACGGGTCCGTCGAGCAGATAAAATATCATATGATCGTATCCATCTTCGTTCAAATACCACTTGCATAAATAATGCTATCATAGAGTGTCGCTGGTTAGGACACGTTCTCTGTCGTCCACCACAAGAGTTGACGCATATTTCTTACTTGCTAAACCGTGATAGTTGGCATCAAAAGCGAGGTGGACCCAATCAGGACCTGAACTGATACGGTCAGAAAAGATTTTGTATAGATGGACCAGTAATACATGAAATATAGAAAATATAGAAAATGGAAAAAGGAATGGCTTCTATAACTGTCGACGATGGCATCAGACTGCACTGCTTGGAAGTTTCTTAACCTCGTAGCCGGTGGAGCCAGCCTAACCGATAATGGTGAAAGCTGTTAGAAGAAGGAAAATCCCATAGTGAATACAGAATGCGTAAAGTCGACTTCTACGACTTTAGATAAATCTTATAATGTATAAGTTCACCAACTGTGATCATAGGAATAATATTATGTTAATATTCCAAATTCACCGATATCTTTTCAACCAGAATATTTTAGGTTTGGAAATGATGATTTTTCAGTGCCTCAGATCACAAAATTTCATATAGAAAAGACAAAAGACACTTCTTCACCTATTGTTGAATATAAATTAGCTCAGTTACCTCAATTAGAAGAATACAAGGTAAGTTTTATTCTTCGCTTGCAAAAACCTTAACCTAAGGATGTGCTTGGACACTTTATAGGTTAGGATAAGTATCGATTCAATTTCTCGCTAGATTCAAAAATTTAAATCGGTCTATTTCTCAAAAATTTTCTTTATTCTCGACTGGTTTTTCAAATAGTGCTTTAAGCTTCTAAATTATTTCAAAAACTTTGCAGGTAGAACGCATGGATGCTGCCACTTTATATTTAGAACAAAGGGCTGCATTGAAAAAAACCAATTCATCGTGTATAAATAAAGGGTCTGATGAAAGAATGTAAAATTTGTTATTACCATTTAACTTAGTATTTACTAAAAAACATTTGCCTGATTCCATCAAAAATTCATAAAATATATTGGTTAAACAATTGGTTCTCAATTTATTATTTTTATTTGTGTGAGCTAATCAAAATGTTTTTAACCAGTTATTGAGACCGATCATCGCACAATCCTCTTTCACTCTAAAATTGATGCTTCGACTCAAAAAAAAATTGAGTTGTAAACAAAAAGGACAATTTTTTATTGAAGATCGGATATTAGGCGACTCGATGATAAGCAGTTAGCCAAGCTGAATGCAAATCGTGCTTTACTGAAGCAGCAACAAGATGAATTGCGGTCACTTGGTATTCTTCCTTGATTTTTTTGTCATTTTTTACGTCATCAAGATTGTATTAATTGAATAAATTTTTTTACAAAAGTTGTATATTAATTAAGGCCATTCGAGTAACCTTCTTACCTGAATATTTCTGAATTTATTCATTTTCATGCACATTTTTTTTCAAAATTTTAATTTTAGTTTGAACTCTCAGTCTTAGCTTTTATGATTTAAAGCTTGTCGCAATATTTGAAATTGTAAGGGTGAATTATGCAAAATATTTAAATATCTTCCACCAATCGAGGCTTTAAAATTTGCTCAAACAAACAAGCTTACCCCAAGTCTTTTATCTGTTCTCATTTAAATGATGGGAAAAAAAGATTCAATTTTTCTGTGTGATAAATTTTCTTGGAGAATGACACTTGTAGATGTTAATGCTAAGAATGTTAATGCTATTTTTATACAAAATGATCTTGTAAACTATTTTGTTTCATGCGCAAAATTAAAAATTCTGTTATCGCACAACAGCAAATAATTTTGGTATTTATGACTCAATTTTATTTCACTGGCAACTATACTATTCAGACTTTTTGAAAATTAAATGCATGAGAATTTTATTTCTAAATGAATGCTGAATTAAAGGAATTGGAAGTGTTAATTATTCCCAGCAATTTGCAGCAAAGAGGAAAAAATTCTGCGCTGAAGTAAAAACAACTCATATTCTAAATATTAATCCAACTATAAGAGAGAATTTCAAGAAATAGATTATTAAACGATGAAGTGAAGAAATGAAAATGAATAAATAGAAAGAAAAGATGTGGGCGAACAGACTGATCTTCCTTCTACTTTACATCTTTCACTAATCCATTCGTTCATATCACAGCGCAACCGTCGTAAAAATCAAATAAAATGGTTTCCCAACGAGGTATTTTCTTTTTATTCTTCTATTATATATAAATGAATTAATAGAGGTATAAAAAATGCTATCAAATAGCATCCTTCAGGATATTTTTTACCTTAGCCTATGTATTATATTTTTTACACAGTTTGTATAATGAGAGGAACGAGTATCTTATTGTTTCCTTAAAATTCCTTTTTTTTCACTCACCTCTATTAATCTCTAGCCTTATACATCTTCAATGCCCTTTTGCATTTGTACATATTTCAACTGCTATTTTTTAGCCTTTTAATTGAGATGACATTATAAAAGGGTGCTCAAAATTTAGTAACTGCGATCTGAATCAGAGCATAGGTTAATAATAATATACTAGTAAAGAACCACTCTTTGGCAGGCAAAATATTCATTTTATTAAAGAGATAAATAAACATGCCATCTCAGTTAATAATTAGAGTTGAATTATATTTATGCAAAAACATTTTCAATCATAAAACTCAAAATTGTCCAGCAGTGATAAATGAATATTTTCATATGCCATATTCTATCTGTTTAATGCCGTCATCAGATTTCGTTTTATCTCGGTATAAATTCCTAAATCCCGTTATTTTGCTTCGAAATTTACTTCATTCTTTTCTCTTTTACCAGATCCTTTTTATATTCTCTTAACAGCTTCCATTTCTCGCTATATTTTTTCATTATCTCCGATTCAAATCATCTTCTCTCACCATATCCCGTATATTCCCTACGATTGAGCTTCCACAATATACGTTACCAGAAGTCACAACAGGCATGCGGATTAAGTTTAAATTTATCCTGACAGTCAACGGAAAAAGTGACAAGAGAAATAAATCACGAAGAATAAGCAAAGAAATATTTGCATAAGATTAGCCAGGTTTTTAAGGAGTTGTAATAGGTCTGGAATTGATATTATTTTGAATATTAGTAACAAGACATTATTAAAGGTATAGAATAGCTCAGTAAGTTGTTGCTCAATTCAGAACACTGATACTGAGGTTCTATTTCTCGCAGGGATAAACCTGTCCAAAAATCCAACTGATGCTGGTCACCTGTACTTCCATCAAGGGATTCCCTGGCGCATTTATCCAGTGCGACAAGCGAGCGGAGCGAGTTTAACCAGTAATGACGAAGACTTTAAAAAGACCGTTAATATATGGCTCTGAGGAGGGATTTAACGCAATATCACCAAAAGGTTGTGGCAAAAAAAACAAAGGAATTTTGGAAAAGGCGATAAAAGGGAGCATAAATATGTTTAAGCATAAATATATTCGAGAAGAGAGGAGTGCAGCGGGATATAAAGGCTTAGGCATAAAGGAGTTATCACTAAGATAATATCACTAATAGGTTATTTAAAAAAATATGAAGGAATATCGAAAAAAATGGAATTTGGAGGGTATCGAGGAAATATCTAAAGTTTTAGGATATTTTTCTATATTTATATTTCAGATTTTGGAGGTATCTTTTCTGTTTTTTAATTTAATATTATATCAGTATTAATATGCCTTTTTATAATATTTTCCCCGCTGGAAATGAGTTTTCAATTTTTTATCGCAGCTTTTGCACATTGCTATAAAAAGTCTCATCTTTTGGTGTAATTTTGCTAGTATAGAAATCAGTCCGTCAAGCATTTCTATTTCATACATTCTTCATTGTTTTAATTTCATTTGATCATTTAAATCTTTACATTTGTCAAGAATACGATAGTCCAAAAATTTCATAATTATAACCAATAGCATGTGTTTGAAATAACTGATTCACATTTCGTTAACAAACAAACATTCGACTTGCATTATTATTCTCTGTGCAAAGTTCTCGGAGCTGTTTAAAGTATCAGCGTACACCATTGCTGTGGTTAATGCCTTGTTCATTCTATGATACTATCGACATTATTAAAGCATTGTCTGTAATTTTGATAATCATTTATTTTGATTTGTCTTCGAACGGTCAGTATTATATTTCAACTTAAATTTGTCGTTTGCAATAGATAATTAATTTTTTAAAAATTTCTAGCAAAAATTTTAAATTTCGAAAACGCAATATCTTCAGCAGTAGATATAAATTCACAAGTTTTAGTTGGGTTGAGTGCGTCACTGATATAATGATCATATTATAATGCAAAAGCAGTAAAATTTGTATCTTTTTCAGCCAGAGATCATTAAGCCATATGGAAATACTCAGTTGATTTGGGTTTCATAAAGATATACCAATCAGATCAAGTTCTATTTGCTATTCATTAGTGCAGATTCGTGATTTATAGTAATTTTGTAATCTTTTCTAAAGGAATAATTGTTATTCAATTGATGTGATTACTGCAATGTTCCGACGTTTCACGCTACGCCTAACACTTCATTGTGCGAACCATTTCCTTTGATAGGTTTCAAGCAGTTACGCTGGCTCGCAAGCATTTTATTCACAAACCTTGGGGTCGTTTTAAGCCCAGATTGTATACTAATTGCACCATCGGGCTGAGAATATTACGCGTGTCGGAAGGTGCGGATGCCATGCCCAAGGAGATTAGACTCTTTCACACAGAGTCACTTGAGGATAACTCTATGTTACCGGTGGGTCCGCAGTAGCCACTCAGATTTTTGATGGCAGATTTACTCGTGTCGGAGACAAAGAGAAAATTTGGAAAATAGAAAAATGAAAAAACTACATTGAAGGAAAAATAAATTTAAAAGAACTTATCATATGAGTGCCGAAAATCTGTAAAAATTTCAGGAACAATTATTATTTATAAATATTATATAAATAATCAATATTTCTTTTTTTTTGAACCTATAGCAGGTTATTTTTCGGCATAGGGTATTAACCTTCTATTATTGCACTCAAAATATTGAATGAGAAAAATGTTATCTCTGATTACCAGTTTAAGCACAACTTGAATTCATTGGCTGGGTAGGACAGTAGAGCGATATGCTACCTCTACTTCCACGAGTTCAAGTCAAGTACTATTAGTACTATTAGTACTATTTCTGACCCTTGATAGATACTCAGAAGAACTCTCAGTGACCACCCATTAACCACTGCAGCCAGCCAGACTAGTGTGCTGAGTGATGGTGAGCTGAGCTGAATGCTGAGTGAAAAAAAAGAAAAATTCATTGCTTGGAACGGTATAGTGCACAAAATCCTTTATTTTTTTTATTAGATTGGTTAAAAATAATTGAGCAAAGCAAATTGAGGTAAATTGAATTAACAAAGGGCCGTTTTCTCAGTTTTCCACGTCTCCTTTCAACATCCTCTTTTTCCACCCGCTAGGAAATTCTTAAATTGAATACAACCAGTTGCTTTCTGCTAACAATTGTTTGATTCATTAAAGCATATCTTATTTTATTTTATTGCTGGTTGAATTCTGACCACAGCAATAAAGCTAGTCGCATACTTCGTTTTCCCAGTGCATCAAAAAACTTATATTTACACTATTCTGTATTCTGTATTTATATTCTATAAAACACCTTAGTTAAAAAGTAGTACAATTGCTAATCATTATCTGAGACTTCAGCAAATCTTTTTGTTAGTAGTCTCGTCTAGACATTAATATCTGCTTGACTGATCGTATGATGGTTGAAGGCTGGCTTGGCTGTCGAAACTTCTTAAAATACATTGAACTGTGGCAGTTCAAAATATACGGGAAGATGATTTGAATCGGAGATAATGAAAAAATATAGCGAAAAATGGAAGCTGTTAAGAGAATATAAAAAGGATCTGGTAAAAGAGAAAAGAATGAAGTAAATTTCGAAGCAAAATAACGGGATTTAGGAATTTATACCGAGATAAAACGAAATCTGATGACGGCATTAAACAGATAGAATATGGCATATGAAAATATTCATTTATCACTGCTGGACAATTTTGAGTTTTATGATTGAAAATGTTTTTGCATAAATATAATTCAACTCTAATTATTAACTGAGATGGCATGTTTATTTATCTCTTTAATAAAATGAATATTTTGCCTGCCAAAGAGTGGTTCTTTACTAGTATATTATTATTAACCTATGCTCTGATTCAGATCGCAGTTACTAAATTTTGAGCACCCTTTTATAATGTCATCTCAATTAAAAGGCTAAAAAATCGCAGTTGAAATATGCATAAATGCAAAAGGGCATTTAAGGTAGAGATTAAT